ACATTTATATCTATATTTGATTTCATCAATGGCTCAAGTCTCAGAAAATTGTAAACGCTTCAAAGCGTTAGTTCATAGTTGATGTAAGTTTCCGATACTCTATAAATTAAGTAGGTTACTAAAATTGCTATAAGTTTATTTTCGACACCAATAATCACATATTCGTAAAAGTTAATCCTAATTGCTGAATTTCTGTTCAGATCACCCGTCCAGATCAATTCTGGGCATGGACGAGACAAACATTATTACCGGGGCTATTTCCTGAGCCCCATTACAATGATCGTTCTTTGAACTGGCGTGAACAGTTAACGATTGCGGATCGTGAGACCGTAAGAGTTGGAATGGCAAGGTTGCGACAACTCAGAGTGAAAGATGGTGAGATGTATCTTTATTTATAGTCAAAAACTATATAATACTAAAGAGGGGCTATATTTAAGCATGGGAGAGGGTCGTGCGATGGGTGACACCCCTGTTGGGCTTGCTTCGCTCGCAGTGATGCAAAGCCAAAAAATCCGCACCCATTGAGATTTGATTGCTGGCTACGCTCCTATAAAGTGTATATTTTCCATACTCTGCCGTCCATATGATATTTCCATTGCAATCTGAGTAAGAGTATTTCAATAAAAAAAGAGAGAAATAGAAATTTATATGGAAATCTTAATTATACCTATCCCATATTTCGTATTCAGACTCCTGCAAAATAATGAAAGAGTTTACAAAGGTTATCAACCACTGTCGAGATTCATATGGTTGGACTGACGATGATACCAAGCCCTATTTTCCCATGTGGAAGAAGACATTTGTCTCTACAAAGGAGGAGGTAAAAAGACGATCAAGGAGAGAAGTTCACTGTGTGAGTATTGAAGTTGATTTTTTTATTTGTATGTACATGCAATTCTATGAAAATGTAAAGATTTATATTTCATAGATGCATAAATAGATGTCATATACACCACTAAGCATTTTAAATGATTTGGGCCCGATACTATTGTTGGTTGATATAATGAACTGAACGAGACCTAGTAATGTCTAGGTCACATGTGCTCTGATTCATCGGCCGGCGCCCGGCCAAATGAGTATTTTGTTCAAAATTGAAGGTCAAATCTCAAAGGACCTTATACACCCTCCATTGGGATCTCCCCATGGGAAAAAAATAATTCATCTGATTTTTCAAAATGAGTATTCTGCTTCAATTATTACATTTATATGCACACTAGTATCTTGTTGACCTATATTCAGCACTGTATTGATGTATAGGTCACTTATTAGGGTCATAATTCAATCATGAAGTGTAGAGGCATAGATTCCAAACCAGGAAGTATTTTTGTGTCTGTCAAAATCCATTTACATCCTACGCATCCCTGCATCTTATCCAAATATGTTACTACATAATGAAATATAATAGTATAATCTTTGGTTTTACAAACTTGTATGATATTTGATAAGTGTAAAAGTTGTTTTTGGAGCATTTTTCTATAGCCATTTTGTAGGGAAAAAAATGATGAAAAATGTACAATCTTTTAATTTTAAGTATGACCTGAATCGATTGCAAACTTCATATTTGCACATTTGATGAGATAAACCATTTGTGTCGTATTGTGAAATTATTAAGTTTGCAATCGATTCAGGTCATAGTGTATTTTTGGTATTTCTGTGATAATCAATGGAAACCAATGGCCTCTATTGGGATCTGCTGATATCCTCATGTTAAGTCAATGGTGCACAGCCCCATGTAAGTCAATACAACCTTACTGAACGAAATGATCCCTATCTCAGCTTATGTGTGTCCGAGCACTTTAATATTTTCCAAAGTATTATATGACATTTTATTCTTCATGTTACACCTACGAATGATTCATTTTGACCATAGGGATATTTGCCAATAATTACACCTTGTCCTTTGAGGTCAGTTGTGAACTCCTGGGTACTTGTACATGATTTAAAAAAAGGGTTTTTGTCAACACGTCGACCTGCATAGAGTGAAGTATTTGCTTATTTCGCATATTACAGGCTGGGATACCAGGCATGGAACACAAACCGCGTAAAAAACTTCCTCAATGGAATCAATTACAAAATTATACTGGACCACCTTTAAATGAAACGTACCTAGAATGGTTGAGTGAACAAGAAGATCCTGGGCCGTGGATTTACCAGAGCGCCCTCAAACTTCGTAGTGCACCATATATGGGCACCCTCACTATGTACAAGGGTGGGGGATATGTTTCCAACTTAGGTAAGGATTTGACCATTGGTATATGGCAAAAATCCACCTATAGATGCAATATATATGCTCTCTCATATAGTCAAGTTCTCGCTTTATGGCGTAACAAATCGAGGGTTCCTGGGAGAGGACCTATAAAGTCTATAAGTTATCGTTTAAAAATCGATGTTCACTTTTCAACTCCAATATTAACCAGAGTTCTTGAGAACCTTTATTCATAATAATTTGAAAATGAATATGTTGGATCACATTCAACACAGACAGGACTTTTTTCAACTCTGTATAGATAAAATGAATATACGGTCGTTTGTCCCAGCCTGAAAGAATCTAACACTTTTCTGCCAGGTAGCTTTAGTCGGAGGGGCTAGGGAGTAGTGTAATTATGTTTATACTATTATTTGAAGGTTTGACTCTTGAGAGAAGTAAGCAAGTGATTGATAAGCTCGAGAGTGACGAGTGGGTCGACCCGAACACAAGGGCCTTGTTTGTCGAGTTCACTGTTTATAATGCAAACATCAACCTATTTGGCTCTTTGATATTATTGGTAGAGTTCATGAACACTGGTGCTGCCATCGCTAGGACGGAAGTGAAGGTAAGGTCAAGGTCATATATTTCTAATTTTTGGTCAATGTGTTTATTATTATTCGGTCAAGGCTTAAATTAAAGGTCGGTATTCTAATCACAAGTCAAGGTTACATTAATTGTTTGTTTGATAAATAGAGGATTACAACTGAAAGAAAGTGCAAAATAAAGCATATTTTACTTTCGGTGTTATAATGTATTTGGATTTATGATGTCACTACCTAAACTAGTTACATTGTTATATAGCCATTAGCCAACGTTTTTTTGTGACCGGTGTGAAAGAAATTATGGTCCCCCAGGGATTATGGTCCCCCTTCTTAACGGCCCTTACTGGCCCTGATTGTGTATAAGATAATAAGGGAAAGAGGTCATCATTTAAATCAATAGAGAGTAGGACCATAAACTGATAGGACCTCCTACCCTTTTACACCGGCCTTAGGCGTGGCAGTTGGCGTCTGTAACAAATTAATACAGATTTGTAACGATGTGAAATTATTTACAAAATGGTGGCACTTTGCCTTGCTTCACAATTAACATGTTCACAATTTTATATTTCAGGTATTTAGACTGTACAGTTACGTGGGAGGCTGGGGGATAATTGTTGTTATATTTGAAGTCCTCTTTGTTCTATTCACGCTGTATTTCTTCCAACACAACATCCGACTTCTGAAAAAACAAGGGAGAAAATATTTGTCTGAATTCTGGAACTTGTTAGAGTTTGGACAAATCGTTATGTCCATTGTTGCCGTTGCGATGTACGCTATGAAGACCCTTATGGGAAGTTTAGCAATGTCAGCCCTCAAGAAAAGTGGAGCTAGTGAGTTATTCAAAAATACTTAATAGTTTATCCATCTTAAGCATCTAATATACGTCATTTTATCACACTATTCTTTTTCACTCAAATACAGGATAAAATCATTTATATCGCAGGGGACCAAAGACTTCTTGAAAACTAAGTTCCTTCAATCTTGCATCTCATAACAATTAGGTAGGAACTGCTTTAACTGTACAGTCATACTAAAACTCGACATGCACTGCTTTTAGGAGACTACGTGAACTTTGTGACCATTGCTATGTGGGACGAGACATACGGCTTCGTCGTTGGCGTTATTGTCTTCTGCGCTACCCTCAAGTTCATCAAGATGTTAAAGTTTAACAAAAACATGGGCTTGCTCGGAGATACGGTTGTGTACGCCGTGAAAGACTTGAAGATGTTCTCCATCATGTTCTTTATTTACTTCATGGCGTTCTGCCTACCGGCGTACATACTGTTTGGAATGCATATGCAAAGCTATGGAACATTCATTGGTGTGTTTGAGTCACTTTTTGCAATGGCGCTTGGGTCGTTCGATTTCTATGAGATGGAGGCAGCACAGCCATTCATTGGACCAATCTTCTTTTTCTTGTACGTCGCTATTATCAATATAGGGTTGATGGGAATGTTCTTGACTATTATTGCCGAGGCATTCACGGCGGTGAAAGAGAACGCAGAGCTACAGTCGAATGAGTACGAGATCGTCGACTTCATGGTTGGGAAACTGAAAGCGCTGTTTGGTATACAGCCCAAGAATAAAGAAGGAGAGGAAGATGATGATATTCCAGAGGGGCGAGAAGGAATAGATGATTGTTAGATTTATTTAAGTTAACTATGATTTAACCACACTGTTGCTTTGTGGCATCCTCGATGGTTTAGCCATCAGTGATTTGACGTCGGTACACAAAGACACAAATTAATTTTAAAAAAATATCAGGGTAGTTTGTCTTTTGTTATCTCCAAGTTTATGTTAACGTCTCTCTGGTAAATGATATTGGTTTGATTTTTAATTTTAATGACACTGCATTACACAGAATATATTTTATTATAAATTTTTGTTATATACTATTTCAGACCCGTTGTCAAAAATATTTTTTTAGTAATTTATGACAAGTGGATTGTGCCACGCTAAACTATCAATTGTTTAGAGCCATTTGAAAGGAAATATATCCAAATTTCAAATATAACGAATATGTAACACGCGAGTTTCGAATTCACCATCAATTTTCCCGAAAATTAAAAAATTTTCATGTCAATCATTTGCAATCATAGTCCCAATCTCGATCGCCTCATGCAATTCGTTCCACAACATTTTTTAAATTGTAATTTGGTTATTGACTCTAAATAATGGCTGTAATTAAAACGTTTTGTTTCACCTTGCATCAAATAAAATACATCAAAATGATTTTATTTAAAATTACTAACAATAACAAAATTATAAAATGTAATAATTTTTCAATCTAAAAACATATTGCCATTTTGGAAATATTGCATAATATTGTAAGCAGTATTAAATAAAACAAAAATGTTCAAGAGCTTTAGGTTAAACGTACTAAACTTTCCATAGGGTTGTATTTGTGTTCATTATTCCAGGGAGCAAATGTCCACATGATCTGCACCTCTATTTCTTTAAAAAGGTCTTTCAACAACAATGGAGAGTTTAAGCTGGCATAAAAAATCGAAACACACCGCAGCGTGTAAAGTGCCATTGATAGTTGTATAGCTGGTTTTCTATGATACACATTTCAAACAAGCCCGTTTCGTAAGATATTTGGAGCTATAACATGTATTTCATTTTATTTGAGTTACATATCTCACACAGACACCATAGGACACGTATGACATACATCATTTTCTTCGGAAAGCATTATATAATGCATCGAAATCAAAATTGCCAGCGTAATAGTATTCAATAGACATGAGTATAATGATTCCCGTTGACACCAACGTAAAATTGCAAATCTCCCGTTCTAAACACGAAACTGAAGCTGACCGGGTATCTGAAATAGACTTAATTAGCGCTTGGTTTTGAACGCGCGCTATATACATAACTGTATTGATTCATGGACTTTGCATTCGCGGTTGCGTTGTGAAAAAATCGCTAGCTTAAAGTCTCCATTATCTGAAACAAAGACATTCTGTAAAACTGTTTAATAAAATTGTATTGATGTAAATCGTTGTTTTGTTAATACCATCAGTAGACTCTGAAATCTAAGTTGACTTCATTTCAAGTATCTCCTTGACCTTTTTCAATTCAATACAATACAATACAATTGAATGCAATACAAGACAACGCACTTCAATACAATACAATACAATACAATACAATACAATACAATATCATACAATACTTAAGTACAATACAATACAAGACGGAAAGTGAGAAATAAGTTCCATGTAAACCAAATAATCCTTGAGGATGCAGATTGACAGTCAGTTAAGTCATTTATTTGTTTAAAACTCAAGAAGTGTTTCAAATGATCGATATTATTAAGAAATATAGACTGGAGATCAGACATTGTATCGACAAATAAATACCGCAGGACTAGGCACAAATGTTTCCTGTATGCCTAGCCCTAAGGTATTTATTACTCGATATAATACCTGATCTGATATGAAAACTCACCAAAATTTTGCAAAATCGTCAGTTCATTTTCTACTTCCGATTTAGCGTTTAGCACAAACTTAGTGCACACCAGGTATTGTATCGACGAATAGATACCGGGTAAAATATTGACTTTGTTCACAGTTTGTGGAAGGCGAGAATATGGTCATGTTCAAACAGACAATATATGATAGATATAATATAGACTTGATATATAAAAACCCCAATGCTACAATGCAAAAAACAAACATCCTCATGCAAATTGAAACTTTCTTGCATGAGAAGCCTTTATGCGCTATATTATTTAAATGAATCGAAGTTTGCAAGGTTAACAGTAATCCTTTTTCCATCTCCATGATAATCCTTACATATCGATTAAGTGACCACATGAAAAGCATATATTACAGTTTTCATTGATTTTATAATGTCAGCTGACATATGTATAATCCTAGAGAACAAGGCGCTTTAGTTCTGACTGACTGACATCACCCTTACGATAGATTTCCAGAGATTTTTGAAATTTCCACGAGGAATGAGACAAATCTTGTGATGTAATTGAGTTATCCTCGTAGGTATTTATGTTTTAAATTAGAATGCAAATAATTAAAACGTTTGGCAGAGTAGAGGAGAGTGAGCAGTGTCCTAGATATGTTTTTGTAATAAATGTTTGAAAGGCCATCGACCTGTTCTGATAACTTTGCAAAGTGCATCACGATTTTCTACAGGGTTTATCAATAAAAGCAACACATTATAGGAAATGCAAAAGGCAACTATCCTTGTAAAACACTGATCATGAAATCAAATATAACATTAATTCAAACCAATGGAGTGACTTTTACTGTAGATATACACTTCAGGATAGCAATCAAATGTCAAAACTTTTATGAAAATTCATTCAATTCTCTTGAACTGAAATTTTGGTTTTTTGAAATGATAAGAATATCATTATAATCATATATCATACGTACACACATAGCTACACGTGAGAGACATATACGCGGACTTGAATAAATTCTGGTCTCTGGGGATTAATTCTCCCCTTCTAGCGCTATTCGTAGTATGCATTTGCCCGATTGAGTGTAATTATCAAAAAACTTTAATTAGGCCCCATATAAAACAATTGAGATGGAATAGTAATCTATGGGGGCCATAATAGTATGTACACATTCCCATACAAGTGCAACTCTACCTCCCTATTATTTCATAAAGTAGTACGTTATTTTCGATCACCCTGTACTCAATTGCATTCCAAAATGGCTGAAAAGAAAAACCATAAATCGTGAGCGATATTACTAAGTTGTAAGATTTAACAGTTACAATTACTACTACAGTATGATATAAAACAAAGATGTGACGGTGACAACGACCACCTTCGTTTTTCTTCTTTCACCCTGTAGGATACAGATTTTCTTTCACGAGGACTGCTTATACAGAATATGGTAAGTGTGTTAATTATATTTATAACCAAATTCCGAATATTTAACAAAACTTGCACAAATGTTAATGCAGCTCTTTCATTACTTGTTTGGGCAGTCACGGGTCGAGCCAAAATATATTGATGATTGGTTGATCTCTTTTCTAAAATAAATATTTATATGATCTAAGCAAATAATACAAGGCTATGTCCATAAGTTATACAGCTTCGTAATCATTTTAGTTAAAAGTTTAACTTCAAAAGTAAAACATTAGGTTGTAGTACATTTTTCTTTTCAGATGAAGCTGTTGTTCTGCATTTGTATCATTCACTGCTTACAAATTTCACGTGAGTATACATTTTATAAACTGTCATAATCCTAAATATATTAGTCATTTTTCAAATCTTTAAGAAGATGTACTGATATTCAGCATTTATTGTGTTATTTAATATTCTCGCTATGTGCAAGTTAAATAGGTTAATAGGGAGTTTAAGCTTGCAATGTTTTTTACAACCTAAACGTGAACGGAAAATATAAAAGCGATGCATTTGTATGGGCGAGTGGCCATACGTATAGGTTGGCGTTGCGATTTTATATGCAAGCTTAAACGCCCTTATGTTTTCGAATTTTAACATGGAAAACATTTCAAAGTTCTAAAATTGTGAAGTTTTGCAGTTGGTTGTTACTTTTATCTAAACATCTCATTCCTGATTTATCAGTCGCATATTATGTGTGTATTCTAAGGGATAGCATAGGCTGAACGTATATTTAAAGTTGTTTAATCTTGACATAACGTGCGTGTATCGTAAACATAAAGTCGATAAAATATATTGTATACTATTTTCCAGTTGTAATACTTCAAAAATATCTATGTTTCCAATATTTGCATTAAATTAATTGAATGGGTCAATGGTTTTTATTAGATTGAACTAAAATCTTTTCATTATGTTGCAGTACAAGGAGAGAACATCAAGAAACACCAAGATAAAGAGCCATATAGTTTCTTGGTTCAACTCACTGAAGAATGTGATGGTAAGCTTGGTTGATTACATTTTGTTTGAAGGTATTGTCAAGAATTTTAATTAGTGCAGAGTAGCCTAGATATTCACGGCAATATGATATGATGGAAACAAAGATTATTAAACAATTACATTCACACTTCATGACACATCGATTTCATAGGAACAATAGAACATATCAATATATCCATCAATCTGAATGTACACCCGCTCCAAAAATTTGACAACCCTAACTTCGCTGTAATATCACCTTGTAAAGGCTTGTAATGTTTTGTATTTTTTAGAATATAATTTTATTATTTCCCGATATCTTTATTACCAAAGTGTTAATAAAACATGGAGTATCTCAAATCTTCATCAAGTAAGATTTTCTATCTGAAAATCAGACTTGAACAGTCTGTCCAATGAGAACTCAGCGTTTAAGGGGTGTAAATCAAATTACAATTCAATAAGAGAGTTGCTATACTGTATAGCTGAATAAGATAGATTTCAGCACTTCGTTTCTTTTGTTTTGGTTGGGCCAGACTGCCATATACCTCACTGGTAAAAACTTGTAATAGTCACTAAATTTCTTTGAAAAGTAAGACATTAGAGGTTTAAAATGCAAATCTCTTAAAATCTCATGAAAGTGAGAATTAGCGAGATTTCAAAGCTACATACACTCCCCTCCATAAGTTTGGAAACCTTTTTTCCCCCATTGAACTACGTGTTAAAGCCTCTTTACCTTTGAATTTTTATTTACTTAACCTGCGATGAAAATACTTATACTATTGATGGAAACGTAATTTAACTTTAATTCCAATACCTCCAAATTTTCTCAATTTTTTTCCTCGATTACAGTAGGTCGAAAATTGATGATGAATTTGATGAATTTTTGAAAATCGACATTCCCATGTTAATCAATGGGAAATGGTAGGTTTGCCGCAAGTCATATGACAGAATATCCATCCATCCGAGTCCTTGCAAAAAATACGAGTTAGGCAGGCAATTGAATTCGCTGACTTTATTTAACAAAAAATTGATATGTTTCTTCAGGTTCAACAAAGTTATAGGGCTTTAAAGTCAAAATTCTTTTTCAAAAAAACTCTCCCATTGAAATAACACAGGAGGCGAAAAATTATTTTCAAAAATGACTTTGAAGCGCTGTAACTTTAATATTCATCAAATAAATTAAACACTTAGTGTACAAAAAAGTTAGACAATTCAATTTTCTTTATAAAAATATTTTTTGCTGAATCTTTTACTGAAAAGATATCCTGATTTCTGATTTGCCCCGAACCCTCCATTTCCCATTGGATTACATGGGAATGACGATTTTCAAAAATTCATCAAATTTATCATCAATTTTCGACCTATTGTAATTGAGGAAAAAAATTGAGAAAATTTGGAGGTATTGGAAACAAAGTCAAGTTACGTTTCCATTAATATTATAACTTATTTCATCGCGGGGTAAGTAAATAAAAATTCAAACGTAAAGAGGCTTTAACACGTAGTTCAATGGGGAAAAAAGGTTGCCAAACTTATGGAGGGGAGTGTAGAAACTATTCTATTACGTAAAAACTGTTTTCTAAAAGACACTTTGTAGTCATAGAGTATATCGTAGTGACATCATTCGCCTCACACTATAATTTGATTAATTTAGAAATTCCTTATCTGAAGAAAAACAATGTGCCTCGATAAAACAACAGCAAATTCTGATTTGATTTGATTTCTGAATATATGATTATAACGAAGAATATGCTATGTTTCAATTGTCAAATATGATTCATAGTATTGATAAAAATGTAATGTACTTTTGTTTAGAAATTTTGTCCATGCTTCGTGCTTAAATTGGTATTCAAGTGCACCGAACCAGAACTTTATTTAATCAAGACTTCAATTAATATAGAAACTTGCAGTTTTATTGTTGAAGAGGATAAAGCAAAAAATGTTAAAATGTAGAATCAATAAATATAATACTAATTAAGTGATCTATATCTCTGAGGATTTACACTCCCCTCCATAAGTTTGGCAACCTTTTTCCCCCATTGAACTACGTGTTAAAGCCTCTTTACGTTTGAATTTTTATTTACTTAACCGGCGATGAAATAACTTATAATATTGATGGAAACGTAACTTGACTTTATTTCCAATACATTCAATTTTTTCAATTTTTTTCCTCAATTACAATAGGTCGAAAATTGATGATAAATTTGATGAATTTTTAAAAATCGTCATTCCCATGTAATCCAATGGGAAATGGAGGGTTCGGGGCAAATCAGAAATCAAGATATCTTTTCAGTAAAAGATTCAGCAAAAAATATTTTTATATAGAAAATTGAATTGTCTAACTTTTTTGAACACTAAGTGTTTAGTTTATTTGATGAATATTAAAGTTACAGCGCTTCAAAGTCATTTTTGAAAATAATTTTTCGCCTCCTGTGTTATTTCAATGGGAGAGGTTTTTTGAAAAACAATTTTGACTTTAAAGCCCTATAACTTTGTTGAACCTGAAAAAACATATCAATTTTTAGTTAAATAAAGTTAGCAAATTCAATTGCCTGCCTAACTCGTATTTTTTGCAAGGACTCGGATAGATGGATATTCTGTCATATGACTTGCGGCAAACCTACCATTTCCCATTGGTTAACATGGGAATGTCGATTTTCAAAAATTCATCAAATTTATCATCAATTTTCGACCTATTGTAATTACGGAAAAAAATGTGGAGGTATTGGAATTAAAGTCAAATTACGTTTCCATCAATAGTATAAGTATTTTCATCGCAGGTTAAGTAAATAAAAATTCATCCTGTGATTATATATTAAATCGCATTGGGGTGATTTACCACCCAAAGTTAATGAAATACAACCTTTCCTAATGATTCACATTTAGATCCATCACTTAAATATTTGTTTTTCGAAAGGCAATCGACTTTAAGACCTTTGCTTTGACCTTTGCTATGAAAATCTAATCTACACTTATACTTCCATTCATTTGCATTTATTTCAGAGAAGACATACTTGGAAAAGATCAACAGGTTCTTCCAAAAAGCTGTTCAAGATGAAGATACCATCAAACCATGCAGTTTTGGCAAAACGAAAAGCATTGGGAAATTCAGATATTTCATTGCACATTGTTTTCGCGAAAGGTTTGTCTGTTGATAACCACTCAAATAATGACATAAATAGATATTAAAACGCCTTAATAACTGTAAGTATGAAATATTTGACTGATATAGGGACGATAGTGTTGACGACTTTTTTTATAGAGTAAATACACGTACATTTTGACAGAGAAGAATTGGAAGTAGACCCCGTTTTAAATATGATAAAAAACACTATATTGAAGAATTAAAACAAAAGAAGAATTAAAAGGTGCTGATCATTGCACGCTGTATGAATAAGTGTCGAAAGAATTGACAGCGATAATGTAGTGTATACTGTAATTAGAGATAAAGATGGTTGAAAACTTTATAACTATGATATATTTTAATTATCAATTTAGTGATGTGGGACAGTTGAGGAATGTTGACGCAGGATGTGTTAAAAGGATTGAAGAGAATGGAATCTTAGATGTGGATGGCAAGAAATGCAAAACGAAAACTGGCAAATTCAACAATACACATTGCTTTCCCAATAAAGCACATTCATGGGTATTTTTTGTCTGTTTTAGTAATGTTAGCTGGATAGTTATTGGTGAACCATACACTTAAGTCATCTTCTTAAACAGTTATTTGTTTTGATAATATCAGCTGGCTAATTGTCGGTAAAACATATAATTTAGTTATAGAGAATTAAAAATTACCACCCCATCCCGGACCCCAACCGGACCCCAACCGCCAAGGTTTTCTTCAATCATGGACTTATTAGACGATCGCACCCATCGCCCATGGTCTTAAATTAAGTATACATTTTAACCAAGACGCTCGCAATCCATTCTCGTACTAGCCAAGATTTGATTACTAGTATGATTTTTCCTATGGCAATCATCCTATAGTCATTATGCAGTGTGGAGTAGTTTATGATTTAGAATCGGTGAAGGAGGAATTATTTGATATACCTGTGAATCTTCAAGCGATACTGAAATTGAATTAAAGTTATAATACATCTTGTGATTATAGGGTCTCGACAGGTTAGATCAAAATGGCAGCACAAAACTCGATCGAAAGCTCCATGTAAACTGTAAGTCTTATATGCAAACAATAGAGCCTCAAAAGGAAATGATGAGCCATTGCTATAGCTTAGAGTAAGACTTTGTCGAAGTTGAAATTACCCCATTTACGTACCTCTGGTTTCCAAAAACGCTTCCAAAATCAATTATCTAAATAATGTCTCAATGTGATGACATAATGAATGGCATAATCATATTCCTTGCATACAGGTTCAAGCAAACTGTCTGCCAGTGTCTCGTATTAAAATTTGAGCATCCAACTCCTCTTATTTAAAAATCTAGAGCCAACGGTAAAAAACTTTTTGATCGACCTTGTATCAACAAATATATACTTTAGTCTCATATCCTTCATTATTGTTCATATTTTAGATTTTGGACGGAAGGTGACCGGTTTTATATTTGACACGTGAGCATATTTTCCAGTCTTTTTAATTCAATACAATCATTATTTTCTATTATTACAAAAGTTATTACCTTGTATTGGATACATTTGGTAAGAAAGAAAACAAAAGAAATTTGAGATATGTGAGAAGCAAAGAAAAACTTCTGAAATACAATTTGAATAGTGCGTAAAAACTTTACGTCCGTCATTATGTGCACTAAATGGGGGCACTTATAGAAACTGAGCTGAGATCTTATTATTGCAATTATTATTCATTGTAGAGGAGTTGATCCTAAAAACCAAGACTTTTGTGACAGATTTAGCAAAAAGGTAAAGTTTTAGTGTTCATTAAATGTTCACCTTTTTGAATAATGTTATAAAGATCTAACTATTTTGTACTTATACGACCGCCGTCTTAAAATTCGAAATACTGCCTTTTTTACTGCTACAACCACAAAAATAAAATATTTACATTAGTGTAATTAATATATAAGTACAATTATAAATACTATTTCAGCTCAGTGTTAATGCTGTCGTGCTAGGGAAGAGTGCTTGGGATAAACATGGACATGGGACGCACATCGCAGGTTTGTGACCTATGACCTAGCATGTCGACGTCTCACTTGTGGATCTGGGGGGGGGGTCAGGGCGGCATATCAATTTTAATCAAATTACGGGGAGGTCAGAATAAATTCAAGCATAAAATCTAAATCCATTGGGTCCCTTGTTAAAAATGCGATTTTTAAATAGGTCTTTATGTATCTTGAAAGTACGCTCAAATACTTTCAGTGGAGATGGGCGGTCACGTGTTCAGAGGAACGCAATTATAGTCTCGGAGAAGATTAGCATTTTTAAGATTTCGATTTAGACTTCTTACTTTTCAACTGTTGAATACTCAGTTGTCTCAAGGGTGTGTTTAGTGTATTTTATGAAACAGTTACAAATGGTATCGTATATTTCAGGACTATTTGGTGGTTACAAATATGGTGTCGCCAAAGAAGCCGATATTGTCTCTGTGAAAGTATTAACAAAAACGAAGAAAGATGGCCTAGCGTAAGTTAATAATGGCAATTCTTTTTCAACTCTTTTACCTTTCTTTATAAGCGTAAGTTAATAATAACAATTCTTTTTCAAATCTTATTTTTTTACTTTTCTGTAATAATAACAATACTTGTTCAACTCTTTTACTCTTTTACTTTTCTTTAGCGTAAGTTAATAACAATTATTTTTCAACTCTTTTACAAAAATGTTAGAGGAATCACAATGAGTAACTGTAACTGTAAAACGTTTACAGGACAGTTTCAATGCAAAAGACCCCTTCTTAAAAAACATTTGGGATGATACAAATAATTTACAGAATGGCAATAAGCTTCGAACATACAGATTGTTTAAATATGGAGTAGTTAATGAACCATATGTGTCTGAATACATTCCAAGGCATCACAGAACCATTCTTGCTAGACTGAGAACAGGTAGCCTCCCACTTCACATTGAGACAGGTCGTTGGTCAAATACAGCACTAAATGATCGTACATGTAAATTATGTGATGGTAATTTTGTTGAAGATGAAATTCATTTTGCTGTCCAATGTAAACATTATTCCAACTTGAGAACACATTTTTATAGAACTGTAACTGATATTTTAACACCACATATAAGAACAAACACTGACAATGAGTTACTTTTATTTATAAGCCTAATGCATTCAAGATCAATCCAGAGACAGTGGGCTGCTCTGTTATACAAAATGTTCATGAAAAGGCAATTTGACCTGGAACGGTTGACTGCAGTATAATAATTTGCCATATTATTCCTATGTATTGTATTTATTGCAGTGAGGGCCTAACCTCCACACCATTTTGTAGTCAAGAATCTAGTCATTATCTCACAAGATGTAAATCATTTATCAACACTTATAGATGGAATTATTAATATTTATCAATCTATGTATTAACGTAGATGAATTGTAGTTTTATTGTTGAATGTCATATATATACACTGTTATTATTGACCTTTAAAGTCCAGTGTCTCATAAGCCGACATCGGCTGGTGGTTTTTAGAATATGTATTTATTTGTACCAAATGTAAACCAGTGACACTATAATAAACTATTTTAATAATAAAAAAATAAAAAAGTAATGCACGATTTCACTTTCTTATAATAAAGCAATGGTTTCCCAGTGTTTCTTGAATTCTATATATCCTGCTTTAAATTTCAGCAATGTTTTAGCAGGAATAGAATATGTAAGCAGTTTGAATATGAAACGTAAGATTGGGGTGTAAGTAATTATTAGTACATTGGTTAGGAAAATGAATGTTATATTTTAATTTTAAAAAATTATTGGTACTTTATTTTGCTATTTCAAAATACTATATTTAATAAACAATGTGTTGTGTAGCTTGAACAGAAATGGACATTATGAGAATGGATAAGAATCTCAAACTGAACAAAAAAAACTTCAATAGTTTTGTGATTATGAACAAAAAAATAATGTGTAAAAAAGCATTTATCGTTTATCTGAGATAACCATATTCTACATGGTGACATTTTTCAGAATGGCCTTGAGGACTCCCAAGAGTGCCATCCTAAACGAAGCTGTAGACGCATTTGTTGACAAGGTATGGACATTTGACATCAAATACAGTAAAACTTGTCTTAATGAATACTTTTCTCAAGTGAACACCTCTCTCTTATGAACACCCTTCATCAGCACATACTCTACTGACTATAAATTGCCCTTTCTGTAGTGAACACCTACAAACACTTCACTTTTTTTTCACGGCAAAAAAAATGTTAAATATACACAGATTTTACTATACTGTATTTTCCTGTTCGATAAAATAGCAAGCTTGGTCGAATCGACTATATTTATCCGTTTACAAGAACTACTGAACGTGACAAAATATTTTTTGGCGTGACCCGCCAAAATATTAATCAATTAACCAAGATGTAAGTTCTGTCATAACTTGCTCTCCAATATCTTATATGAATTTAAAACACTGTAAATATTATGTTTAAATAGAAATAAAACGCGGTGTTTCAGGGAGGCATCATGGTTGTGTCCGGAGGGTCAGCAAATTTGGACGCATGTGACTTCTCCCCCGCATCATCTGTGAAGGCGTGAGTCTATTAGTTCCTAGTTTTCACAATCAGGTAGTTTTCGGCGAGGACGTCTGAGGCAAATATTTGGTTCACATATTAGAACAAATATTGAATAAAATGTCATTATTTCAAAATAAGATGAATAGGTTCACCTTGTATACGCGCATGATATTTCACTTTTATTCATCTCCAATTTTAGTATAACTGTAGGTTGCACCACACAGAACGACACCATATGTGAAACATCGAATTATGGCCCGTGTATAAATATATTTGCACCAGTAAGTAACTCAAATTCTCATTTGGAACCATGTTAAAATATTGAAACACATATTATCTGCGTCTGTAAGTTTTCCAAATTACATATTTGAGCCAAATTAAATACTCTCCATATTCTCAAAACGGAATTCATCAAATCATTTGCATCAATGACTAAATCAAAATCTTACGACCATGCATTTAGTCTATTGCATTTCAAAATAACCGAATAATTTGTTAAATTCACTACATAGGGCTGGTCAAGCATTGGGCCAGATATTGGTGGCGGTGAGGCCGTCTATCATGGTATGTATCAAGATGATCTTGTATATGTTCAAAAAAGCACAACTATCATAAAAGAATAAGGCATTAACATGCAAAATGTCACTACCTGTCATTTGTTACATTTGAACGACAAACGTCGACCGTCATACGCATACATCTCCACAAAAGTTGGATACATTTGGTGGTGACATAATATCTAGGTATTAACATCACAAAATGTCATGCCACCTGGCTGTGATTGCAAACTGTGCAACAATTGTTACAAACGCCAAATGCCGAACTTAATATGCACGATCAATCAGTTTGATAAAGTTTAGCTCCTGAAAGGATGCTTGGGCAAATAAATACCCATAATGGAATATGAAACTTCAAACAATGCATGGTTGAATTCTTTATGTTTGTTATATGTTTTGTAGGTACATCTCAAGCTGCAGCATATGTGGTGAGTACCATAAATGGTTTTCATATGGAGTAGAATAAGTACCATATATGGTGATTACCAGAAGTGGTTAAGTACTGAATAATTATTTTTACCATAAGTGGCATATATATTTAATGCTTACATTTGTTAAGTACCATAAAGTGGTTTTCATATGTGGTGAATACATAAATAGTGGGTACAGGTACTGCTTGCTTATGTGTGATAAGTGGCAGGTGTGATAGATGCTACATATAATATTATTTGTTATGTGAAATATCAATTTGACATGTAAACTTGCACACCTTCATTGGTCTGAATAAGATTCCCTTGGTCGAAATATCATATATCCACTCCTGGAGTTAAACAGTTAAATGACCACTTTTCCGATGAAATACAGGGTGTTCCATATGTTTCAGGAATGATGCTGTGTTTTATTGGTTGTCTTTTCAATCTAACTGAATTTTTGACACAATGTGTCTAAACATGTTTTAAATAAGTTGGGAAAGTTTCATATCGTGAAGTTCAGTAGTCTTAATTATATGGTTGCTATAGTAACCTAGGGGTAGGGTAGCTGGAGCAGGTGTAACAACGCGCAAAATATATGAAATATTTGTAAAAATAGTTTTTTTGTACCAAGTGTGACTAAGTATTAGGTTGTCAGAGTTGGATCAAACTTGTCAGTAATTAAAGAAAAATGAAGGTGGATTCCAAGAAAGTAAAAAAATGTCATCATCCTTGATTACATCACAATTTTAACAACTGTCATGTCATGAGTCACAAAGGAGAATAAACACAGGTCATTTTGGACGAGTGGCCATCTTGAAAAGTGAAAAAGTCATTAGCAAAGGAAAACCTTCTACTTGGGCAACACACAACAATCTGTGACAAGACATGACATGTGTGAATAACAGTTTTCTGCAGCAGACACAATTCAACTCCTGACGAATGCACATGGGGACTCAATGATGGTAACCTCTAGAGTGTATGAGTGGTACAAGCGGTTCAAATCTGGAAGGGAAACTGAGACCGATTATCCAAAATGTGGACATCCGAGAATAGTGAGAGCGCTAACTTATGCGGAAGGGATAGATGCTGAAAGGATGACGATGGCTTATAAAGGGTGTGATAACATTTTTAATTCCCAGGAATCCACCTTTATTCTTTTTAATTTCCAACAGGTTTGATGCGACTATGACAGATTAATACTTAGAACACTTTATACAAAAACTACTATTTTCACAAAAATGTCATGTTATGTGCGTTGTTACACCTGCTCCACCTACCCTACCACTAGGTTACTATAGCAACCATATTGTTCAGTCTACTGAGTTTCATGATATGAAACTTTTCCAACTTATTCATAACATATTTGAACACATTTTGTCAAAAGATCAGCTAGATTGAAAAGAAAACCAATAAAATACAGCATCATTCCTGAAACATATGAAACACCCTGTATATTTTACATTCATCTCCAAAATTTTGGCAGCATCAACTCCTCCCAAACATAAGTAGGCTTTAGCATGTCGTCAAATGAGGAAAGTATGGCTGCCAAACTTATGGATCGGAGGGATAGCAGGACAAACGTTAACTTTACAAACAATTTCAGGGAGGAATATTGGCAACGATTTGGGGAGAATTTCCCTCAACTAGCGGCAAATTTATCATCAAGAAGTTTTATCAATTGTAAGTATTGCGAAATGGATAAAACTTGGGTTTAATTTAACTTTTGATGGTTTTGTTGCAATAGATGAATTTGTTCATTTGACATTAGGAAATACTGTATACAAAGGATGAACATAATTTGAGCCCCGGGATTTGAGCTCAGTAAAACAGGATCGTGAGGGGGTTTTGAAGGAAAAAATACAGAAAACAACTTGCTACCACATGCAACAAAAATTGATTAAAGTAAATATGTTCCCATGTGTACTAAATTTTATGGTAAGATGCCAATATGAAAAACAAATATTCAGTTTGGCAAATCACTGACCTTTTTAAAGTCCGTGGGCAAATGAGCACTTAAACCGGCCGTGCAGATCCGATGTTAGATAGTTCACATTAAAACTCAGAGTGGCTTCTCTATATATTCCAGGGCTGAAAAGGGTGCTTTGTCTGGTCTACGTTCATCTGAAACTGGCTCACCCAACTTGATGGCCAGGGTAGCACCGTGTACACCACATTAGATCTTCCTATATGAGAAACTGTAACCACAAGAGAAACCAAGGGCTTATTTAATACCCGGGACTTAAGTTGTGTACCAAACGAAACGACACGACATACGGGGCTTTGTATGATCTTCATTAGACAATGGTGTATCCCAAAACTGGACTTCATTTTTCAGTTGATAAAACAGCTAAATATATCCTTTGAGCTGACTTTGTTGAAGCAGTTACCATAGGCCGATAGGAATATTTTTTAAATAAAGATGGCATGGTAATCGATCTGTGTTTATTTATAAAATATAATACTGGATTCTGTTGGTGCTGCCATCTTTATATCGGCCCAGAACCTATGGCAGTTACTGTATCTTGCCTGTCTCATATTTGGGTCAGCTTTGTATAAAGGTTGAACTAGTGCAATACAGTAAAACCTGTTTACATGAACCCTTTCTGTACTGACAAAAACTTCCTTGTAGACAAATGTTCCTTACACCCATTGAAGTCAATGGAAAAATATTTTGGTGGAGTTTTTTTGTACTGAAATGTTCCATCAGACAGGATTTACTCTATGTGCTAAAATTCATCCTAAAGTCTGCCTGTGAATGAATCCATTGCCAGATTGCAGAAACATTATAATGCGATTTAATAAGCAGCAAAAGTAGATAAAAGATTCAATTTTACGAAAAAGATTCTGAAACCAATTGTTCTCTTCTTTTTGTTGGCAAAATTATACAAGTAAAACCTGTCTAAGTGAAACACCTTTGGTACCTCTAAAAAGTGTTCCACTTGGGAGGTGTTCCGCTTAAAGGTGCAACAATTAGTGCAGAGGGGCCATTTAACGATCATGGACGTGATGGATCTTAAAAATCTATGAGTGGGACTAACTTTATAGAAGCTTTTAATTGAATTTACACTTCTTAATGCTGAAATAGATAGTTTTTCTCTACATTTTAAGAAAATAGGTATGTCAAAGAAGATGTTAAGCCAAACGTTGCCCTGATAGCTCAGAAAAAGTAAAAAAAATTGAATTTTGTTCTCTACAGACCTTCTTGCCCCTTTAGGAGGTTTATTTAACATTAAGCCAGTTGGTCTTTGGACTCTGAAGTGTTCAACTAATAGAAGTGTTCAGCTTGGAGGATTGATCCACTTTACAGATTTCACTGTATTACATGCTTTCAAGTACTATGATATATTCATGTTAAGAATTTCAGTGATTCCAAAATGTTATATACTTTTCATTTGTAAAGAAGATGGACATTTCTTGGAGTATGAACCTTTCAACCATGCAATAAAGGCAATCAATCAGAACTAAGTGCACAAATGATACAAGACACGTTTGCATTTCAGAAACGTTTGTATATTCTTTTTGAAAACACTTAACATACAGCTTAAATGGACAAAAAATTGTAGTTTTAGTGTGATTTAAAATGGATAACATCATCCTAGATATATATGCTACTGTTACCCATATCTCAACATAAAATGAAAATTTTACTTTATTAAAAACATTGACTTATTTTGTGTCATTTAAGTATATCCCAATCATTATACGAAATATGTGAAGCTTGTTTACATAGATAGTCAGTAGTAAAATGCAAAACTAACTACAGTAACTATATTCAGATTTAAAAAACTATAAGATATGTACATGTATCATCACATCATATCATTCAAATGTGAGATAAGATTTTAACATCACTCTACTATATACAGGGTGTTCCAAAAGTAACAGGACTGGTGCTGGTACTTTGTTGAATATGCACCAATTGTCTTCAAAATTTTACATGATGTACTTTCATGTATTGTGATAGAAACTGCAAAGTTTAGACAAAAATTATAAAACTTGGGTACAGTTATGGTTGCTATGGTAACATGACATCACAATACCCGGGGCAACACTCCACGCAAAAAGCTACACAGACTTTAAACATTTTGTACATCCCATATCAAAGTTGAAATGCAACAACTGGTGGGAATTACATTTGCTTTACATCATTTGATATTCCTATTTATCCTATTCTTTGAAAAATAGGCTCCTCTTTGGTCAGTACAAGAGTAGCACTCTGTATCCATGACTCAAACACATGAGTGAACCCATTTGAGGACATCGCAAGGTCAATTGGATGACTTTGAGAAGGTCATTCTCATTAGTCTTACAGCACTGATTAGCATTCCGTTCTCAATATAAGTAAAAATGAGATATTGCATGATCAGAAGAATATGGTGCATGGTCTTAGACCTCAACACCTAGCTCTTTTATAGCTGCAGTGGTCTTTAATGCTGACTTGTGGGCAGGTGCATTGTCAAGTGAGATGACTGGCTTCAAATTGGGTCTTTTCAAAAATTCAACCGTGAATTGTGTAGACTGTTATACATAGCGATATTCAAGGAAATTGAATAAATATTATTATCATGAAATCATACTTGAATCTGAGTTGTATAGCAACACCATTACACAGTGCAGCTAATAAAACAAACAAGAAATGTTGTATTGTAATAGCTGAATTAGATACTTTCTTCAGTAATACAAAAATGTTAAATATCACATTTTCATGAAAAAGTTGCCCCGGGTATTGTGATGTCATGTTACTATAGTAACCATAACTCTTTCCGCATTTAATCATTTTTTCTGAAACTTTAGAATCTTAGTTGCAATACTTCAATTTACATTCTGTGAAAATTTGAAGACACTCAGTGCAGAATTGACAAAATGCCAGCACCAGTCCTGTTACTTTTGGAACACCCTGTATATACTACTACATCACTCTACTATACACATACATGTAGTCATTAGAAAGTTTTTGCACCTCACTTATAGCATGTTTATTTTTCCCCTATAACATATAACTTATGAAGTATTTTATTATGTCATCATTTATTTAGTGGCTCAAAATACCAACAAGTGTGATATTCTTAAAAATTATTGTCTAAATGTAAGAATATCACCTCTTTTTAACGTTACAGCTGCGCAATAAATGATGACGCTATCATACACTTTATAAGTAACGTTTTAAATACAGGAATAATAAACATGCAATAAGTGAATTGAGAAATCTCTCTATTAACATACCATTATGTAGGTCTATAAATAATGTTTTTGGAATTTGAAGGTTTTAACTGCATGTCATTAACATATCATTGTGTAATTCCATAAATAATGTATTTTTCTGAAATAAATGAAGATCTACTGAAAAGTTACCTGTTGCTTTCCCTGTAATTAGTCTTTGCATAGAAACATTAACAAGGCCTCAGGTTGTTAAGACTAAAAGTCTTAGAAGTAGAAATGTTGCAAAATCTTAAAGGCCCCATATAAAGTTTAAAGCGAATAAAAACATATTTTCAAACTTTTCACAGGGCCTTTAAATATGTATATGTACAATATCATACTGATAGAATAAGAGTCATATTTACATGTTATTATCAAATGATAAGCATTAAAGAAGCAAGTTAAATGCAGTTAAATGCTTGTCTCTATTTTATGAGAGAAGTACAGTATAAGCTCTTGATCCCACAATGGACCTCAAGTGTCAGTTGATCTTCAAGTGTCATTGTATCTAAAGGGTTAACAGTTTTAATTTTCATCCTAAATAACCCTGGAATATTTCTAAATACTAGTATAATGATATGGAACTCATTCAATTGACTTGGACCAAAACGTTTCTTTTTTGAAAATAATGAAGCTTGAAAACAATTCATGCATGAATTCAGTCTTTTAAAACTGAGAAGGTGCAAGTACCATCGCGTTAGCCACGCCCCCTTTGTCTTTATCCTTCCAAAGTGATCTCTCGCAAACGGCAGATAAGAGGGGCTCTGGCATACCAGAATGTACAAGTACCAGTACTATTGAATTTGGAATTTGTCGTATTGCTAAGTTATGGAATTTTTTCAAGTTTTCATATTTTCAGAAAATTAAGTGTATATCCATGTCAATTGATTGAAACTAGATAACAGCGATGCCAAGGTAAAGCAAGTCCCATCATACAACCATGGCTGTCATTTTTAGAAATGGCCACTTATTAGCCAAATTGTCATTAGATAGTGTTAAATTCACGTATAAAATGTCAACAAAATTGTATATGAGTTATTACCTGGAAGGATATACAGAAAATGAAACCATTCTTTATGTGTCCCGAACTTCGTTCAATGGGATAATACAAAATGATTAGGCTTATTAAGGATGAGAATTACAGCTATAAGCCTGGAATTTACTTGACAATTTTTGATGACATACACAAAGTAGTATTTAAGACATAAGGTCCAAATGCGTTCACAGATCTCCAGCCAGATATTTTTTCTTTGGTATATACAAAATATTTCATAATGACTGCCATCAAAAGCTGATTCTTGATCACATGGTCATATAATTGATATTCATAAAGCTTTCGTATGAGACCATATGGTGTATGGATATGTTACCTAAAGTGGTGGAGGACTTACTGGAATTACTAAAATTACAAGGACAGATGTTTTAAAACTATAAAATGCAAGGCAATGGATTATATACAACTATAAGTTTGAGATTTACAACAGGTGAATATACTGGACAAGAGGTCAGGCAAAATACAAAACAAGTACACAGAGACCAAGTTAGAATGACCCAGTTCAACAACTCTCACTTAAAACAATCCAGCTGTGATAATGATTCGCAATACAATACTATGTTTTATAATGAAACCAAGAATAATATGAAATTAGCAGGAACTCATACCTCAACACCTCTGAGTGAATCTGACTGGTGCAAAGCACAACCATTCACACCAAAACAAGCTAGTGTAGCCAGTGAGGGACCATATCAAAAGACACAAGGTAATGTTGGAGTACACACAAGATGTATGGAACCTTTATCAATTCAAACTGATAAACAAGTTTCTGCTGTGGATTTAATGACGGAGACCACCAATAGTATGATGACAGGTTTGAATGAAAAGCAAATTGATCCAAAATCTAAACAAAAATTTATACCAACAAAAAAGAATAATTCTCGGTACAAAGGCCTGACAGTGAATAGATCCAGTAATACAGATAGTATTTTGTCAAACGATTGCTGCATCCAAACAAACATTACTTCAACTGAGAGTAAAGCAGTGAGTGCAAGGATACGAAAGCGGAATATTGCTACAAACACTGATGAAATCCTCATAAAAGCAACATTTCTTGAAAGCAAGCTGACTAAGGAACATTTTAACAGCAATGATCTAAAGCCACGTTTAGAGGACAGCAAACGAAACACTGTCATACATGATACATTTTTAGCTCATCAACAACGTGGAGATGAGAACATGGATGTGTATATAGCAAATCTGGATGACTTTCTTGTGATAATATCCAATGACATGAAAGAAAATGAATCTGAGATACAGGGGACATTATTAAAAGATCCTGATGCCAAGTGGATTGACATTGCCCATGAAATACTTCTGAACAGCATTTGTGTCAGTGAACAGACAGGACTCCAATGGATACGTGATCATATCCTTGAGTTCATTAAAGATGGCCCTGACAAAGTTCTATCCCTACAGGCTGTAAGCAAAGATCCACAGAAGGACACATAAATATAATTATCATATCTTCGAACTGTCTCTATTTGGACTGATTGTTTGTACTTCATCATTTTCAAAAACAAGTCCTATACAGGGTAAACTATTTTGACATGTTCCTTCTGAAAATAAGCACTTATATTAAGCACTTTACAGGAACTCCTGAAGTGAGATTGAATTTGTGTTTATTAAAGAAGACACCTGTTGTAAATTTCCACCCTTTGTGGTCTTAGATTAGTACTAACATTGATTGTAAACAATATTTTGAAAAAAAAAATAAATAAAAAAAAAAAAAATATGGTGTATGGTATCTTAAAGGGGCAACAGTCACTATGGCATATTATATTACATACTGGCTGAAAAAAAATTTCCAGAGCATCCCTAACAAATTTCATTGTTAATATCATAATGCTGAACTGTAACTGGACAAGTTTTATCACATGACCTAATAGGGTTAATCTGCTATAGAACCCACTCTGGGTCATGTTTAATATTGTTCATATCTTTACAATAAGTGGGACTAAGACATTAATGTCATGGTAGATCTGGTGATCATGATTCACCAAATGCACATCAATAGTTTCTGTATATTTGCCTGTCTACTTGCAACTATGACTTGGAATGAAACCATAAATCCTTTAAATTTTTTCTGGTGTTATAATTCTTGTTCTTTCATTTGCTTGGTTACCATTGGGCTTCGGTTGTGTTGTGGCACCGTTAGCCTCATTTTCATCTCCACCAGTGCTGCCACCTATTTCACTTGTGCCTGTTTCCACATCCCCTGTTTTGTTCAGGTAATTGTACAAGGGGAATTCACAACAGACAAAACACTTCAGTCCATAGTTCAGCTTCTTGTATAAGGATGGTGGTAGTGGTATTAAAGGACTAGTCGCTTGTTTATACTCGAGATAATCAGGGTTTCTGAAAGAAAATAAAAAATAAATCCTTACTGTATCATCATATCAAAATAAGTAGTGGGTGTCTGGCCTGTAGCCAGAAAGAGGGTTCGTTGTTATACTGTTATGTGGCCAGAAGGGGGGGGGGGGGGTTCATTGTTACTGGAAAAAATCATATTGACTTGATAAAAATTAGGACTTAATTGGTTTTAGTTCCCAAGAATTTCCAAAGTGAATTGGAACAATTAAATGAAAAAAGCATTTTATTTTCATTTTTTTAATTGTTATTTACAGTTCAAACCTGAATGCACTAAAATGGTATTTATGAAAAGTATAGGCAGATTTCCCTTGCCACCTTTAAATGAAAACTTTGAGGGTGATCACTTACTTGCTATATCTTTCATCAGAGCTCTTCTCAAGCATAGGAATTCCACTAAGGAACAGTAGAATTGCTGTTATAAACAAAGGCCCAAGCACAGCTGTCCACTGGGGGCCAGTCAGTATTGATGTACTTATGATGAACATGCCCCACCACAGTGTAAGCTCACCATAATAATTGGGATGCCTTGACACTTTCCAAAGACCTGCAAAAGGGTTAAAACTACATTTATTGTATTTCTAGTAATAATTTATTTGGTTTGTCTGTGGGCCAAACATTAAGTTAAACATAGCTGTAGAGGGGTAGGTTCACTTTATACTTTTGCAGAGAAAATCCTTTTTAATATTGCGCTTGTAGTTCAAAAATGAAACTCTTGTAAGAAAATTTTGGGCCTTGCTGTAGAAAATTTTGGCCCATTGTTCCAAAAATTGGGCCATTTTTCCAGAAATGCAAATGTTGTTAAAAATAATACCCAAAAATGCTATTAAAATAGTTAAGAGGGACAAACCACTCAAATCTCCAGTTGTTATTGTATGTACATGTACTGGTCATTAATGAAAATAACATGGGAACATTTCAACATTAACATGGGAACATTTCAACATTATCTTATCTTATTCATTTACTCACCCACATCACACCATTTGCCTTTGTTGTCAGGGTTATTTCTAAAGTTGAACTTTTGCATATCAGCGACTGTTTCCACAGCAAGTCCGATCACGAACATGACGATGCCTACTATATCCATTGGTGTCCAAATATTGGCATTTGGTTTTGACGCGCTGGATGGTGCATTGACGAATATCACTGGAAGGCTCACAGTGAACACCCAAAATGCCTATAAGAATAATAATTTTTTTTTTATTTAACCAATTTATTCCATCTACATGTACATACATATATTTATTACCACCTTGCCGGGCCAGTTCTAGGGGTTTTAGTGCTAGTTTAGAAGGCATTCATTTTACTATATCGACCTGAGAAATATGTGACGTCATAGTGGCAGTCAATACTGCCGGTCAAGAATGCTATTCTCGACTGGCAATTTTCCCGGGGAAATTAGATATCGTTCAGTGCGTAAGATTTTCTTGCTGTTTCAGTCCTGGTCATTAATGGTGGTAATAATACTAATACTATTGTACTAGTCTTCAGATTATTATTTTTTTATCGACATAATTGTTAACATATTACATCTATAAAAGAATACTTAGTACTCTAATTGGCAAACCTACATCAATATACATTATATTTAGATCTTCAGCAAAAATGTTAGTTCTTCACTCATCATATACTACATAAATTGCTTTAATTTTTAAATTAGCGGATTGTATCAATCCGCCAAAATAATATGGCAGTCAAGTTAAGGCAATTTACAGTTTAGGTAGAAACATTCCAAAAACATACCTGAAAAGTCCAGAATCCTGCAAATCTCAGGCAATCAGTACGTTTATCATCGAATCTCTTGTCTTCCCCGATTTTTATAATTCTATACAGGAGGTACCCTGACAAACGGAGGCCCCAGACAACAATAAATGCTGTCACATAGATCTGACGAACATTCCATGTCTAAAAAAATTAAAAGCATGTTTATTAAATGGTATACAGACATCTGGAACCAACCTGCAAATTTCAAAATTACATGCCACACCATTAAAAATTTGTCTACACTCGGTCAAAACGATGTCAAATTGGCACATTTGCCTTTTATGGTACATGATCACATTCCAGATCAATTTGATCTCCCAGTTGCATTACATTGGATAATAAAAACAAAGATATTATTTCTTGCTAATGATAGCTGATAATGTTCCCTTGACCGTAGCAATAACAACAAGATAAGTGGGCAATAACAATAGCTCACAATTTGAGCTAATAATCATGTACAGTACATGGAAGATAACAATTTGTTACTTGATATTTGTCTATTGTTTATGTACTGTTGTAATATGTGTACATGGTTATGGTAGTTTGACAAAATTGTATACAGTATTTTGGATACCCATAATTTAGCGCATTTATCATTTTGGCCCAAGTTTCTTTTCAAACTTGTAAATCCTTCAGTAACGTCAACATTGATAAGATATGATGAACTTGTTTTTCAAATATTACTGTATAAGACACAATTCATGGTTTAAAAAAGCAGTCAATGTTGTTTACATTTTTGCCACTCTTGACCTCTGATGTTAATCATGCAAGTCACATGTTAATCGTATGAGTGTAATATTATCAACTAACCTGGGCTAAAAAGAATGTCAGTAGAGCTAGGACCACAAAGTTGGTTCCTCCCGCAAAGTCCGTCACTTTATCGAACTTAAATCCAGCGGCGACAAGGAAGAACACAAGCTGCATTCCAACAGTCACGATGGCGCATATCGCCAGATTATTCTCATCAAAAATATACATTGTAATAATAGAGGTATTCTTGAGTATCTTAATGTCCTCAGCAGTTGTTGTATGTGACTATAAGTATATTGATTGTATATTTCAATAATAATCTCACGTGTTCTATACACCTATCTGTCTAATAAACACTTGAGATTTATTACATCCTTTAAAATTCCTGTGATTGTAAAATGTAGGGCATACATGTAGATTACATGCACACTATTTATTATGTAGTCAAGTGTTGTTACATAATTCAGTGGAGAGCACCTTTAGTGAAATGGAACGTTCTCAAATGTCACTTTTATTAATTGCAGTTATTTATCATTGAGTTGAGGGGTTTCATCCAAAAATGTTTTTGTGCTGTTTCATATTTTTTACTTCTCAGAATATTTTAATCTCTTCACTGTTACTCTTGCTGTTATCTATATTATCTGTCCTTTCTCATGATATATCAATCGCTCGTATGTCCACTGCTTTATTCATGTATCTCCCTGGTAACTTTCTTCATCTGAAAAACAACAAATTACATAAGCATGATAAGTAATGAAAACAAACAACACACAGACACAAATAAGTTGTTGTTCATGAAAAAATGTGTTAATTGTTGTCTATGAGTATGTGCTAATTATTGCCTATGAGTGAAAAATGGGGTATGTCCAATAAAAGTGCTTATTAGTGGTGGATTGTCTTTGGGAGTCCCTGGAGGAACTTTTGTCCAAAAACACATTTTCTCATAAAACGAACTAGATACAAACTGAAAGAATAGATGGAAGACAAGCTCTAGTCACGGTGTTTTTAACATTCGAGAACTTGGCTATCCTTGTTGTTTCAGAAAAAGGTTTAGTACTTAAGTTCATCCTTGGATGGAAGAGTATTATGACAGGAAATAGCGAGGCTAATGTGAATCTCATACCACAATAGCATGTACAGTAAAACCAGTCTAATCTGAACAGGTTGTCACATTTCAAGATTTTTAACATGACTGCCAAATGGTGATTAAAAAATCTAGATTGATTCAAATTTTGTTAACTGGATACTAGTATATATCATTTAATATCTGTCCAGTTTTCCCTACTTAAACAAGAATGGATATCTTACTAATCAAATCTACAGAACATTAGCACATTGTGCACTACTATAACACCGATAAGTAAATCAATACATGTACTTATTAGGAACATGATGGTAAAATAATATGAGAACAATAGTGTGTCTAGATTTATTAGCACTAGTACTAGGTGCATTTAATAATGAAAGGCTTATTAAACATCTCCTATCCTCTCAATGCAGGGCTCTGCTTCCCTCTTTACTCCAAGGAAAACTGGATGGTCATGCAGCCTGCATTCAGTGTCGGTAATGTTTATAAGCACATTATACAGGCCCATAGCCAGGGAAGTTCTATGACCCCCCAGGCCAAAAAATCTTTCAAAATCATGCAGTTTTTCACCATTCTGAGCACTTTTTTTTAGTGATTTTGGCCATTTTTGGACCAAAATTGTCAAAAGTGAACCCCCACTGGAATTTTTCAAAAAGTGAACCCCCCTTGGCAAATCCTGGCTACGGGCCTATTATATGACACTGATATCATGCGCCCTGCATTCTGACGATGTAATCAATAAGCACTGCAAATGTTGTGTGTAACTAAGAACTACAGAATTGAAAAGTAAAGCAGAATATTATGTAAGAACTTACAGAATAAACAATTCTACAATTTAATCAGTCCTGCTAAAAGGTCCAGTGTTTAGTTAACAGGGAACATGAGGGGTGATTCAATTCTAATGAAAATAATAATTGTAACTTTTCTGTAAAGACACAGCGATATGGAGACTAGCACTGCCAGCACTGAGTTTGTTTTGCATGGATTTTTAAAAGCCATATATCACAGTGATCTCCCCAGCATTCAAGCAAGTGGGCCGTACACCCCCCCCCCCTGTGATTTTGAAAAAAGGCTTGCACCCACCTGAAAATCCGTTTGCACCTCCTTGAAAATGAGAAAACTCATGAAAATGGGCATATTTTGATCAATTTTGGTCTGAATTGTGAAAATGAGAATTTTGCACTCACTTGAGAAAAAATCCTGTGGAGATCACTGTATCATGTATAGAGACTCATATAAACCAAAGCTCCAGCACTATTAAATCCTACCAGAAACTTAACTTGAGTCATTAAGCAATATAGCATTAATATAAAATTACCATACTCACAGGCTGAATGTTAGACAGGTTACATCCGCACTTTTACCTTAATAATTACTATTACCTGTTTTTATCCAATTATGAGACATTTCATTTTGATTTGACATAGAATACAAAATTGGAATTATGAAACAAGTCTCACAATGGTATTTCCCATCAGCCTTTATTTAATCATGTGTTCAATATTAACGAATAAAAATTTGTAGACTTTAGTGTTGTTTTAGGGCTAGAGGTGTATTGAAGTACTGTTTACTGTTTAGCTTTATAAACAACAAATTGTTAGCACACATTAAAAGTATGTTTACCTTTTAAAAGGCCACCCTTACAAATTGTATGAAAATATTTTTTCATCATCCAAATCAGATTTCTCATGACATTAAACGCTGTTTTCAACATTTTCTGAAAAAGAACTTCTCATCATTTGAACAAGCAACTAGGTACATTTTTAGATCATCAAATATATAGAGGTTATTTCATGGGAGGGATTGAATATGTTTGTTTTTTTTACTTAACACAAATTTGATTGTGAGATTAATGACTTCAAACATCCTGTTATGTACATGCATCAGAGTCATGCAATCTGTGAACAATCGGAGAGAGGTATCGTGTTTAGGGGGGGGGGGCATAATCTAGTGGCCTAAGTTTCCCTAAACTATCTATTCCACTAAAGCGCAGGTGTAATTCCAGCAAGTAATAACTAGGGTAACATGTTGGTATTGTCCTAGCATAAAGATATTTTTGAAAGAACCAGATTTATCATATTCCCTGATTAAATTGTATAATCTGAACACTTTTCATAAAAAATCAGATTAAAATATGTTGGTAAGTAAGACAGTGTTTATTTGCCATTTAATAAAATCTAATTATAAGATTAATTGAAGAACAGGATGCATCTGATGTGTTAAAAGAACTACTTCTGTTAACAAAATATAAATATTGTAATTAAATAAAGTCCAAATAGGTGAGAAGTGAAATTCTCAATTATGCAATTTAAAGGAGTTTAAAGAGACTCTATTGAGACTTCTCTGTGGCATTTTTTCTTTATTCCTTTTTGTTTTGAATTTTTAACACCATACCATTAACAAACTACTCAATATGCAACTTTTCACCGCGTAGAATTTTAAAATATTAAGTTTGAAAATTCCATTTTTATAATGGAGCTCAATGGGAAAAACGACATAATTTGAATTATTTTCAAACGTAGCGGCGCGATTTTGATAAAATTGACAGATATAATAAATATTGATAAGACAAAATGTTTGATGAAAAATGAAGAAAATTCACCGTCCTGGTTACGCAAACTATAGAAAAATCTGAAATAATCATAAAAACCTGTAAAAATAGTTTGAAGGGGGTGATATTCATTTTTAATGTGCCTTTCACTACTACAGGGTAACCATAATTTTGGTACTGATTTGATTTTTCAATGAAAATCATTTGTATAGTCTATAGTCAGTTTAAATAATACAATTGGTATATTTCTTTACTGAACAGTGCAATCATTTATTTATTTATCAACAGTAATGCAAACTACATATTATACAGTGAGTAAAATATTAAAATAATTCTATTAAAATTAAAGCATTGCCAGAATGTGTTGACAGCTGGCAAAAAAATGAAGAATTTGAAGAAAAATAGCCACCCAAAGACACTTACACCTGCTAATTGCAACTTTGCAAAGAGTTTATGCAAGCAAGAAAACTATTTGGAAAAACGTAATTTCGGGTTGAACATGGTACCCACCACTCTGGTTACCTTAGCAACCATCTCTCAAGAACCAATCAAAATTGAGGTCCCAAAGGACCTTATACACCCTCCATTGGGATCTCCCCATGAGAAAAAAATAATTCATCTGATTTTTCAAAATGAGTTTTCTGATTTAATTATTACATTTATATGCACACTAGTATCTTGTTGACCTATATTCAGCACTGTATTGATGTATAGGCCACTTATTAGGGTCATAATTCAATCATGAAGTGTAGAGGCATATGATTCCAAACCAGGAAGTATTTTTGTGTCTGTCAAAATCCATTTGCATCCTACGCATCCCTACATCTTATTCAAATATGTTACTACATAATGAAATAAAATAGTATATTCTTTGGTTTTACAAAGTTGTATGATTTTTGATAAGTGTAAAAGTTGTTTTTGGAGCATTTTTCTATAGCCATTTTGAAGGGCAAAAAATCATGAAAAAATGTTAATTTTAAGTATGACCTGAATCGATTGCAAACTTTATATTTGCACATTTGATGAGATAAACCATTAGTGCCATATTGTGAAATTATTAAGTTTGCAATCGATTCAGGTCATAGTGTATTTTTGGTATTTGTGTGATATCTGCTGATATCCTCATGTTAAGTCAATGAAGCACAGCCCCATGTAAGGCAAAACAACCTTACTTAACTAAATGGCCCCTATCTCAGCCTATGTGTGCCCGAGCATTTTAATATTTTCCAAAGAGTTATATGACACTCTATGCTTCATGTTACACCTAACAATTATTCATTTTAACATATAATGTATAAATGTATAACACATATGTGTACCAAGTTTCATTGTAAAAGTCCTATTTTCCTTTAAGTTATGGCATCAACTGCAAAACCTTTTGAACCACCTAAGTATATACCTTATTAGATGCAGTGAAGGAGTTAAATCATTGGGATATGAATAAATCATGCAAAACATATTTTGTACATATTTCTCATCATTTAGGGTTACCCAGTAGTTTACAAGCTGACCTTTGCAAAATATATTTCACTTACTATCCTCATTCGCTATCACACTATCTAGTTTCTTACCAAATTGGCCTGGATTGCCTGGTTTATTGGTTTTAGCGAACCGTCCATTTCGTCGAACCATCATTTTGCTAAGGTTGTTTGTGATGAATATACAATATTCAGTTACATATAACTGTACAGCAACTTTATGCAAGGGAAGGTAATTGTGTGAGAGCACATAAAGTACATGAAGTACTTACCCACTTGTCTCAGTGAATCTTATAAACAGTGCATAAAGTTTTTTCTATGCAATGATTGGCTCACAGTTACTTATAGTGTAAGTTATTTTATTTCTATACAGTGTGGAATAGAGTGTATAAACTTTTACAGTTTCAAGCAGGTTTTAGTGTTTTCTGACCAATGATATATTCAGACTTATTCATTTCACGATTATGTAATACTGACCTACATATCTGTATAGCATATCTTTAATAGCTAAGAGTATATAAGGACATGTCATATCTTAATCTCTTCATTTATATGATATATCACACTTGGTACCAAATATCTTGGTTTTGACTGTAGAGGGGGGGACGGGACTTATTTGACACCCTTTTGCTTTTTGTGAAAATATATACATATGTGTGGGTGATTCACATTTTTTAATAATTTTTTTCGAATTTCCTCAGTATGTCATTATGTGGAACTTTATTAGTAATGTAAATGGCAGTATTATTTGGCTGTTGGCATTCCTATTCACATTTGTTTTTTTGCCTGTTTCTTGAAATAATTAATACTACTTTTAAGTTTAAGAAAAGGCTTTGAACTTGCCAAGCCAAACACTAAAGACTATTTTCTTGGTCAACAAATGCTTATACTGTACAGTTATAATACGGCTTGCACAAAGGTTTTTCCCTTCACAGTTTAAATTACTTTCAGTTGAAATTACAAATATTGGTTTCTAGAGATATTCAAGATTTTGTTCGCGATTGATGCATATTTCACATAATATGATGCAAGTTTAGTGGGTCCAAAATCTTTTTAAATTTTTGAGCCCCAAAATTTAGTAGGGCCTCAAAATATGGGCCTTTTGGTACCATTTTTTGGCCAAATTTATCAAAAAATGGGCCTAAATTTTTCAAATTTATTTTCCAGACTCAAAATGTAAACAATGTGAGGAAGGGGTGATTCCTGTTAGAAAAATAACATGTGACTCAATTGAGGAATGCAGCAAAATTCCTCACATGCTATCTTTTGCAAGACTTACATTGTATGCCTGGTACTAACATCACCATGTTATTAAGTGTGTTAAAAGTTTCGCAAGGATCTTGCCATGACCATGGTAGTGTTATTGTGAAAGCCTCAGGGTATAACCATGACAATGCTATATTATATTGCAAGGCCTGTCATGACCATGGTAATGTTTAAACCTGATATGACTGTAACAATGGTTGCATGGCCTGTCATGACCGTGGCAATGTTTAAGCCTGACATGACCGTGACAATGGTTGCAAGGTCACTAAAGACTGATATTACCGTGACAGTGGTTGCAAGGCCTGTCACGACCGTGGTAGAGTTAAAGCACGATATGACTGTGACAATGGTTATATTAAATGGCATTTAGTAGAATGAGAATACTGTAAATCTCAAGAATGATTACCATAAATATGTAAATCTAGACTTTTATACATGTACATGGTACTCATGTACGTTGATACATAAAATATTAGATTCATTTAACTCATAATTCATTTCCGAAAACTATAATTCTAATCTCATTCGAGAACGTGAACATTGTCACGATCATATCAGGCCTTAATTATAATCATGGGCTCTGGTAGAGCCCATGTTATTTCATCTGGAATACTGTGAACTCCATTTGAAAAAAGCTGGCCAGAGTGTCATAAATTTATTGAATATTTTAAAAATCGCCAGATAAATAAATCATCAATTAAATCGGAACCGACTCAACTCCCTGATGAGATAGGACATGATTTCGCCCGGATTTTGTCTAAAATTAAAACAAAATGGCTCCAAGAAAAATGGCGATATTTGAAAACTGGACAAAATGTCATTAACGTCTGACATTAGTAACTGGCTGTAAATTCTAAGTTAGCGATCCAGAAGATGTGAACTAATACACTGATCACTTCATGTGTGTTTTGGAATTTTTGGTGAGGTAATAAGACCAAAACTCGCAATTCAAATTGTGATGTGGAAAAATGGCGGACATATGATTTCAAATTTTATGATTACGACATGACCAATTGTTCATGCAGGAAATTATCTTTCCAGGAAGGCCACGATACAGTGGCCTTAGAAGAAGGTGAGTCATATCAGGCTTACCACAGTCATGACAAGCCTTGCAACACCATATAACATTGTCAAGGTTATACCAGGCTTGACGGTTGTGCTAGGCATAAGTCTTGCAACAGATACAGTAGGGTCTTAAGGTTCACCTGGAAAGTAACATTTTGGTAAAAAATTGCTATACCTGCACATGTTATTTTCTGGTACATAATTAAGTATGAAGGCATGTGTGTATTTCCTTGCTTTTTTCAGGAAAGTATCATTACACTGTCTACTTTTAGTAAACCTGGAAACAGGTCAATGGTAGCTCCTGTGTTGTCTGGAAACTTTGAAAGAAAATTTGGAAAAACAGGAAGTGTGAAATATCAGAATTCCCTGGAGTTCCCTTTGAACGCCTACCAGATATTCTAGAAGAAGACAATGTAATGATACTTTCCTGAAAAAGCAAGGAAATTGATACATGCCTTCATACTTTATTTTGTACCAGAAAATAACATGTGCAGGTATAGCAATTTTTTACCAAAATGTTACTTTCCAGCTGTACCTTAAATTCTGAACATGCACCTGCCATGGCCCCCGGGGGGTTCACTGTATATAAAACTCGACGGGGGTCCTAGGCTGAAGCCTCAAATATCAATATGTTCCCATACCAATCTGGGTAACATTTTGGTAAAAAATTGCTATACCTGCACATGTTATTTTCTGGTACATAATTAAGTATGAAGGCATGTGTGTATTTCCTTGCTTTTTTCAGGAAAGTATCATTACACTGTCTACTTTTAGTAAACCTGGGGTCCTAGGCTGAAGCCTCAAATATCAATATGTTCCCATACCAATCTGTCAAATTTCAATATGTTCCCATACCAACCAAAATAATGCCTAAAGGCCATACCAAATGTCCAAATATAGGACCAATGCCATACCAAATGTCCAAATATAGGGCCAATGCCATACCAAATGTCCAATTATGGGACCAATGCCATACCAAATGTCAAAATGTAGGACCAATGCCATACCAAATGTCCAAATATGGGACCAATGCCATACCTTAATTCAAAGCTTAAATGTAGTAAAAATGGGGTAACAATCAAAATAGGCTATTGAAATATTTTTCAATGAGACTTAAGGTCAGGGGGATTTTTTTCAAAAAATTGGCGGAGGTTTAATTTGGCGGTTTTGATCAATCTGTCAAATTAAAGCATAAGCTTCAAATCGTTGGAAATCAAACACTTTTCGAATTGAGCGTCCATTTTTCTTGGCGGCAAGTTTTGTATTGAAATCACGAAAAATCCCGCAAGACTTAATTTCCCGGGAAAAAGGCTAAAATTCAAAAGTTGAAAAAGGGCCTGGAAAAGAAGATACTTTGGAAAACGATCCAAAACAACTTCAAATTTGCAACTACTGGACCAATGCCATACCACGAATGTTAGGTAATGTATCTACAACGACCATTCTCATACCAGAAGAGCAAAAGTCCGACCATTGCCATACCTCAGAAGTCAGAAATTTCCGGGCATTCCCATACCAAATCCTAAAATATGGGTCCATTGCCATACCAAACGTTGAAAAAGGTACCCCACATGCGCCGAGGATCCCCGTCAAGGTTTATATATAGTGAACCCCCCGGGCCATGGCCTAATTTCTGGATTCGACACTGGACACTATAAAACTCTGATAGTCAAAGTCACAAGAGGCGGCCAGCCCTGTCTAACCATGTGGTGGGCTAAACACTTTTACCCAATCGCAGTGACATTCAGGCTAGAGCTCTACTTAGAGTAAGACTAAATAATTTTTGCAAAAGAAAAAAAGTTGGACCTCGAGCTGACAACTCGAGTTTCATTATTATTCAATAAATTCACATCATATTTTGTGTTATTCAGAAAAACACTCAATCAACTACAGAAAGTTTTGGACATGTTTAATTTTCATATTAAAATATTAGCATTGAATTTAGACATTATAATCAGATAAATATTTTCGTTCACTTACCTCCCATTTTAGCCATTTCATTTTCGTTCAGAGCAAACGAAATTCCCGGGAACAATTTGCATTCATAGTCTTATTGTGCATATTCAGTTGTCATAACAATATTAGTCAAATTTTATTGAACTTTATTTTTTTCTCTCAAAAGCTCAACAACTTGTGTGAATGATACATGTAACCAGCAAGTAACACAAGACCCGGGAAAACCGATTGAGAAAACGATATGACCCTTTTCGTTTAGCGTAAAGCCTCGTTTTGGAAATCTGGGAAAATTTAAAAGTGAGTAATTTCTACTTCTATTTGTAGATTAAGCAAATATTTGAGTTATTTGGCCCGTAATTACTATATGTGACTTTACCTTAGTTTACTTAACGTATTATTTTATTTGATTTCCTCTTAATAAAGTGTTGCTTTATATGCCTAACGACCTTATAATTGTATTATCGCCCACTTTATTTATACATTCCCATGATTTTTTAGTTTTCCCATCGGTTGTTCTCTGCTTCTTCTACATCTACATCAAAAATCTGCAAAAGTCTGATAAGCCCATTTAAAGCAGATGGTCTATATAGTTTTCAGAGGTGTCACCCTGACTCGAAGTCGACCCATATCTCGGGAAAGAAAGCTCTGGTTGGATGACAAACAACTTCCTACCAACTTCTAACTGGCCTATATCTTGTATATATTATATATAAATTATGAACAGAAAATGATTTACCTTTATTCCTGAGTGATTTATGCCAAGTTTCCATAATTTTTCCTCTATTCATTTTTCTGTTTTTGTCCGACCAGATCTATGTATGTATGGTTTTATTTCAACCTTTTTGAAATTGAAAAGAAACTTCCTGGTTTGCTCATGGACCCCTTTAGGAAGTCCCTTTGTGTTGAGATACCCTGGAGACGACTCTCAGGCTACTGCGTTGACACCCCTATTTACCAGTAGTGTAGGCTTGTTGCTGTGCACTTAGAACATTCTTCCCTCTTCGTTCTAAAACTAAGAGGGAAAATCATCTTTCGTTCATACATCCCTGGTTTCAGCTCAAGAAACAATCTGACAGAGATTGCTTCATACTTGTAACTTTGGAATGTATTTTATTTGCAATTGAATTTTTGTGTTTTACATGTACCATGGGCTTTCTTGAGAGCCCATGGTTCTACTTTGTTTGAATGATGTAATTTCAATGCTTTTGTATCTTGTGTCAAATTTAAAAATATTTTCAATGATAGATTAACTAGTGATATAGGGACTTGAGGTGAGCAATGAAATCTTGAATTTTTTGATTGTGTCTCAATCAAACCAAACAAGCAATAAAAAAAATCGAGAGACCATCATATGGAAAAATACATTCATTATCTTATGTGCGAAACATTTGTATATTGCAGATAAATTAGTTTTATGTGCAATAAAACTGTGCATGGCCTCTTGCAATTTAGGAAGTTTCAGCCATGTTATTTTTTTGAAAATTGCATTGCAGAGAAGCATCATTAATAACTAATTTATCTGAAATATACAAATGTTTTGCCTGTAAGATATGAATGTATTTTTCCATATGATATTGCACTATGGTCTTTTGATTTTCTTAATTTTTAGGTTCGATTCCCCAATGAAACTCCTAGTATCCTCTCTTGCCCTATGAAATTATTTGACAAAACCTTTTTCAAAATTTCATATCTTTTCTTTGATTTCAGATATGGATTTAGAACTGCAATGGGTTCTAGAATTTGCTTGTGCAAACAGATATCACTCAGTTATAGCAGGTAGTGTTAGGTTTTTCTTGTTATTTGCGTGTGTGGTTAGTGGTTACAAAGTCATGGGAGCTAGAAGTGATAACTCCTATATGACTTGGTAATATCAAGATTATCTTGTATCTACCGACTAGCAATGTTCCACACTCAAAGTATTTTACATCTGTTGAATACTGCCAAATTTTTCATGTCATTTGATATGAGTTTAATAGCGACCAATTATAATAAGGTAAGCTTGACACTTATATAGTATACCAATGTTGTTCAGAAGAATGTTTGATAAATTCTTCAAATGGTTGTGAAAACATTGTTGTAAAGTTCAAGTTCTAATTGGTAAACTGCTCTGAAACTGAGCTATACGGGTAGACCATTCATCCTTTTTTACACATTTAATGTAATTCTAAATAAGACTTCTTTATAATTAAATAAAAGCATTGCTTCCATTTCCAGAGCATATAAAGAAGAATCCAGGTTGTGATGTAGATATAAGAATGGCGTGCTGCTCTATACACAGAATCATGACCAGGCTGGAGTTTGATGAGTTACCATTAGTTATGAGTCTCATAGAAGAAATATATAATCGTGTTGACAAAGTCGTGACATGTACCCATTTTGCAAAGATCATAAGTGGACTAAAAATCATGGTAAGCCAGTGAATGAAGATGGGGTAGAATTATGAATTTTTTAAGCAACCTGACATCTTTTGAATTTCTCTCAGGATTCCAGGAAAACAGTCCTCCAAATCAAATCAAATCATATCATTTTCAAAATGTCTCTATCATAGGTCTACAGTTGCTCTAAAGGTTTACATTTTTTACCTGCATTATTATCTAAATATTACAGAGTGTCATTCAAATTATTCACCTTTTCACAAAGTTTGCACTGATGAACCACAATATGATAAAAACTACGATTTGACTGAATAATAGTATAGATGTACACTCACCAAATATTTCATTGAATAACATAACACATGAAAACTGTATTTTCATAGGATAGATTTCTCATACATTATGCTTTTATTCATTTCAGATCTTATTTCATACTCTGCAACAAGATGACCCATATATGCTCGCTAGACTGAATGAATTTTTCCCCAGGGATGGTTGGAGTCACCCTAAAGCAGTAAGTTTACTTTCAGAATTTTGTGATTGGCCAGTGTTAGCAAAGAATCAAAATTGGAGGTGTAAATGTGAGGTTTTAAAGTATCTTAAATTCTTTGAAATAACATGTAATTTTTCACATTAATGGAAATGCTGAATATAATAAGAATCACTCAAATGCATTTTCTCATAACTGTAAATACTAAATGGTATACAATTGTATAAGACTAAAAAACAATGAAAATAAAGCTATGTATTGAATTGTGATTGATTTCAGAATCCTACATTGAGTAAGAAACTCAATAAAGAATATTTGAGATTCCGTAAATTCTTCCTTCCACTCATAACAGACAAGAAGTCTCATTCTGCTCACATAAAGGATGAGTTCGCTACCCAGACATCCACTCAGACACTAGTGACTAAGTTTCTAGAAGCAGTGGAGCATCTACTTCCTAAAACTGTGATTGAAAAGGTATTAGACTTATTCTTTTAACAATGTTTAATGTTTTGCTCTAAATTGAACACATGCTAGATTTGCTTGATGGGCAGTTGGAAAAAGGCCATTTCTTATCTAATATAAAAAGTAAAGATTATTCTTAAGGATATACCAGTGTAACCTCCGAAAAAATCGACCATTTTCAATCTCAACGAAATTAGGTTTTTATTATAGACCTAGATGTAGCGATTCGAAAAATGTAATAAAAAAGGTAGGTCAACGGATTAGTTTTTTCATGAGAAGCTTCTGAAAATAGGTGTGACGTTATCATCATTTGAATATTTGAGGCGCCATTGATTCCAAAGCAAAAAAACATATTTTCCTATATTTCGTCGATAAAATGATGATTTAGGGAGTATTGACGATTTTTTCGAGCCAAGATAAACTTCCTTTATACATAATTACATTGGTTCGAATATTGGTACACTCAGGACATTTTTTCTTACTTTTTTCACTTAAAGTGTAACCCCTACCCCAACAATATTTGTGAATTTTTGTAACGTTTTTCCATTAAAAACATATCTTTTTCATATTCGCATTTTGACACGTTTTGAATCGAAAATTACACAAATTTCCAATGGATTGTGGTATTTTTTTTATTTGCTTATTCTAAAAAAGGTGTTCTCGTATTTATTTTGATATAAAAAAACATAGGGTCAACGGTCTGTTTTACGCTTGAAAATGCCGTTGAAGATTGGTGGGCTTTAACAATGATACAAAAGCCACTGGTCAATTCGCGTCATAATTTAACTAAATATATGACGTCTTTCTCAAGAATTAACAAACTCGACTGCTCACAAAAACATAAACCAGCTAAGTCCACATGATAAACATCATTCCAAAATATTATAAATTTTGAGGGCTAGATGCCCCAGTAAGACATTCATTCAATAAATGATTATTTAAAATGGCTAATAATTGCCATATTTGACTCCTATTCTAATATGCTAATATTTCTGTTCATTTTTCGGGAAAGGATAACGTTACATTTGAGGTTAACAATTGTAAAAACTCAACATGTCCTGTCTTAATGAACTGCCTTCACAAGTATAACCTCATAGATCAGGCATGAATGATTTCGCTCGTGATGTATAGCATGCGTGCTTTTTGATGATTTTCGGGTGGGGTTGTACATTCCCTGTGTGTTCCTCACCCCAAGGTCCCCACTTATGTAAAGCTGTCGGATTTGAGCAAGATACGTCTACTGAATGTAGTACACGAATAATGTGTTTTTGTGAACGGCTATGGACGTTTTTCGCATTGTATCCGGCATGTCCGATCATGGTCGTTAATACTCACTGGGAAAATATTTTTAACTGGTAAATATAATTATAAAAAATATAGAATAATAACATAAATCGAACAAAGGTTTGAATGGCTTGTTTCACATGTTTGATGGTATTTGTTTTGACAGAAAGGAACAACGAAACAAAGGTAATGATTTCAATAGAAATACATATAAATGAATGTTCGTGTCACTTTAAGTGTCCGTGGTTCATGTAATAAGAGTATACCTGTATACATGAATAATAGAAATTCCAAAATAGAATACTGTATTTTACAGTTGACTTTTGATATTAAATATCCCTGGTCAATACATAGGCTATAGACTATAACTTAATGAAAACTCATACAGACTGTAGCGAAATAAGAAGCAAGTTACACATTAGATTTGTCGTGTTTGTAATACATACACATATACTGCTGGGATAAACGAAAGAAACAGACACGAAACTGGAATGAAACAAGAATATACAAAAAATACTGAATTATTTGGAAGAATTGATGACGTATAGTTCATTTGTTATCCCATCGAACGAAGTTCGGAGGGATATAGGGAACGCCTCCGTCCGTCCTTCCGTCCGTACGTACGTCCGTCCGTCCGTCCGGGCAATAACTCAAATACCGTTGGCCCGATTTTGTTCATATTTTGTACACATATACCCTATGGGGGAAGAAGTTCTGCTCGAAAGCCGATTTTCAAAATGGCCGCTCATTTCAAAATGGTGGCCATTTTAGTGCCGATTTTACAGTAATTTAGGTGCAATATGTAAAACTGTAATAGCAATATGTTTTAAATGTAAAAAAATTATAAAGGACATTAATAATGCTACAAATGTAGATATTAAAGAAGCACATGGCAGCCATCTTGAAAAATGGCCGCCTTTACTCGTCGTTTTACGATTTTTGCTGTAACTCAAAAAATAGTGGAGCGATTTTGTTCATATTTGGTATATGAATACTATAAGCATTGCACACTGTCTAAAGACACTTTTGGTAGAAGGCGGCCATTTTGAAAAATGGCCGCCATTTTAACATATTTTACTATAACTTGAAAAGTAGTGGAGCGATTTTGTTCATATTTGGTATGTGAATACTATAAGCATGGCACACTGTCCTATGACACTTTTGGTAGAAGGCGGCCGTTTGAAAAAAAATTTGAAAAATGGCCGCAATTTTAACATATTTTACTATAACTCGAAAAGTAGTGGAGGGATTTTGTTCATATTTGGTATGTGAATACTATAAGCATGGCACACTGTCTATTTCTAATGACACTTTTGGTAGAAGGCGGCCATTTTGAAAAATGGCCGCCATTTTAACGTATTTTACTATAACTCGAAAAGTAGTGGAACGATTTTGTTCATATTTGATATGTGAATACTTTAAGCATGGCACATTGTCTAATAAAACTTTGGGGAGTAGTCGGCCATTTTGAAAAATGGCCACCATTTTTATGTGTGTTTTTTTAAAAGTATGTGTGCGATTTTTCAAAAATTTTAGAGGTGGCTACTTAAAAGCATATTATTTCTTCTGATGACAACTTGGCTAGTGAGCAACCATTTTGAAAATGGTGGCCTTTCTGGTGTGTTGTTTTATGATATTTGCTATTCGTTTGTAAAAATGCCAGCCATTTCTGTTCGATGGGATTCGCTACGCTTTGGCGTTGCCGTTGTTCTGGTTTGTTTATTTGTTGATGGGGCAATATGTCACTGACGTCACAGATAATGGTATCATATTCCGAGAATCCATTAACAAAAGTGTTATATGACGTCATGATAAAACAACATTGAAAATGAGAATCCCTTAGTTGCTATGGATTACTATGTCGTAAAGCGTCATATATCGTCATTCTGCGTCCTTGATATTTAATACAGAACACTTGTCAAATGTGAAGTTAACAAACGAGCTTTTCATAGAGGTGTTAATTTTCTATTTCTGTAATTTAAAAATATATCACCATTGTCGTAAGGGTTACACTGGTATATCCTTAAATTCTTAAACTTATTCTTAAACTTTACTAAATACACAGCATGTAAAAAGGATAGAATATAGCATAAATATGATTTATAACGATCGAACAGCCATGCTGTTCCACCATAGATTTTTCCTGGTGAGAGAGTGCTCTGTATACCATGTAAAGAATTCAGTAAAAATGGATTTTGTATTCATTTCAGATCAATGAGGAAGATGATGAAATCCTAGATATTATTACACAACACCATGGCTCTGTAGACTTGGAGCACTTTATGGATAAACTGTTGTCTATAGGAACCAGAGATGAGGCTTCTGTGTTGGAGGTATATCGTTCAATTCAGGCTCACAAAATCAGGTATGTATTAGATTGTAGTATGTATTGAATGTAATATCATTATATAATGTCTCATGAAATGGTTTCTTATGCACTAAGTACAATAGAACCTGTTTTAGTGAACACCTCTCTCTAGTGAACACCTGTGTTTAGTGAACGCCACTTCAAGACACATGACACCTGTATAAAATCCCCTCTCTGTAGTGGACATCTACCTACTTTATACACTTTTTTGTGTCCCCCAGTATTTACAGGTTTTACTGTATAAGGGATGTTTCCTGAGGTTCAGAATTTTTTTATTGGGATAAACCTTTTCTCAAATATAGTTTTCTGAGATGCTAGAAGGCAACACATTATATCAAAACATTAAAACCATATGTTAATTGGCTAGTCAACCCCTTAAGGATGTTCCCTGGTCAGATAGGAAAATATTCAATAGTATTTAACTTTTTCTCAAAAATGGTTTTCTGGGATTCTCACGGGCAACAAAGAATATTAAAACTTTAAAAACCATATGTTAGTGTGCTTTTTTCTGAGCAAGAGGCCTCTAAAGTGTCAATATTTGACAAAAGTGGGCGTGGCACTTTCTCATTGAAACCCATGTTAAAAATCAGGTTTTCACCCCAAAACACACTTTTGAATATTTAACTTTTTCTTAAACTCACAGAAACACTTAGTTATGCTATGTACTTCACATTTTGAAAAGAAAAATTAGGGGTTGGTGTTCATCGTTTTCAACTTCGTCCAGGGAACATCCTTAAGTGTAAATTGACAGAAGTGGGCATGGTGGACTGCAGACATATTTTAAAAAAACTATCATTACATTGTAACATTTTATTCCCCAAAAATTAAATTGAATTGAGGGCGGAGCCTGAATATATATTACCAGAATGGGTTAGTTCATGTATAAATGCTTTTATATCCAATAAAGAATGATACAGGTCCTTTATTGCAATTTAAATATACTATCACCCCATTATAAAAATGACATTGTCCAGTTCTGTATGAAAGCATAATGCACTGTAATGACATCTCTCTGTTATCAATAATGGCACTGCTCAGTTCATTAAAACCATAATTCACTGTAAAATAATGTTTCTGTTCAGTTGATTATATACCTTAAATTGATGCACTGAAATACTCTAAGCTGATTGGCCGAGACACACTTGGCATATTTAGATTGCTTTCATAATTTTTGTTTTAATGGAAATTTTTCAAGGGTCCAAATTTTTGCCCCATACAAACATATCTGAGTTTACCCAGTTGACCAAATACAGCTTACAAACCCCCTGTGGCATAGCATAGGTATTTTGTGAGTGTACGCCACAAGTGAGCGAAGTAGGGGGGGTTTTCCCCCAAGGAAATTTGAAAATGAGGTTGCCCTCTGGGGCGTTTTTAAATGATGGCATGACAAAATAGGTGCTTCTTGGAAATATAATAAGAACAAAACATTTGTTTTGCTTTTCATAAACGATTGTCACTACGCATATTCAGATTATCCAGTGTTCTTTGATTGTGGGGCAATTTATATAAAAAATTAATTTTTCTCTACATTTTTAGAGTATGCCATGGCGTTTTATGCCGCTACGCCATTGAAACCAGGTTCTGATTTTAAAATGGCATTTAAGTATCTTTTTTAATTTCATACAGATACATTTCATTGAGTTATACCTGATATTGATAAATGCTATTGGTCCCTATTAATTTTTTGGGGCTATTACAAAAGAGTATAGTGAAACAGAACAATTGGTGAGAAAATGTAATAATCATTGAACATGGGTCATTTTCACTAGTGTTCACTTGGTTTTGTGGATTTTCCATGGAGATCCAATGATCCATTGTCCTTGAAAATGTTCAATAGTAGTTTTAAATAATTATATGGTATTGCTTTTTACAAACAATAATGGAAACAAGTACACATTACTTTAATTTGAAGTTCTGCCCTTTAGATAAGACAACATTTAAAATATTAAAATGCTTTTTCAATTAATTTATGGTTTTCTTTCTTTTTCTTTGGTAAGCATTGTTTATAGAGGACTGAACAGTTATTTTTGCCATTACAAATATTTACCGAGACACTATGACTCAAAGGTTGTCGTGACAGCCTCATTGCATTCTACAAGTACATTTTCAATCTAAAGGGTATTTTCAAAAACTGTTTGTTGCAATATATTCATTCAGAAAAGAAATCAAAAATTTGAATAACAATATTTAGCATAAAATATTTATACTGTAGGTTTAAATAATCTTTTCACACAGTTGAAATGACTTAACCACAGTCTTTGAAAGTGTACATGAGATTAATCTCTCCTGTTTCTTGATTTTGAACAACACATACACTGTAATCCATGTTGGTCAAATAGATTTAAGAAACCAATAGAAATATGTTTGCATTATTCTGTACATTTGCCAGAGTTCCTTTGGGTGTGTTACTGTACTTTATATATTCAGGAAAAGTCAACATTCTAGAGTAGAACCTAATGCTAATCTGTCATTAGGCTGGATACATGCACGCAGTACAAAATGATCCGATTAATAAACCGGTATCTTAAAACAATTTTAAAGTTGATAATTGCAATTGGAATGGGATGTGTTTGTCTGTACATAGGGTATCATGAACCTAGAAAATCCATACAACTTTATAGCTTAAATATCACACAGAACAGTACCTTACTCAACAGAGATGGACCTACAAGTTCAGCAAAACCATATTGGAATAAAACTCCTACTTCAACTTTGGCAAATAACAAAGAAAGTAGAAAAACCAGAGAGAATACCAACATTTTTCTCGAGAAAAATGCATCTTTAATACAACCAATCAACAATCAGGATGCTAATCCTAAACATTCCGATAGGAATAGTACTGACGAAAAATTTGGAGATAAATGGACGTTAGCTGGTAAAGTCTGGGAATCGGCTGATTTCAAGATGAAGTATACTTTTAACAACATTGCATCTGATTTGATGAAAGATCTCTTGAATTTTGACTATACTGGTTTAAACAATTTTTATCCAATACACTGTGATTTTATAGACACCATGACAAATTCAAAGCAACGGATCGCAAGTTCAACCAATAAAAAAGTGTATATCGTAAAATATACTGGTGAAACTATACGTCATATTAATTTCTTTGGGGATATATCTCACAACAGCAGATTTGACTTAAAAAGCTTAATGTTAGAGGATATTCTCATCGTTTTATGCATAGACAACGCCAAAAAATATTAGGGTTAAAAGAAATTCTGTTATATGCACGACTGAAATCAAAAGATTTAGCAAAGTTATATGGATTCTGTGTAAAAACAAAGTCTGGTAGCTTTAAAAGTCTTGAAACTATTAGAAGGCTCTTATATAACCTTATCATGAATCCAAACTCAAATGATGTGATCCAAATATACACAGTGAGTGAATATTTAAGATATGACTTAGAATATTTTATTGAAAAGAAGGCAAATAAGCATAGTGGACCAACGCTATTTTTCAAAATGGTGGACATTTATAATGGATTACTTCATTCAACACTTGGGATAATCAAAAACCAAGATCCCAAATTAAGTAATTACCGATTGAATTCTTCGCGTGGAAAACTAGTTGTTAAGATTGCTGATTATGAAGCTCTGAATACAATCTCGGGGCCATGTAGATATAAGAATGGCTGTTCTATTAAACCACTTTGTGATATTGCTCCAGCTCTACTACCAGACAGGCCAAATTACAGAAATTTCATTTGGAACATATCCCAACAGTACAAACCTACAATGGAGATTAAGTATGTACTTCCACAGAAAGATTTGCCCAAGATGACATGGAGCGTGAAACCAGTGAATTATACTTAGATAATGAAAGTGAACTTGAGATAAAAGAGAGGTTTCACACTCAACGTTTCTATCTAGTTCAACGTACATGTATCTAAAGTCTGTAACGCATTCACTGGATTTATGCGTAGTCAGTTCAGTTTAAATATTGCGGATGTGTTTTAGCTAACCCATTGTGTGAAACCTCTCTTAATATCCACTGAAGTAGAAAGGCAATACTTGATAGCCGAGAGACGGTTTTTGTGCAATCAATAGTGCTCATTATCATGCTAATACCGATAATAATGCTCATTATCATACTTATACCATAATAATGCTCATTATCATACTTATGCCATAATAATGCTCATTATCATACTTATGCCATGATAGTGCTCATTATCAAGTTCATTTAATACCAAAATAAATATCAAAATACATACTGTTCAATTTGAATTATATTTTGTTGTAATTATTTCATGCAAGACAAGTTAAAATCTTGCTTTAATGTTTTTTATCCATATCAATTAATCTAGGCGCGGGAAATTTCGTGAAAGTGTCGGCGGCAATCTTCGTCACTTTCCGTGATTGGGAAAATAAATTCCCGCGTAAATTACTGTGTTCATTGTACAAGTCAGTTTTTCTTCCAAAAGTCAAAGTCAAAAGTCAACGTTTTGAGTCTTAATAAATAAGTCTGCATATAGTAACAGTTTACTGCCAATATACAAGCAGAGAGTATACAATTTCCATACAATTTAGCCAACAAGTGACAATGGCAGACTCCAAAAGTCCGACCAGAACTTCAAGGAGAGACATTGATCGAGTCGATTACAAACAACTCCATTCAACTGGGCAAGTACCTCCCAAGCTTAAAACAGAAGTTTCTGAAGGTAGTATCGAACAGTCACAAATTTCTGATCAGGTCAATGAAGTGCCTATTGCTAAGCCAAACATTGACAGAAATTAAAGCCAGTTGGCATTTTTAAGTAATTTTAACCTTGTAAAAATAAATATGCACTGTCCGGAGTTTCAATTAAAAAAATACTTCATGTCATGTTTTTCATCCATCTTTCTCAGTTTTAGTCATGTCAAGAGTATATGAAAATAATTATTATGTTCTGCCATGTATTGATTTGCCTTTAAGTGAAAGGTAATAAAGCTCATTGAACAATCACGTGTGTTTGTAAATGATATGTTATATGCTTTTAAATCCCACTTGGGTAGCAACACAATAGAATTTGCTGTGGTTTATTTTTAAGAATGTATGGTTTTATCAAAAGGAAAGTGCATTATTTTTCTATTGTTTTTAAAGAATGTACACTTGGCAAGCTATCAAAAACAAGTGAGACATAAATGACCATTGACAGTTTTCGATAGTCTTCATTCCCTAAAAACAATATACAAAAATACATGTACCCTTCTCTTGTTACTGTGCATTCTTTAGAATAAAACAATTTATCAATTTTTGTTGCTATCTACATCATTGATCTTATCTTACTTACAAATATTCTGCTGTATTCAAATTCAATGTTCTGGACTGGACAGTCACCTGTAGTGCACTGAAGCTAGACTAATTATAGCCCACTCAGTCACTTACATCAACTCACACTCATGAGGTCAATGCAACCAACTCTTTTTGTTGTTACAATTAATTGGCTATATAACAACACATTTTAACCAATAAGAGCCAGGGTCATTGTGAGCCTGGCAAAATTCACAGTTTGAATAGTCAATACAAAAGAAATCACATTTTTCCGGATTAAAGACCTTTTAACTGTAATATAATAGACCCTTTGCCTGTGATAAGAGTCTGTGTGATTTAAGTAAGATAAAGCATTCGAATTCGATTTGATAAGAAATAACAACCTCAGGCCTTCGGCCTTCGGTGTATTATTTCTTATAAAATCTCATTCTTATGCTTTATCCAGTACTGAATACCATATTTAAAAACATTTTGATTGTTTGATGCAAATAATCTGCTTTGGTACATCCCAGCTCCAGTCTGTTACGGAGTATGTTTTTTTAATTAAACAAAACAAAGACACTTGAATGGAAGACATAGCTAGGTAAGGTGTGTCCGATTCATGCCAAAAGTACATCCTAGGAACACCTGATAAGTATACCAAAAGTATGCCTCGGAAAGTATACCAAAACTGGGCCTCTCAATAGGTTGGGTTGAACATCATATTTCATACTACATGTACATGTATTGACTGACATTAAAATATTCTCACAAGTCCAAATTATACGGAATCTTTAAAATGCATCGTCACGGTAACAGTATATGTTGAAAACGTCATATCAATACCACGTAAAGTCCCATGTCCATATTTGTTTGAAAATATGTCTGCCCCAAAGGTAACAAAGCCATCCGCAATATAGAATGGCTCCGATGGGTGAGCTTCAATGATATCTGGGTCTTCTATAAAGTCACATTCATTGTTAGGTAGAAGTATATAGCTTATGAATATGGCTCCACCTTTTGGTATTGTTCCAGTCCATTGTCCTACATTTAAAAAGGTAAATTTTAATAAAAATATTATCTCAACAAGTTAAGCACTATTTCAAGGAGGATTGGCTCCAAGGATTGAGACTCGATATTTTCCGACAATGAAAATGTCGAAATGTCGCTATTTTCTGAAATTGTAACCGACTATAAATTTAAAATAAACAAGATTCGAACCAATATCTTGATCATTTCTTGTGAGTTTTGGAATTTTCGATTTGGAAATAAGACCAAAATTCACGATTCAATGGTGGCTGTTTGAATTTCGAATTTTGAATCACGACATGGCCATATATGATGTTGCACTCTTGGAGCCAATCCTCATACAAAAAGTCTACTACTGTACGCCCGGTATTATTCGCGTGCGATTAACTTTCGCGCTTTTCGCGATGGTGTTAAAATCACTGATGCATTTCGTTTTGTGTAAACGTTATGTCTAGTGTTATTGGGCGATAATTGGATATCCACGATCTTCAGGACTTCAGTAATGTCCATTTTACGTTGGCTGATTCGGCCCAGTACCACCAGTAGGCCCAATAATGATATCGATGACATCATTGCAAATGAAGTGCAAATTGCAAAAGATAACATGAAGTCCAATTCCAAACGCGGGACATATAAGGTGTATAACGATGCAGAAAGGGCAAACATAGCCCGGCACGCATTACTGAATGGCAATTACTCAGATGCGAGTAGGTAGTTACCAGTTTCGCCACCAGGTGGCTGATTCGGGGAATTAACATGGCAGGGTATTATAAAATTCCCTTAAACTTGAATATGCATCAGTTTTAATAGTTCACTTTTCATATTACCTTTATGTATCTGATGGTTATACAAATTAAAATATGTCCAGTAAAATGAAATATTATCTGCCCAACACAAGAAAAGATATTTCACTTTTTGTGGTTTTACAACATGGGCTCTATGGAGAATCTCCCCGACCTAGAAGTTACATTTTCAAAGAAAATTAAATTTTCAAAGTTGATAAACTCTTTTCAAAACCACATTTCTAAATGTAATTTTACATGTAGATTCCAAATATGACATCAGTTTGACTGAATTGTGCATTTTTAATGACGTAAATCAAGATTATTTCTACTCGCATCTGGGATATTCAAGCGCTGCTAAACGCTTCAAAATCTCCGAAATTCGCGAAATTTAAAAGCCGCGAAACCGTGTTTTCGCAAAATTCGCGAAATTAAAGCTGGCGAATAATACCGGGCGTACAGTATTTCAGCCTTTAATTAGGTACATTATACAGTGTTTAAAGATGCAGTACCATTGGTATTTCACCAAGACAACCATTGATGCTCCATTATTATTGCTCATATAATAACTATTATTCCATGGGTATATCTTGAGAGTAACTTAGGGAATAATATTGCTGATATATTTAAATAATCAACAGAGCAACCAACCTTCAGAATAAAACACAATTGAGCCAGTGGCAAGCGTGGGGAATCCCTGTGGAGTCAAATAAGCCTTGAACCAGGCAGTCAATCAGGTTCATGATGATCAAATTCAATGACTAATCAGATAACAGGGGGATTTCCTGGTTTATTCAAACTTCATATTGAATTAATTTCAGTGAAAATAACAGATCTTCTCTTATGCCCGGCATAAGAATTGAACCTAATTTGCCCAAACCTCATGTTTGTTGAAGTCTGAGTATTTGTAGGAATCCGAGTTCAAATGTCGGGGTGTTATATTGAATTAATTTCAGTGAAAATAATTAGATCGGTCAGCACAATCACAGCATTAACAACATTAACACTGAAACACAATGATTTGGGACCTCTTCGTTGGTTAGGTGACTATGTAGTGAAACATAATGCCAAAAGGTCCTGAGGGGTCTTGATTGTGCTATCCTATAGTATAGAGACTCTTTAAGTATTTGGTAGTTCTCATTTGTGCTTTATCAAAGGGGGTGTACCAAATTAAGCGTGACAGATGAATGTGCGGGATAAGGTACAACATAGTCCACCCGCTATGGCTCAGTGGCAGAGAGAGTCAAGGTTACCAATATCGCTTGGCCCCGGGTTCGATTCCCGGTTCAGACAAGTTTGTTTGTGCGTTATGTAATTCTGGGTGTTTGACTGAGTGGTTCACGACTCGTATAAAAGGCTGTGGTGTGTACCTGTATGTCTGTGTACCTGTGCACATAAAAGAACACAGGGCTCCTCCAAGGAGGGGTTTCTGGCTATATCTTCGAGTGTAAAATACGTAAATACGGAATATACCAATGAGGTATTGCTCGCCAAATATGGCGGTAACCAAGATATAATAATAATAAAAAAAACATGAGGTTGATACAATTTGAGCAAACTGATTTTTTCATCGTTTCAGAGAGATTTGGTCTAGTTATGTCACAAATATGCCAGAAAATAAGCATACCAAGTTTCATTAAGATTGAGTTCTGAGAAAGTGGTAGAATATGAGGAAATTTGAGGGGACGGCCTTTTGTGTGGGGTAGAATGGTATAACATGCGGTAACGGTAAGGTACGACACAAGTAATCTGAATTTGCGTTATACCTAATATCTCGCATTATATCGTATATTACATTCGCAGTTTGTGGGTTTAATTGTGAAATTCACAGTCAAGTTCACTGTCTAGAATGTTGCTACAGACATTTACAGTACATATAAAATATCTAATAACTGTTACGCGGTATATGGCATACATTCATGGTTGCACGGTATTTGTGATACGGGTGAATATGCCATACTCACCTGCGGTATATGGCATATTCTGCAGGTGAGTATGCGATGTTCCGCAGTGAATATGCGATACATTGATTTCAGTGAATACCCGATACTCAGTTGCAGAATATGTCTTACTCACTTGCGGAATATGCCATATACTGCAGGTGAATATGACATATACTGCAAGTGAAAACGTGATACAGAAAGCCTTGATTTGATTGGTTGCGAGAATCGACTCTAAATGTAAAACTACGCTGGATTACCAATATAGTAAGTGCGTCGAGTACTAATAAATGAATCCTGGATTGATTGAGTAAATTTATTACGCCAGATTGGTGATTGATACTTCTGCTAAGTTAATACATGTATATTCGATATACAGAACTGTTGATTCAGTAATCATTATAATAATTTATAACGTTTAACGTGTTCGTTCAATTGACAATTGCGTACTTCCATATCACGATCTCATTGGCTAGTGTGTATGCCATATACCGCAGGTGAATCTGTCATACACTGCAAGTGAATATGCCATATTCATTGCTCAATATGACATATTTTTGTATCATGTTTACCGCGTAACAATAACTAGACCAAATCTTTCTGAAATGATGAAAACATAAGTTTGCTCAAATTTATTTATATTGTGCAGATTAAGTGTTCAATGGGCATCACTCAAATTTAATTAAATTGAATGCCCGAAAATTAAGATATATTCCAATGTAAAGTAAAATATGCTGAATATGAAAATAAAAAAAATCTCATTGACTATATCATTTATTTTCAGGACAACAGCAAAAGTTCCTAAAGTGATGAGTGTGAAACCCATTCGAAGTGATGTCAGGCTTGGAAGCAGTGATGTCAGTCATGCCCAGAGTGATGTCAGCCTTGGACAACTAAAAGTAAAGCCCACTCGTATAAAAGGGAAATACAATCAGTATGATAATACAATCAAATCAAGATCTGTTGGAAATATTTCAGGATTATCTGTTCGTAGCGATTCAACTACAAGGACATCTTCAAATGTAAATAACGTAGGGATGAATGAAAGAACTAAAGCAATTGATGAACAACAATTTCAAGTAAATCTGGATGACGATGAGCCATTTGAAATACGCTTAGAGGATATATCAATTGTGCCCTATATACATACTCCAACTGCATGCAAAAATGTTCCCAAGGCATCCTTTGTTGAGAAGCCAATTGAAACAGACATTTTTAGTGATGTGGATCTTGAAATCATAGAAAATTCACCTGATAACTCAGTGACGGTTGAAAGGTCAAAATTCTATGGATCGATGCAACAAAACTCTGAAACTGTCACTTTAAAAGCAACAGAGAAACTGAAACGAAAATTCAAATTTAAGAAAATCTCAGTTAAAAAGAGACCAAGATTAGAGCAAACAGAACAAAGTGTCAATTTAATTGTCAGTGGAAAGCCCAGTCCGATTAAAAGTAGAATTTTAAAACTGGGAGATTCTGAACTTGATCCTGATTATGCCACACAACCGAGCCAACAATCTAGTCATAGTGACAGTAATAGTGACAGTTATTTGAAAGAAAATAGTCCCAACTCCAAATCCAGTGAAAGTAGTCCACATTGTTTAGAAATTATTCCACCTGTGAATGATAAAGACTTGTCATCCACTGGCCATGTAATTGGCTGCAAAGAAAGTAAACCATCAAGTGATATACCCAGTAAGATAGATATTAGCAAAAGTCAAGACACAAATCATAACCAGAAACACACAACCCAAGCTGAGATGCAACTTGGTCATGGAGGAATAATGTCTCAAAATAGGTCACCACGTGCTAAAATATATCGTCAAATTTCAAAGTTCAACTTGACTAAATCTCCAGAAGAAGCCTGGTCTACAGAGCAGGAACAGGATCTAAAAGTTAATCAATCTTCAAAACTTGGAAAGAGGAAAGACGGCAATGATATGCCAACTGCTGAAAATGTAAGATATATTTAAGTAAAATACATGCTGTAGATTGGCTATATATTTGATTTTCAACCAGTTCACTGTTGTGCAAGGGAGATGATCAGGCTCTACTAAATAATGAATTTTTCTTTCAACTTATTTATACTCTCTAGGTAATAATGTCTTGTGCGATAACTTGTTTGCACAATAGTTCTTAGAAACCCACATTTATATAATATTCTTTACCTAAATAGCACTCAGTAAGAATATTTTCTATTTCTTTTATTTAATTTCCAGTTGATGTGTACTACTACAGACTCCGGGCCTTCTAGTGGATCTAGTGAATCTACCTCAATACTAAGACTGACCCATGCAAGGTAAGCAATAGCCAATAGTCACGAGTTGTTTGTTTTGGATTAGTCAGTTCTAGTAATAAATGTTATTTATGCTCTCAGGATTTTTCTCAAGTTGGTGCAAAATTCTTTTCACAATTTAAACCAAATCTTGTCAAAGTATGCCTGTTTTGAATGATTTTTCTGATCTTTAAGTGGGTGAAAACAGATTCTTAGGCGGGGTATTTAGCTAATTAAAATCTCAAGTGGGTGCAGTGCTCAGTTGCTTTAATGCTAAAAAAATACAATACCTGTATCTTTCAGGAAAGAATTGAACAAGGAGGAACAAAGCAACCAATCCATAACAAATACTCAGTGTGATCCAGCAGAGTTGTCTCATAGATCCCCACCTTTATTTGACACTTCAAATGAATTTGATCAATCAGGAGACAGACTTCTAAATGAAAGTATCCTCCAAAATCTTGATGGTTCGATTGCATCCAAAAATAACAAACTTCCCACTCATGATACACCCAAATATGGATGCAACAAATGTGGAAAGGATGTCATAAACAAAGTCGGAGATCAAAACATTGATGACACTCAGATAGCAGTAATTTCAAGCAGTAGTGAAGAAATTACCCTATCCCAAGGACTGATGCTCTTAGATAGTCAGTCAGAGCATATACATGAAGAACAGTTGAGTCAAAATATGGTAAATCAAGATAAAGAAAGGTATTCACGCCCAAGGAGAGAAAAACTTTCCAAAACAAAAAGCCAAGACAGTCAAAAAAGTCAATCAGATTCCAATTTAGAAAGACAGTCAAATTCTGAATGTCGGAAGACAAATCCTGAAAGTCAGAAGTCAAGTTCAAAAAGTCAGAGGTCAAATTCTGAAAGTCAGAAGTCAAGTTTGGAGAGTCAGAGATCAAATTCTGAAAGTCAGAAGTCACATTCTGAAGGTCAGAAGTCAAATTCAGAAAGTCAGAAGTCAAATTCTGAAAGACAGAAGTCAAATTCAGAAAGTCAGAAGTCAACTTCTGAAAGTCAGTCTGGAGGAGGAAATCACACAGATGTTAGTACTTCAGAAAATGATGAGGATTTCTGTACTTGTGTTTCTTCAACACATGCTGATGTAAGTAGTTCAACCATATTTTTTTTTACATTTAAAATTTATTTTTATCTCTTCAAAATTTTACATTCAATGAAGGATGTTTCTCTTAACACTAGACCAAAAGTGGACTTAAAAGCTAACCTGTCATGCTAGCCTATATAGACTGAAAGTAAACCTCTAGATGAGAACTAAAGTTAATCTGGTAATAGGCTAGGTAAATTGGTTCTTTGCAATAGTTTTGCTTTCATTTTTGTCAGTTCCGATTTGAGTCAACATTGAATTTGGCACCGAGTTTCAATAGTTTGTATAATGGACATTATTTAATCTCGCTAAAAAATGTCATCATGTTTCAGAAAGTTACACAGAGTTCATAATTATGTTCTAAACATTACATGAGAAACCTTTAATACACCCTGCTCTTGAAGGCTGAACCAACAGCTTGCCATATTGGTCAGCCACATCTTCTTTTTTTACAGATTATTATATCGTTTTGATACAGCCCACACCTGAGGCCCAGGAATATGTTAAAAATGTTTAAAAAGTCCCCTAGTGTACTGAGTTGGTAATGTGTGGTGTATACATGTATATTCATAGACTTTTACTATATTAGTATATTACTTACATCAGGGCCGTCAGATGGGGGGGGGGGGGTGCGATGGGTGCGACCGCACCCCCCTTTTTCACCCCCCAAAATAAATTTTAAAAAAAAATTTGAAAAAATGTTTTTCAAATTTGTAATTTTTTTTTTCATTGACTCATACACTTTGAAAGTACCCAGAAAGCACCAAATAGCATCTTAAAATTGTAAAATTTTCTAGGGGTATTGGCCACCCCTCACTCCCCCCCCAAAAAAATGGAAAAGTTCTAAATTTATTTTAGTGTTTTGTCTCAGACACTTTTAAAGTGCCCAGACATCATCAAATAGCTCCTTGATATAGTTAGTGTTTCTGGGGGATCTTGCAATTGCACTTGCATAACCCCCCCCCCCCCCCTCTGGCGCCCTCCCCTTGACCCCCCCAAAAAAAATTGTGATTTTCTCAAATTCTTTGATTAACTCATACACTTTGAAAGTGCCCAGAAAGCACCAAATAGCGTCGTAAAATTGTAAAATTTTCTAGGGGGAGTGGGCCACCCCTCACACCCCAAACAAAACAATGGAAAAGTTCTGAATTTGTTTTATGTATTGTCTCAGACACTTTTAAATTGCCCAGACATCATCAAATAGCTCCTTGATAAAGTTAATGATTCTGGAAGACTAACACTTACTCGCCCTCTGGCATCCCCACTCCACCTCCCCCTCTGGCAGCCCCCACCCCCCTAAACACCCCCCCCCCCAAAAAAAATTGAGATTTTTCAAATTTTTTTATTGAATCATACCCTTTGAAAGTGCCCAGAAAGCACCAAATAGCATCTTAAAATTGTAAAATTTTCTTGGGAAATAGGCACTTTTAGGCACAGACACTTTTAAAGTGCCCAAACTTCATCGAATAGCACCTTGATATTGTAAATTTTGATATGGGGGACAAACAGTTACACTTGCTCCCCCTCTGGCACCCCAGCCCCACCTCCCCCTCTGGCCCCCTCCCCCCCCCCCTTGACACCCCCAAAATTTGAAAAAAATTGTGATTGTTTTTCAATGTTTTTATTGACTAATATACTTTAAAAGTGCCCAGAAGCACCAAATATCATCTTTAAATTGTAAAATTTTCTAGGAGAGTTAGCCACCCCTCACATCCCCCACAAAACAAAAGAAAATATTCTGAATTTCATGTATTGTCTCAAACATTTTTTAAGTGCCCAGACATCATCATTAGCACCTTGATATGGTCAATGTTTCTGGGGGACAACCCCTTGCTCCTCTACTGGCACCCCCGGGCTGGCACCCCACCCCACTTTTCACACTCTCATCCTCTTTGACACCCCCAAAAGAATTTGAAAAAAATTCACATTTTTCTTATTGACTCATAACGCACAGGCGTACCAGATGGTTGCAAATTCGCTCCAAATTTCAAAATTTTCCCCCCTGAATGCTCGGTTTTTTATTCACTCAACTCTTATTCCCATGGTGGTGGCGTACTACTTAGAAACTTACACTTTGAAAGTGCCTAGAAAGCACCAAAAAGCATCTCAAAACTGTAAAATTTTCTAGGGGGAGTGGACCACTCCTCACACCCCCCACAAAACAATTGGAACGTTTGGAAGTTGCATTTGTTAATTTCAAACCAATATAGGGAGTAACTGACCCCCCCCCCCCCCCCCCCTCTGTCTTACGCGATTTGATTTACGCGGCAAAAAAATTGACAATTTTATATTCTCTTTAGTAAGCTAATAAAAACCGCACCCCCCTTGGTGAAAAGTGTCTTACGGGCCTGTACATTGAATAAGAATAAGACTGATTTTTTATTAATGACTGTATACCCGGGCCTCAGGCCCACACCGTAACTTTCAAGGCCTTTTAGTTGTATGAGAATCAAATATAAAGATGCTTATAGAGAATGTAGTGTTATTATGTTATGACCACTGATTAGCAGGAAGCTAAATCAAACACATTATTAAACCTGTGTAAGTGGAACACCTTTGGTATTTCTAAAAAGTGTTCCACTTTACAGTTTTACTGTTCACCTCTTATTTGGAATTTAAAGGGGAAATCTTACAAATTTCAGGATAGAGGTTTGGGATCCGATGAGGAGACAATATACCACTCTGTCTCTGGTCAAAGTGGCCAGACTGTAGTGTCCAACAGCTTCAATTCTGAGCCTGGGAGTCAGGTTAGTGCAGTTTTTGTCCAATAAGCTTTAATGCATACACAGGGTGTCCAAAACACAATTGAATATAGAAGAGGTGCCAACTTGGAGCATGTTTTGTAAAGTACTGTAATTTTTGACTCAAAAGGCAGACTGTCAAACATCCACAAAGAATTTATGTTGAATTCAACATGCACTAAATAATTTTCAAATTTCAGGCCAGAATATGCAAGATTGATCGAGTTGATCAAGTTTTCTTCAGTCCTCTTTTTTGGACACCCTGTACAATGTTCAAGTATATAAACAAATGAGACAAGATCTGAAGAGAATAGTCAACAAACAAGAATACTTTTTACTCAGAATCACAAACAAGTGAATGAACAAACAAACAAAACAACTGAACAGAAGACCAAAAAACTCTTTTTTGTGAATAAGTATACATGGTTCAACAAAATTAACAAGCAACTTAACATACTCCACAAGGAAGTATACATATCTTAGCAAATCAACCAATTACCAAACATACAATCAACTGAACAGGAAACATTAATGATTATCTTCACAAACAATTAAGAAATACATGTCACACTTTAAAATAATGTAAAACAAGCAGAAATAAATAAATATATATACATAATACCAATAAAATATATATAATATGCACATGATTCAAATTACACTAACAAAACAAGTAAAGAAGCAAAATTGTTCTCATTTTTTCATTCTCTATTTTCCATATTCTAACAAAATGAAATCATTACATATAACATAGCTTTGGTACATACTAGTTGGTTGTGAAATGGTATGTAAAAAATAACGATGATATCATGTTAAATCTGGAAAGATTAATTTACAGGGTGTCCATAATGTCTCTACACTTTACACAGATTTGTATTGTAATTGTAAAGAGACTTAATGGGCACCCTGTACATTAATCATAAGGCAAATACTGGAAACTTTGCCACATTTATTTTCAGCAGCCCACAGACAGGTTGGCATATCTCCAGCAAATATCAGAGGAAATAAGTGATAAGCTGAACAGATCTAGCCAATTTGTAGAAACAACAAAGATGACAAGGCCTTCACATTCACACAGACATTGTAGTGTAGTCTTGACACGAGATGTGACTTTAAATATTGAGGATAGAGATAAAATATTTCATATTTACCACTAGTGAAGGTTTACATGACCAAAATAATTCTGAAAACGTTACTGTTAAAATTTTACTGTTACTGCATTATTTTAGTGTGAAAATACTGTTTAGCAACTGCAGAATGGGGGGGGGGGGGGGGTAGTCTGCTGTTAGCATGACAGACAAATGTATCCTGCTTTAAACATTTAGATTAAGATTAAGCAGGATCGAACATGATACAAAATTACAGAGGCGTTATAAAAAGACATTAAGAGACATTAGATATCATTGTATTAATACAAATGATATGTACTTAAAGTGGAAGTAAATGATTGAGATTATAGGTAAAATTGTGAAAAGGATCTGGCAGTAAATGATTGAGATTAGGTAAAATTGTGAAAAGGATCTTTGTAAAACTATCCATTTGTTTCAGTTTACAACCCTATTTTAGATGTCTGAAAAAAGATTTGAGATATCTGATCAAAAAATGGAAGTAAATGATGATACAGTACATAAATAGGGACATCCAAATTTGATTTATTAAAAATAGAAAGTCAGAACTGACTTCACAATTTTGGAAAATTTAAGGTGACATGACAAGAAAATGCTGTGAGTATAGAAATATTGGAAATTGTGATGATTAAATTATACGGCTATCTCTTTCCTGTTGCAGAGAGATATTCACTTCACTTTTTTATATTGCTTATTATTTAGTGTACAGTTTATTTATTTAAAAAAAGATTTGTTTAAAAAATAAAAATGAACAGTTTACACTTGGCTTTTATTGTTGCTCTTGAGGAAATTACAAGCACTTTTCTAATTCAAAGCCCAAAATAAACCTCTATAGACTTTGATACAGTGACTGAGTGAGTTGGGTTAATCCTGTCTTAGTGAACATCTCTCTCTAGTGAATGCCTATGTTTAGTGAAAACCACTTGAAGACACTTTTACATAGACTCCTATCATGAACACCTGTCATGAACACCTACACAATGAACACTTTTTGTGCCTCTATAGGAGTTCACTATATACAGGTTTTACTGCATTTTCTGTTTATTCTTAAGCTTGAAATAAGCTGATAGATAAAGTGTCCTCTTTAACAAATAACAACCAGATCGTATTGGTCAAGTTAAAGGTTACTTATGCATGCTTAGAGTTTTTCTGTAATTACATGATTCTAATTACCAATAACTTATTAAAACATTTAGAAGTTTTTTTCATTTCATCTCTTTAATTCCTTTGATATCTTTAACATGAAAAGAAAGACATTTCTTCAATATACATGTACTTAGTATTTGTAAAAGTGGGGAACAACCTTAATTTCTTATTTGTGTTTTTGTTGAGTGGAAACTCAATGTCACCTTCAAATAATTTTGTTCCATTGCAAAATAATTATACCAGTCCAATGCTATTCTTTAACATGCAATCCTGTAACTGCACTGATTGGTCCTTTATTAATATACCTTGAACACCTGCTAAAAGAAAACTATAACTATAGCTCTCTCTCTTAAAAATAAAATCATGGTTATGTTCTATTCTGCACTTTTTATCTTTAATTTAAATGAACTCTCTGATTTTCTATTTCTCTTAACATTTTTCCGTGTATACATTTGTTTATATTACATGTTGATATTAGTATTGATTTATCACAAGCTCTGTTTTCGACTTTCTTTTATATCTGACATTTTCCTTGCAGGTAAATCAATGCTATGGCCTCAATCCAATAGAAATCATTTATCAGCATGACCTCAATCTGCAGTTGAATGGATGTACAGAGGTTCAACTATATATTAACACTATATGCTCGCTTCAAGCCTCATATCGGAAGAGTACAGCACTTAAGTGTTGCTATACATCAAGGTTATATTTGTTTTCAGATAAGTACAGCTATGAAGAATACTCAGGGTGGAAGGTGTGAGAATTGTGCAAAAAATGACTTTGTGAGCTGGATGGAGTTTCTCTGTATTTTTCACTCTATTAGGGTTTCCTGCATAAGGGGTTTCGCCTGCGAAGCATATAACTCTTGCAAACATATCCAAATATTGGTCCGAAGAAGACATACCTTGAATTTTTTAGAAAAAAATTGGCTAAAAATGGAAACTACAAAAAGTCAAAATGTTCAACTCAAACAAAACTCTAGCTATTTAATATTAACACTATGTATTATTTAATGTTTTTCAGATGTTTAAGGACCTTCATTAGTGTACTAGTGTCTAGAAATAAGATAATTAAGGACAAAATTTGGCATTTTTGATCATTTTCGCTTTCAGCAGTAACATATAGTTCCTTATATCTTGAGTTTAATGTTGACTGGTTGTTGCAATTTTGATCAAATCTGTTCTTGTACATGTCTTCTTCCATTTAAGATACAAAAAATGTATATTGGACCATTAATGGTCATATTAGAGCTTTCAGATCTCCCCTACCCCATTTATTATGAAAAATTACTGAAACATATGACAATGTAAAATTACTTGAATTTATAAACTTTAACAATGTTGTAGCTATTCTATATCAATATTATGTATTAATTTATGTTTTTCAGATATTTCAGAACCTTTATTGGTATACTAGTGCCTAGAAATGAGACATTTAAGGACAAAACTTGGCATTTTTTTAAATCATTTTAGCTTTCACCAGTAATATATAGTTCCTCATATATTGAGTTTTATGTTTACTGGTTGTTGCAATTTTAATCAAATCTGTTTTTGTACATGTCTTCTTCCATTTAAGGTATAGAAAATGTAAAGTGGACCACCGATGGTCATATTAGAGCTTTCAGATCTCCCCTACCCCATTTATAATGAAAAATTATAAGAAAAATATGAAAATATAAAATAACTTGAAACTATAAACTTTAATAAAGTTGTAGCTATTCTATATCAATATTATGTGTTATTTAATGTTTTTAAGATATTTCAGAACCTTTATTGGTAAACTAGTGCCCAGAAATGAGACATTTAAGGACAAAACATGGCTTTTTTACCATTTTCGCTTTCAGCAATAACATATAGGTCCTTATATCTTTAGTTTAATGCTGACTGGTTGGTGCATTCTTAGTCAAATTTGTTCTTGTAGATGTCTTCTTTCATTTAAGATATAAAAAATGTATAGTGGATGACCAATGTTCATATTAGAGCTTTCAGATCTCCCCTACCCCATTTATTAGGAAAAATGACCGGAAAATATTAATAAAAAGTAAAATAACTTCAAATTATGAACTTTTACAAAGTTGTACCTATTCTATGTCAATACTATGTATCATTTAATCTTTTTCTGATGTTTCAGGACCCTCATTAATATTCTAATGCCTAGAAATGAGATATTTAAGGACAATACTTGGCTTTTTTTTCATTTTGCTTTCAGCAATAACGTATAGGTCCCTATATCCTCAGTGTTATGCTGACTGGTTGGTGCATTCTTGGTCAGATCTGTTCTTGTACATGTCTTCTTCCATTTAGGATATAAAAAAATGTATATTGGACAACCAATGTTGATATTAGAGCTTTCATGTCTCCCCTGACCCATTTATAATGTAAATGAAAAAGTAATTTCAAATCATAAACTTTAACAAAATAGTAGCTATTCTCTATCAATACTATGTATTATTTAATGTAACCTTCATTTGATTACATGTGTCTAAAATTTGGCATTTGTAGCATTCTGCATTTAGCAGTAGCATATAATTTTCCACAATTATAATTCTTTGATGATAGATTCATATATGTTTTTTATTGAATCTGTCTTCTTTGATTTAAGTTAAAGAAAATCTATGTAAGACAGCGAATGTTTTTATTAGAGGTCTAAGATCTGCCCTCCAACATTTAATAAGAAAACCAACACAAATGTTGTTATTGCAAGTTAATATTCTTAAACTTTTCAAAAGTTTAGCACATTTATTGGCACACTGAAACAAAAAATGACACATAAATGGGCAAAATGACATATTTTTCACTTTCAGCACTAGTTGTTTATATTTTTAGTTGAATGGTGATTAGTTGACATATTTTAGATCATATATATTCAATTATGTGTCTTGTTATCTTCAAAGCATGGAAAATGTGTTTTAAACACAAATATACATACATGTATTAGAGATAAAATTACTACACTACCATTTTTTTAAAAGATTGCTCAAAAATAGAATAGTGCAAAATAATTTTGTAATTTCACAGTTTACTCTCATATGAATCAAAGGATATGTCTATATATAAACATGATTGTTCACAACTCTCGAACTTAATCCAGCAACAGCCTGATTTTTCAAATCTCCCTGGTTCTATGTTAGAGCTGCATTTAATTAAAGGTCAAAGATGCTCATGACACCACAAGCCATATATTCAGATATGTAAGATCTCTAAATAATTTTTATAGTTCTGAGAAACTCATCCTAAAATATTGTCCAATGATGTACACTATGTTGTTTATTGCCACATGGACAAGTAGCAACACACCCTTGACTAGAAACTTTGTATTTGCAATTTTCGCTGCCTTTTGTCATTTTACATTTGCCAATTGCCAAGGACTGGGTTTCTTGTGTTGCTACAAAGGTTTGTTTGTGAGTACTGGTACAAGACACCCATCTTTGATATATTTTCAAATAGGTATTGCACTTTGAGATTCATATAGTAATTTAGAATGCTACCTTGAAGGACATAAGAAACTTTAAAAGCTCTTTTTAACTCTCATCCTTCTTTGCAAGCAACATTCTGTATCAGCAGACTGAATACAAATTCTCTCAACATTGAGCTCCTTTGTCTTGTCTGCAGCACTGTAATAGACATGGGTCATAAGGAGAGTGTCAACTTCTTCATGATCAGTATTTGATAGATTGTCTATAAGTTGCAACTATCAGTTTTGCAAAGTTCAATAGCAGCTCAGCTATAAGTGAAATTCATCCCATTTTAGAGATACAGTAACATTGCTTCACAAACCAAAGACAGCTTACCATTTTGTAATTCTTTCCAAAATCATCTTGTTGGCTGTTCTCCATTTCACAATGTTTGCATTTACCAAAATATCCCCAAGCCCAATATCCATCATGAACTTCCCACCCTTAGGTGTTATATGGAAATCACCAAGCCTTTGACAACATTGCAATTGATAATGAGGGAATTCAACCAATATGGCTTGATCACTGGTTATAATTATCACAGTTATATACCCCATTACTTTTAAATATATTCCAAGTGTTGTACTATACATTGCATAGATTCATGGGCAGTTTGCAAGGTATTATTACCAGAAAGCCCAATGGACAAAGATAGAGAATACCCGCCCCATTGATACAGCTCAACTTTAAATGTCTAATTTTTAGACTTGTATACTCATGAAGTTCCTGACACATCTGAAAATATCAAATAATACATAGTATTGATCTAGAATATCGACAACTTTGTTAAAGTCTATACTTTGAAATTATTTGGTTTTTATATTTCTGGTTATTTTTTTTAAAATAAATGGGAGTAGTAGGGGAGATATGTAAGCTCTAATATAATGACAGGCTTTCCAATATACATTTTTAGATACCTTAAATCAAAGTAGGCAGGCAAAAGAACAGATTTGATCAAGAATCCATCAACCAATCAGCATAAAACTCAAGATATAAGGAACTATATGTTATTGCTAAAAGTGGAAATGATGAAAAATTGATGAAAAATGCCAAATTTTGTTCTTAAATGTCTAATTTCTTGACACTAGTATACTACCCTGCGTGCAGAGTCTAGTTAAACTGCACTCTGCCTAGTAGATACCATATTACAGTTTAGTAACCCCGCCCCCGCGACAGGTACCAGTGACAGTTTGGGTAATAAATCACTTTTGACCTACGCGCTGACCTTTCTTCCACCAATCAGCGAGCTTGAAGAAACATACGCCAAATGTATTCTAATTAAATATGCGAATGTCATTGGTCAATTCCGGGCTCAACAATGACGTCAGAAGGAATGACCATATATAGAACGTCGGTCAAATTTGGCCGACGAACACTGATTGGCGCGGTGAGTTCACAGGTTTATTTTAGTTTGAAAGAGTGAAGACGAAGCTCTCTTTTAAGAAGTGAAGTCAAACGAATGCAAAGGGTACTAGTATACTAATGAAGGTCCTGAAACATTAATTATAGCAATCATAACACATAAAGAATAGCTACATCTTTGTTAAAGTTTATACTGGTAGTTTGAAGTTATTTTTTATATTTTCCAGTCATCTTCCCTAATAAATGGGGTAGGGGAGATTTGAAAGCTCTAATATGAACATTGTTTGTCCACTATACATTTTCAGTACCTTAAATGGAATAAGACATGTACAAGAACAGATTTAATCAAAAATGCATCAACCAGTCAGCATAAAACTCAAGATATGAGGATCTATATGTTACTACTGAAAGCAGCATTGATTAAAAAATGCCAAGTTTTGTCCTTAAATGTCTCATTTCTAGCCACTTGAATACCAATAAAAGTTCTGAAAAATCTTAAAAACATTAAATAACACATAATATTGATATAGAATAGCTACAACTTTATGAAAGTCTATAATTTTAAGTTATTCTATTTTTTCATATTTCTCGTTTATTTTTCATAATTGATGGGGTAGGGGAGATTTGAAAGCTCTAATATGAACATTGGTTGTCCACTATACATTTTCTATACCTTAAATGGAAGAACACATGTACAAGCACAGATTTAATCAAAAATGCAACAATCAGACAGCATAAAACTCAAGATATGAGGAACTATATGTTACTACTGAAAGCGAAAATGATAAAAAAATGCCAAGTTTTGTCCTTAAATGTCTCATTTCTAGCCACTTGAATACCAATAAAAGTTCTGAAAAATCTTAAAAACATTAAATAACACATAATATTGACATAGAATAGCTACAACTTTGTTAAAGTTTATAATTTCAAGTTATTTTATTTTTTCATATTTTTCGGTAACTTTCCATAATAAATGGGGTAGGGGAGATCTGAAAGCTCTCATATGAACATTGGTTGTCCACTATACATTTTCTATACCTTAAATGGAAGAACACATGTACAAGCACAGATTTAATCAAAAATGCAACAACCAGTCAGCATTAAACTCGAGATATAAGGAACTATGTATTAATGCTGAAAGCGAAAATGATTAAATATGCCAAATTTTGTCCTTAAATGTCACATTTCTAGACACAAGTATGCTAATGAAGGTCTTGAAACATCTGAGAAACCTAACATAGCACAAAATATTGATATAGAATAGCTACAACTTTGTTTGAGTTGAACATTTTGACTTCTTGTAGTTTCCATTTTTAGCCAATTTTTTCTAAAAAATTCAAGGTATGTCTTCTTCGGACCAGTATTTAGATATGTTCGCAAGAGTTATATGCTTCGCAGGCGAAATTCTTTATGCAGAACACCCTAATAGAATAAAAAATACACAGAAATTCCATCCAGCTCATAAAGTCATTTTTTCCTTAACGGAGCCTCTTAGAAAATTTTCCACCCCGAGTAGAATATCACATGATTCTGTATTTACAGTATCTTTCAACCAGTATCAATTGAATCTTTAGTACTGGATGTTATAGTGTGGGCTTCATTTATATGCTACATGCTATATTATATACTGATACATGCTATGTGGAATGTGTCAAACAATTTGCTCAAAACAGCTGCTTGCAAAAAATATGGATGAACAAAGACCATAAATGGTAAGACAATTTCTTTATTGTTCCTGTTATGCCCTACATAGGGTAGGATACTATATTTGTCTTTAATTTGGCCATTTAAGGTCAGGGTGCATGATGGGAAATTTTCTGCATTCCTCAATTGAGTCCCATGTTATTTTTCAAACAAGAATCACTCCCTCCACACATTGTCTATATCTTCCAGTTTTGCACAAAGAATGCACCTATGTGCCTAGAAAAGACTTGTGAGAAGATTTGTTTTGTAAAATGTATAAAAAACGGGAAAATTCAGTGAAAAAAATTTCTGAAAATGTTCTGAATTTTTTCACTGAATTTGTTATGGTCTCCGTTTTTTTGTGACGGCGGTTGGAGGTTGGCGTCCGGCGGTTGGCGTCTGTAACAATTTCTTACAACTTCCTATAACTTAACAAATACTGTTTAGACTGACTTCAATTTTTTTTCAAAATCATCTACATGTTCTCAGAAATTCAAATCTGACTTTAGATTTGACATTTGACCTTCAAATCTGACTTTAGATTTGACATTTGACCTTCAATGACCTTCTCAAGGTCAAAAAAGGTCAAAAAGGTCTGTTTTCAACTTGCTTCAAATTGACTAAAATTTTTTTCAAAATCATCTACGTGTTCTCAGAAATTCAAATCTGACTTAAGATTTGACTTAAGATTTGACATTTGACCTTCAATGACCTTCTCAAGGTCAAAAAAGGTCAAAAAGGTCTGTTTTCAACTTGCTTCAAATTGACTAAAAAAATTTTTCAAAATCATCTACGTGTTCTCAGGAATTCAAATCTGACTTTAGATTTGACTTAAGATTTGACATTTGACCTTCAATGACCTTCTCAAAGTCAAAAAAGGTCAAAAAGGTATTTTTTCAACTTGCTTCAAACTGACTAAAAAAAATTTTCAAAATCATCTACATGTTCTCAGAAATTCAAATATGACTTTAGATTTGACTTTAGATTTGACATTTGACCTTTAATGACCTTCTCAAGGTCAAAAAGGTTTTTTTTCAACTTGCTTCAAATTGACTAGTTTTTTTTTCAAAATCATCTACATGTTCTCAGAAATTCAAATCTGACTTTAGATTTGATATTTGACCTTTAATGACCTTCTCAAGGTCAAAAAAGGTCAAAAAGGTCTGTTTTCAACTTGCTTCAAGGTCAAAAAGGTCTGTTTTCAACTTGCTTCAAATTGACCAAATTTTTTTTTCAAAATCATCTACATCTTTTCAGAAGTTCAAATTTGACTTTACAAGTTCTCAGAAGTTTAAATCTGACTTAAGATTTGACCTTTGACCTTCGATGACCTTCTCAAGGTCAAAAAGGTCTTTTTTCAACTTGCTTCAAATTGACTAATTTTTTTTTCAAAATCATCTACATGTTCTCAGAAGTTCAAATCTGACTTTAGATTTGACATTTGACCTTCAATGACCTTTTCAAGGTCAAAAAGGTCTTTTTTCAACTTGCTTCAAATTTACTTCATTTTTTTTTCAAAATCATCTACATGTTCTCAGAAGTTCAAATCTGACTTTACAATTGACATTTGACCTTCAATGACCTTCTCAATGTCAAAAAAAGTCAAAGAGGTATTTTTTCAACTTGCTTCAAATTGACGAATTTTTTTTTCAAAATCATCTACATGTTCTTAGAAGTTCAAATCAAACCTTCTTAAGGTCAAAAGGTATTTTCCAACTTGCTTTAAATTGACCAAATTGTTTTAGGTGGTGACATTTTGTCATGTTAACGCCTTGTCAAAACATTCTTCTCACAAGTCTTTTCTAGGGACATAAGTGCACTCTTTGTGCAAAACTGGAAGATATAGACAATGTTGGGAAGGAGTGATTCTTGTTTGAAAAATAACATGTGACTCAATTGAGGGATGCAGAAAATTTCCCATCATGCACCCTGACCTTAAATTTGTTTATTATTATCATATTACATGACTATAGCTAATACATGGTGGAGAGTTTGAAAACAACCATATGTGTAAGGAAGAGTTCAACTTTGAACTATGGCTTAGCACCACTTCTTAAGCTCAATCTGTACCATAGTTGGGAGAAAAATAAACCATTTAACGGAATGCTCTAAAAATTCTTCGACCTGCACCTTCGACTGTACTTACTGGGAATTCAGAAATTCCTGAAATAAAATTTTATAAAAACCCTTTGACCTAAGGCCTAAGTTGAAATTCCTAAGTATTGTAATCACTGTATGCAGCAAATGGTGTGTCCCAGGAGAGGTGAAAACTGTTATTGTATTCGAGCAAATCATTTTTTTTAGGAATAGCTGTACTTTTTGGACACCCAATAGGTCGAAGGTGCAGGTCAAAGGGTTTTTAGAACATTCCCATTTTAACGCTGTAATATGGCATACAATTTGTTGTATTACAGACATGTTTCATTTGTATCATTTCAGTTTGAATAACATTCCAGTTAAACCATGAATATTCAAGTAGATGAAAGCGAGCCTTTACTAAGCCCATCACAGTGCAGAACGAAAATTGCTCAACCACGTGGCAAGGCCAAACAAACATTATGTCTATTTGTGCTGGAGCCAGCAGCCATCTTATATGCTTGTTTCGTATTTCCCGGATTCACCATGAATACACAGTTCCTCTATCAAAAAATTGGGAAAAGGTACAATTATGATTATTTAGGACGTCATACATCATCATGTATTGGTAACCAATCAAGCTTTGAGTTTATAACCCAACAGAAAATCCAGGAAGAGACGTCAGCATGGTTGTCCCAGATCAACCTTGCGTTTACTCTCCCGAGTTTAGTGACCACCATTCTGATAGGTTCATACAGTGATAGAACAGGACGTAAAATACTCATCATCCTGCCAATGCTCGGGAAAATACTGGAAGCCTTAGTGTTCTTATTGGACAGTTACTTCAACTTAAGTCCAAGTTTTCTGTTGTTTGGTAGCATACTACATGGACTCTCTGGTTCTTGGGTTGCTTTCTTCGTTGGTGCATTTGCATATATGGCTGATATAACTAAGACTGAGGATCGTACTTGGAGGATTACCCTTATCAATTCCCTCATGGCAGCATCGGGAGCAGGCTCAGATATTTTGTACGGTTTTTGGATTCGCTCGACACATGGCTTCCAGATGCCCTTATTAGGCTTGTGTGTGGGACAAACTGTAGCATTCCTATATACTGTGTTCGTGGTACCAGAAACTGTGCATAATAAACCAAAACCCCCAGATATTATAGGAAATCCTAAAATAACCCAGATTGAACCAGTCATTAACAGCTGTGAAGCTGAAACAGCTGTATTACCCAACAGCAGTGAACAACAAAGGGGTGATAACCCACACAGCTGTGAAATACAAAACCAAGCTCAAAATCCAAATTGCAGTAACAAAGAAACCCATTTAACATTTATGAATGGACTAAAGAAATGTGTGATGCTGTTCATAAAAGATGATGGATCCAAACGACGCTGGCAACTGATTATATTGCTCTTTATATTCTTCCTTTTTGTTGTACCAGAATCTTCAGCTGCGGATCTACTTAATCTTCGCCAGATTGATGATCCTCTATGCTTTGACCCAGTGCTTTTGGGCTATTATCTGGGTATCTTCACAATCACCAAACATACAGCAAGTTAGTTGTTTTACAGATTCCTACCCCTTATTCCATGTATTTACATGCATGTGCATTATCTCAATAACTACTCACAAAAATGCAGATCGCTAATTTTTCACATCTTTGAGACAAAAAAGATTCTATTTGGTTTGTATATCTGATACAGTTTCAGTTAAAAAATGTGCAAGGTTCTAGATACTAGTAGGTAGCATTGAGCAAGGTTCTCAAGGGTAACATTAACTAACTAGAGGGTAACATTGGGTGGCACGTTTCTTGAAGGTCTACATTGGGCAAGCATCGAGAAGGCGTAACATTAACTAAGGCTCTAGAGGGTAACATTGGGTGGCACGTTTCTTGAAGGTTTACATTAGGCTGGCTTCAAGAAGGGTAACATTGGGCAAGATTTTAGAAGGGTAACATTTGGCAAGCTTCAAGAAGGGTTACATTGGGCAAGGTTTTAGAAGGGTAACATTCCTTGAATCAATGAACAAATATAATATAACAGAGCAGGAGGTCCATCCTATGTTAAATAGAGCTATAGGAAGACCATCAATGTCTGTGTTGCAGCAGTTTGAGAACATCATGGATTGAGAACATCTGTATTTTCTTCCTGTCTTAATAAATATGAAATATTTTTATTTCAGCTGTGCTGTTTGTTGGGCTATGCTCACGGTGCTTGCCAGATCCTGTAATGGTAGCGATAGGTTGTGTATTTGCCATGGCCTTCTTCATCTACAGTGCATTGGTCGAAACAAAACTACTCATGTTCCTTGGTTGGTATAATGTTATATTTATAAAATGTTAAAGTGAAGGTGATTTGTTCACAATATTCAAAGTCCTGTGAGAAAAGTTTAAGAAATGTCCCTTGACAATTTTTCATAATTTTAAATTCTTTTCTGTAATAAAGGCCTATTCACAATAAATGAATGAGCTTTTGAAATTTCTTTTAATATTGAAAAATATAAACGTTTTTCAAAAGGGTGTACTTTTTATTTATATTATGAATAGATTGTACTATTAATTGCAATGTTTTATCAGAAATGTACTAGTATGTGTAAAGTAAATGATAAATTTCAGGTATTCTGGTTGGAATTTTGCAGTCAGTTACAAGTCCCGTTTTACGTGCAATGATGTCAAAGCTTGTCAATGCAGACGAACAAGGTACAATATTTTAAAGTTATATTATATGATACCCTTCCACAAAGAGGTGCACAATACATTGCACCATGGACCATGATTGCACAACAGGGGTGATGGGCTATGATGTGCCAATTTACCTCTGTGATATCAAATTTAAGAAACAAAAGTAATTACGCAAAGAATAATGAGTAAAGTTATACCAAATTAGATTTGTCATTTATATCTTTTATGCTTTATGACCAAAGTTTATATATTTAAATGAGGAAACACAAATGGCAAATATGCAATCATTCAAGTCTCATGAAGCATGTGTTAAATGCCTTGATAAGACTTTGTGAGTATGTTTCTAGATGAGATTTCCATGGTGACACATTGCATATTGTAGATTTTAGGCATATTGTATATTTTAGGCTCTATTGTTCTCTGAAGTTGCCCTGGTAAACACAGACGTTGCTAGATACATGTACACTCTAAAATATGTTATATTTTTGCAGGTTCCATGTTCTCTGTGGTTGCCCTGGTGGACACAGTGTGTATGTTGCTAGGCAAGGTTGCCATGGATGCACTTTACTCTGCAACAGTTGGTATCTATAAAAACACGGTATTCTTTGTCTTGGTAGGCTACAACTTCCTGGCACTTGTCTTCACTTGGTATGTTATATTTTTACATATCATAGAAGAAAGACAGTTTCTGAAAATAGGACTGTGTCTCAACACAACCAATAGCCATTCTCTTTTACATGATACATGAATGGCCAACAAACATCTTGTGTGATGTAACATCTAGGGGCCTGTTCGATACTTTGTCTACATATTCTTTCCTAACTTGACTAGATTTAACCATATTAGATGGCTTATCATTATTTATTCCTTAAATCCTGTTGCACTAAAATTGAATTTGGGTAAATTGATCCAGTTACTTCACCAAGATAATATTTTGTTTTGATAAATTACAAAATAATTACACTTAATGGATTCAATATGTGACAAGGCTGCATTATTAAAGGAATTAATTTAGATGATTTTATTTTATATCGGCCCAGAATCTTTGATTTTTCCCATTGGATTTGATGACTTGTCAACTTGACCCTTGCAGAAATTTCATTGAAAATGTGTTCTTTTAGTGATTTCGTTCTTTTAAGATTATTTTAGAGAAAAAAATTTGCAATCTGTGAAAAGAATTGAAAGCCCAAGACTCGATGCATTGTAGCTGCTTCATACCACTCAGGCGTTGTTTCCTAAACTTAGCACACCTTGCCTAGCTATGTGTGAATTAAATATCGTGCTGACTATCTTGAATAAAGTGTTGCTTACCATAGTCATGCTGGGAATGTGCTGAATTTCATACTTATTTCTATTTCAGCATTTACATGTGCAAGAAAAGGACTCATTAGAAAGGAATGGGAACATTAGATGAATGTGAACTCCTCAGTGCAGTAAGCCTTTAATTCCATATTTGGCACATGTGTGAGGATTAGAGAAACATTATGATGATGTGCAGTACTTAAGACTCTTGCTCAATCATGGCTATATCCATGTTTTAAAAATTAATGGATTGAAAAGTGTCTGGAATAAAGGCTCAGACTGCCACACGTTTAGGAACTAATGTTGAAATACACCAATATGTGTATATTAGTATAAAGAACTGTGCAATTCACAACTGTGCAGTTGTGTTGGTTGCTTGATTGGACATACAAGATTAAACCACCCTAAGATTATTACGTAAGCTTTAGGAGTTGTGTCAGTTTATCAATAATATTATTTTTATTTCACCACAATAAGTGGTGACATGTTGTTATAGTCTCCAACGTTTTTGTGACATTGGTTGGTGTTCTGTGTCCATAACAAGTGACAGGCTGTGACGTTTTGCTTGCCTTGTTAAGTTTAGTCCCTGGGATCAATAAAAATCAGGCTTTGTGTTGGGACAATTTAAACGCATATACCAGGCCCGTAGCCAGGATTTGACAAGGGGGTTCAATTTTTGAAAAATTCCAGGGGGGCCACTTGTGACAATTTTGGTCCAATTATGGCCAAAATCACTTCAAAAGTGCTCAGAATGTTGAAAAACTGCATGATTTTGAACGATTTTTTGGCCAGGGGGGGGGGGGTTCGCTAGGAAATCAATACCATTGCAAATATAGGTTTAACCCTCCCCATCCTAATGACAACAATTATGTATTTTTCAAGAAATTGATCTTGTGACCTTAACCTAAGCTAAGAAGGAATAAATGGGCAATAATGTTACATAGTGAAATGCCTTTGAAACCATTGACTTTTGTCAATGTCCTTTATTCCCTGAAAATGCAATAATTTAATGAGGCACTTAGAACAATAATTAAGTCTCGGGAGTACAACATGTTTGAATTAGTGTATTGATTTGATGAAAATCAAAATATATTTTTATATACACTGTAAATATATTTTTATTTATGAAATAATCAATTATTTTATATCAAACATCATTTTTGTGTTGTATTTCATTTACTGATTGCTCTTAAGAAAATACAGTTCAGCCGTCAGTGCCTATATAGTCTAGGTACAACCCCCCGCCCCTTCCCACGACTTGATGAACACCTTCTCACACAGGGGAGTTGTGTAGCTGGGGAAGCTCACAAGCGTAGTGAAAAGGGCTTGTAGCTAGACTATTGGTACTCTTGCATTTATGATTAATGCCAATTAGTCAATGCGGAACTAGTGGTAGACTTGGTACAAGACTACCTTTTATGTATATTTTAGTGTGTATTATTTCCATATTTTGATCAGTTTTTCTGTTATGTTTTGATGTAAAGGGATAAGCCCTCAGTATGGACGCTTTTTGGAGACAACAACTTATTACACTGCACTTCCCAAGACGAGTTATTCACCCTATGTATACAGATTGGCCAAAGCGAGTATATGTGTTCATGAATAGGTCCGACAAATCTTTCAGATTTCAAATGTATTCTAAGCGTTATTTTCAAAATATTTATTTTGAAATCCGAAAGATTTGCCACATCTACTCTCACAGATTCTCGCATTTTGGCCGATCTGTATACATATTTCAGTTGTATATTCGTATATTCTTTCAATGCCAGTTATCCCTGTATTCTATCCATTTCTTTGATAGTTATTCAATCTGAAGTGTTGTCCAGATAAGCCATTTTAGTATTTCTGTATATCAGTATAATATGGATCCCTTACAGTAAAGTTGGAGTCCAGTTTAGTTGGCAGATCACCATTACTAACATTATTTGGGAGCTTTTGAGAGACCTCATTTTATTACATATTGTACGGCCCAGAACCAAGAGTTCAATATCAGTAATGAAATCTGTTCCTCGATAGTTTTCACTTTTTGTCCAGACAAGCCATTTCAGTATTTCTGTACATCAGTATAATATGGATCCCTTACAGTAAAGTTGGAGTCCAGTTTAGTTGGCAGATCACCATTACTGACATTGTTCATCTCTGTCCCAGCTTCTCCATTTGACAGCTTACTCTCCACATCTTGGTCTTTCAACTCTTTGGCTTTACCAAATCTTTCTTCGTATTCTTTCCTGCAATGTTCAGAATAGCATCATTTATGATCAATACCTTGATAAACACTGAGCCATGTCAGCATAGGCCAGGATACATTTACACCCTTATCATTTATCTTTTACCAACTATTCAAGATTTTTACTACATGACCTTTATCTCAAGGGCAAAAATCCTATGGAAGGTGTTATAAATCAAAGAAAACAAATGGCAGTTATCTATAAACTATTATATTGATAGAGTGAAGCATAAAATACCCTGTTATAGGACAATGTATATTGGCAGATCATGATCTACCTTGTCAGTATTTTCCAGGTCACGGAAGACCAATACAAATAACATTCCACAAAACTTACGTTCCAAATAGTTCCCCCTCCTCCAGAGTCTCGGGAAGATTTTTGTTGAATGTTTCTGGTAAGAAGAATGTTGATATGCCACTGAGAAGAGGGATCATTCCCATTATCAGATACGGTAGACCATACCACACACGACCCTACAATCAAGATTCGCAAATGACTAGGCTATATTCTGGCCCTAACTACTATACTCTAATATTAGGGGCTACAAGGTACAGACATACTATGTTAAGTAATGCGATCATATAAGGTCCAACCACATACTTAACCCTTCAAGAAATACGCTATGCACAAAATACAATTTTCTCGTCCGTCCTGGCAGCTCCACCATTTCCTCGTCATTTACAGGTTCTATTATAAAGTGAAGCGAAATTAGAATTTTTTTGTGTCTCGGCTTTGTCCAAACACTTCTTCCTTGTCGAATTGTTTTTGAACTATGGCTGAATCGTCTGTTTTTGTAACGCAGAAAATTTTCATGGATGTAGGCCTCATTTCTTTAACCTCTTGAATACCAGCCTCTTAAAGGGGTTTGAAACCAGAGCATATTTCATTTTTCCAGGTTATGGACATTTTAAATCTTAAGACACAATATGCACGGTTGATTTCATATGAATAGTAAAGATGGGCCTGATATACATTTTAAAAGATAATTTGTGTAAATCGGATACAAATTGTCAAAGTTAGAGCAGTTTTAGTGAAAAATTCTACGACAGATATGGGTTCCATGGGAATTTTATTTGTGAAAGATATATCCCTCGTTCTGGGTGTTCAAGAGATTAAATGTTACATTCTGATATTTGCATACATTGTGCATATTATCTTAAGTACATGTCGTTATTTGGGCAGAGGACGTCCAAAGACGGCTTAGCTTTTATTCTTACCAATAGGGGAACCTGGGGTGCAATAAAGCCCCCGATCCTTCCGAAACTAGAACCTCCTCCTACCCCTGCACCACGTGCAACAGTCGGGAATATTTCAGCACTATATTGGTAAACAACGCCGAACGCACAGGCAGCAAAACAGTACCCGACTATAGACGCACCGGCCACCAACGCCTGAATCCCTAGTGACAAATATGATAGTGTGTACATAGAAGCATCATATGTTCATAACGTGAAAAAATGGTAGTTTTGTCTTTATACTCGTACTATCATAGCAAATGGAGGTCAACGGTCGTAAAGCACAAGTTGGATGGGTAGTTAATAAGCTACATATGGCCATGTTAGGAGGGCCTAGTATTCATTCAATCGGAGGATGTAACATTTTCTTGGCAGTTCTTACTTGTTGCAAGGAGGCCGATAATCAGGAAGGCAAATCCAGCAGACGTGATGAGCAAGACCATGAACGCAACGCGTCTACCGACCTTGTAAAACGCCACGTATCGCATAGGGAGTTGGGCCACTGCGGCAATTTGGAACACAGCGAAGAAGTTGAGATATATACTCCCTGGGATAAGTGTTCCGATGTTCAATCTAATCACGTAGTTGCCAAACACTGCCGCAAACCTGGAAAAATTAACAAAAACAATGGACGGTCGCGAATCATTATCATATATCGTAAATGGCAAAATACATTTATTTCTCTTCACTTGGTATGAAAAATTTAGAAATTTTTATTTAAAGATACAAAGAGATTACATAAGATACAAAGATTAAGAACTAAAATGTTGTATTCTGTACTTACCAGACGCCAAATACTATTAATGTATTCTTTCTCATTCGAGGTGTTTTGAATAAATCCAAGACGGTTGCTTTCTGACTTGACTGTTTTTCTTCCTTTGACTTGATCTCTTCCTGTAAATTAAAAGTAGCGATTTGGGAATCAGTGATACAGTTTTGTACCAAAACGTATCAACACTGATGTAGGCTTACAGGTTAAATGTTCAACGTGTGGGTCAAAGAATACACGTGAAGCTATGTTGACTAGTTCCATCATTACATGACCACTACAAGCTGACAAGTGGTGATTGTTAAGTCTCAAACATTTTCGTGGACGGTGTTCAGAAGTTGATGTTCGAAGTTCGGCGGTCGGGGTTGGTTTTCGGTGTTCGGTGTCTGTAACAATAGGCAAGTGGAGTGACATGTCACGCTTGTTGGGACCTCCCCCCCCCCTTCCACATACCACACACAAAAGTAGAAGCAGGTAGGGTCGGACCAGAGACTCGATGCAAAGATAATGTGCTTACTTTTGATATATTCTCAAGTATGGATAAACAGTCATCCGACAGAGCTCGACCATTCACCCATGCTATTTTCTTCAAGGTTTTATAAGCTCCATCGACATTTCCTGACGCCAGTTGCCATCTCGAGGATTCGGGCATCAACCTGTAATTTATTTGGAAAGGAATAGTTCATAGTCTCAGTTTCTATTCCATAATCATTTCTTGATATTTTATTCTGTCAATTTAAAGAGAATGTATGTTTACAGGTTAGGGTAATGATAAAGAAGACAACGATTTGGATGTTCTGAAATGCGTCGATTAAATTTATTGTAGTGATATTCCGATCGGATTTAATGCAGGAACAATTTATATGGGAGGGCAACTATACAACTAAAATACAGGGTGATCCTCAAAAGAAACAGAAACCAAAACTTTGAATAAAAGTTATGGGTTCTGTTTTTTAGGATCACCCTATAGGCAAGGGTTGTTCACTTACAGATTAATGATGACACTGGGTATCATAAGGCATGCACACACAATCTGAAGGTCGATATGATTGCGCAAGTTGTAGGCCATCAGCGGAAGGATCCAGGAAGCAATGGACTGGGTAAAGGCCATGAACAAAGGCAGCATGCCTCTCGTCTTGGGATCTAGCACCTCCAGGCCTATCCATATCAATTGTATGGTAAAAACAAACAGGTATGTGAAATAATGTTATAAATTCAAAAAATATGAGAAATTTTATTGCTAATGTTATCCCATTTGAGCCACAACGGGTTACAATTATCACAATGAAACCGGTGACAGCCTGCCACGGAGTGCAGATCCAGCTTTACGATACTATAATATAGACGCGTACATATCCCACATTTTCATACAACATAGCGTTCACACATTTTGCAATTTCAAGAATTCCTTTAGAACCAATATAAAAGGAAAATGAGAAAAACTTACAAGATGTGAAATAAGCAGTGTAGGCAGCTAAATAAGACATGCCACAAATTGCCCTCAGTACCAGATACAAAGGGTAGTTAGGGGACCATATTGATCCAAATGCAGTGGCCAGGGCAAGAAGATGGAAAACAGCTGCCGTCCTTACACGACCCAACCTGAAACGTAAATGCACGCAGAATCTATAATATCACATCATAAACTATTTGAAGTCATTTGGAGGAGCTGCCGGTATACATAGACAACATGTAATTTTGGATATAGCCAAACATGCCTATCCATTTATTGACGTTCTTAATTATTCTCAATCTAATTCATAAGGTTATTGAGTAAAGATTATTACAATTAGGTCAGTTGCGTTGCAAGGGTACGCAACGTACGCACATGCACCAAATACTTTAGAGAAAAATAATATTCTGTTTTATTTTATTTTTATTTTACTTTGTAGAGTAAAAATAAATAAATTAGAAGTAGACTTTAAATAATCATTTTGTTTAATCGTTTATAACAAACTGATTTCGTTATGGATAAGTCTGTAAAGGATTGGTATCGATATGGTGAACTGAATTCAACAATTTTTTCTCTTAAACCAATTATTGAAAACATTCTGTAAAAAACACGGTCCTTTATGTAATGTTGACTGATTGATAACAATTTAATGCGAAAATTATTTATATTTTATACAACTGTTTTTGTTAACATTTTTTGTTTTTTAGTGCAAATGTTTTTTGTTCCTTTCTCCCAATTCTTGAGAATGAAATAAAATGTCTTTCCGAACCTTGTTGGAACAAAATAGTATAATACAACCTCTCAATATTATTCAAAAGATCACCATAAATTGACGATGTGTAAAATTTTCAGAATTTTTCGATGACTGGTCTACTTATAATCGAGTATCTACAGTATTTACCGTCGTTTAACAGACTCTGATAATGATAAATACGTACAAGATGAAAATTACAACAAAGTTTGAATCGCTTTTAGCTCCGTATTCATAATTTGAGTCTTAAAGCATAATTACTTATATTGAAGCCTTCCCCATTCTTCTTATCGCTTGAAGACGCGTTTATACGAAGTAGCCAATTACGAGACGTTCGCAAGCTCGTGATTGTTGTCGTTGTTTATAATTAGTCATTTCAATACAAATACAAGTGATTTAGAAAATAGGATTAAGTATGTTCGTGTTCATCCAAGCAAAATATTATAACAACTATTACATTTTTGAGGAGTTTTGACACCTAAGCGGAGTAGCCTCGTGGCGTTTAGAGGCTACTTTGCGGTTGAGCGTATCGGGGGATACGGAGGTCCCGCGTTCGAGCCACAGGTACGGCGTTCTAGATCATAGTCCTACAGGACACTCGGTCCGAAGGTCCAACCGGTTGCCGGCCCTTGGCTTGGGCGGGTTCTCTGGCCGCTCTTGCCGGAGACAGATTGTGAGACTGTAGGTTGGTTCCTCCACTGACGGGCTATAGGAGACGCCGGGAGTCATACAGTATGGTAGCGAGTCCCCACCAAGGGCAGTAGTGGAACGACACGAATCGGTCCCAGTATGGTTGCCTTGCAACTGAAGAGACTCGAGGAAATCATGCCATTCGCGGTGACCCAGAAAAGGCTTTTGCTCTTTGATACAACCATATATTAATTTTTATTCATTTTTATTGAATGTCCTCGGCTCAGAAAGTGAAATGCATTCATAGACTCATAAAATGTGTAGACTTTATATAACTTATAATACAAGAAAAAAACTTATCATATATTACAAACTCGGGTTTTATTGGATGAATTAAACATGTGACATCTTTTTATGATAACTTAACAAGAGGCACCAAACTTCACACAACTGTCCATCTGGACTAAATCTTATTTCGAAACTATCTGTTTACTTCTTGAAGCCGATTACGATCTGACCTCTGTAACCAAATATAGGTGCAACGCCTATTTAGGTGAGAGAGGGAAGGGTATGTATTGATCAACACCACACACACGTTGTACTATCCCTTAAGATCATACCCACCTATCTGCTAGCTGACCTGACACAAAGGCACCGAAGAAAAAGCCCAACATAACAGATGACGCTGCAAACGTGGATAGGACCTCCCGCTCACAAACGAGCTCATACTGAAAAAATAAATTCAATTATTAATTATAAAGATTGGTTGATGAGTTCGTCCCGATTCACCTGTGTATGGGGTTAATGTTATTGATAACTCCCTCAAGGGTATAGATGAATTTTAAGTTAATTTATCGTTCAAGGTGTGAAAGTTGATACATATGTCAAGAGTATTGTAAATCAGACAGTACATTCATTGAGGAGGAACAAATTGGACTCCGATAGTAAATAAACAAAAACTAATTTGAGTATTATCAAATCTCCTTTGCAATAATCAAATACATGTTCCCATTTTGGCATCACGGCGCAGTGGATTGTCAATTGTTCTTTGTTTCAGATGTAGCCCCTTCCGGTTCTCAATACTTCCATATGTCAGTTGTCACCACCTGAAGTGGTGACGTATTGTTATTCGGCGTCTGTAACAAATGGCAGGTGATTACATTCTGCATGTTTATGCCATGTTTAAAAATCTGATTTGATTTACCTGGCTCATAAGGGTCGATATATAGTGTGACTGATCGTAGGACATCCCGGATCTGCAATTAACAAGGGAACTATTCGAATTTCTGAAATCCACCAAATGTTGACCACTGAGCAAATCATCATTAGAGTATGCAGTGTAGTTTATAGAGTACATTTTACACTTCTGATAACTTGTGGAGTTTTGGTTTTCCGTCGGGATTCCGATGTGTTTTAACAAACTCTGGTTAAAGCCACGTTGGGTGAGCTCAGGGATGTTGCACCAATGGTCCATAGAAGCGGCTATAAAATTAGTAAACGTCGTTTGATATCCACCAAATGTTAGTAAGATATAGAACTCTGTCAAATGTAGGAATTGATACAATTTGACTCCAACTTTTTGAGTAAGAAAATCATCATATGTCTTGATTGGTTTGTCTTCTTCAACATTGTTTTCTTTTTTCTCATCATCTTGAGAATCATTCTTTTTCCAAAACTTTTTCATTTTGATTTACGTTTTTATAACCTGTCTACATTGATCTACGATGTTTTAATTTTTATCTTATAGAAGATCGATAATATTGAAACGTAAAGGTCGAGTGCTCTCATACACAATTACTACATATCCTAAGATTATTTGAAACTTAAAAATATCTCTCCGTCGCAGGGTCGCATACAAATGCAGGTTGCGTTTGAATTTTGGTCAACCCTTCAAATGTGCTCAAAAACTGAATTACGAATTACACGGATGGGCCTATAGTACATGTAATATACATTTATATTTTCAATCTGTAGGATTGCATTCTAACATGAAAACGGTGTCATCAACTTATCGCAGTGCTTTAATAATCGTCCTTTTAAATTTTCTCAATTACGAGGTCAATGTCTGATTATTCTCAAATTAAGAATCATTTTGTCTGCAGCATCTATTTTTCCACCTCCAAGAGCTATATTTATCTTAATAATTTGTGAAATGAGGTACAGTTTTCAAGAATGGAACTTTGCTTTAGTAGTATTTGTATGGGATTTATACAGAAAAAGTATATTTCATTTAAATACAATGATCATAAGTACATAAGGCCTAGAATTTTACATGTTTAAAGTCCAATCAATGTTCCATTTTTATGAAGATGTGATAGCACAAAGTTAAAATGAGATAATAAAAAGTCGATGAACACTTGAAGAATCTAAATGAACCCTTGAATATGAAATGTCAATTTTTAAACCAGTTTATAACCAAAGATAAAAATAACATATAGAATGAATTCATACCACACCAAAAACATTCTGATACTTATAGCATATTTCTGTTTCACCTGAAACATGCAGAAATGAGATGTCATGGTTTATCATGATGCATCAAAAACGGCATTTGAGAACTAGAAATGATTTATTTTCAAGTATAATAATCTATTTGAATTGATAATCGTAATAAACACATGCCTTGATAAGACAGGGCGTTTTCTAATGTAATATACAGCAGTGGCAAATTGGCACTACCTGGTTAGAATTATAAAAGTGTAACAAGTGTTACAGATATGTAACCACTTTATGGTGGTGAGATATATTCAGTTGAAATTAATCATGGTTCGGTATTTATTCTGTGCGTTTCATTTTCATGATTTTGATTGTGTTTAGGAGTGTTGACATGTTAAAGAAAGTTACCTGTCAAATGGAACATTTCTCTATGGAACGATTTAGATTTTCGTGCACTTACATACTTATGTGGTAGCAATGAATTAAGCGAGTAAAATGTTGAAAGCAATGTTTTAAAATAAAGTACGCGTAATACACATGATGTAGCCACATTTTCAATTTCAATTCGTATTTTAATCAAGTATAATTTTAAAAAAAATGAGAGATCTTTCTTAATTAACATATGGAGAAATATTTTGAAGTGTTCTATATAACGATGTACACAGGTTTTACTGTATAAACTCAATACACATCAATCTACAGACAAGACAGAGTCAAACACAAAATTCAAAGGCAAATATATAATGTAGCTGTATTTCAAAATTATTTTCTCATTATTTGCCAATACTATTAAGTGAATATGTTTAGTTATACTGCAGCTGGTACATTTTGGTAAAAACACATTAATTTAAGATATTCCAAACATATACAGATAACAGAAAAAATCTATATTTATATATAGGATTATTACACTGACATTATATAATCCACTGTACATGTGTATTTGGCAGATATGATCATGAAGTTAATCAAATTTATGCAATCCCAAATTTCATTAAAATAAGGACCATTCATTACATTGCCCATTGGCTGTTCAGTGTTTATTCAAAGTAACACAGTATCAATGGACTGTTTAATCAAAAATTGTATTCAGCAAACATCTGAACCCAAGATTCATTTTGCAATATACAGGGTGTCCCAAAAAATGTATTGAAACAAACATGTAATAAATCTGGGAGTGACAAGGAAATATTCTTGAAATTTTGTCATCTGATGGACACTGGGAAAGGTATCTAAGTATAATCCTAAAGATCAGAAAGTTTTACCAAGCCAGGTAACTCTATTTACATATTGTCATTTGAGATTTGAACTGTAGGACTGCATCCATCTCGATAATTGTACCTAATTGCAAAACCATCATACATGTACATTTTAAGATATGGTCTGATAGTACCCGAAAAGCTGTCTTCACATTAATCTGCCTTTCAAAGGCTAAATGTTTCGATATGTGAATTTCCAGTAAGTCTTACTCGTTTACAATAAGTGAAACACTAATATTGATATATTTGACATATAGTATTCCATATTCTATTTACTTCATTTTCCACCATATTATAGGAAATCAGAAGTCATATCCAATCAACAAATGTATCATAAAATTCGACACTGCTTTGTACAAATAGTACAGTACACCCAGTCCTAATCTATAACATCATAAATAGTAATACTTGTACAGTACCAACATTTTGAATGTGAAATTAAAATATTATATACATCCTTAGCACTGTACATGTATATATGTACCTGTATACATTGAAACTGGGATATGTCTTCTATATTAGAACCACTTCTATAGTAAGTCACACATATGGTTTTTGGGACCTATTTGTGCATGTAAAAGTCACATAAGCTCTCGATTATTTATACCTAATCAACCTTAATAGCAAAACATGTTATTTTTGAAAGCTACAAAGCAAACAAAAGCATAACTAGTTTTGTGTATGTGAATTAACAGCTGGATAAATCAAGAATCTTTTTAGGAAAATACAATAATTGATGTCAAACACCCACATATATTTGTATTTCTATTGACCACAAAATACTAGTGAGTATTGGGCAAACATTTAAAATGATTGTAATAAGGCAAACATTAAAATGTCTATTTCATCACCACTGTAATCTTAGGCAATCCCTGATAGATTTACTTCATTGGTAATTGGTAAGGATGCGGAAAGAATATCTATGGCCTGAATCACCAAAGAATCATATTGTATTTCGCAAAAACACAAAAATCATTAGTTCATGAACAGATTTCGGGTCTCAAAACAACTTATGGTAATCCCTGTCTCTATCTTGAAATATTGAATTTACACAATGTGACAGACTCAGTTTATTGATGAATGAGTTGTTGAGGATAAAGAAATTTCCAAAGCCCAAAAAATTAATTTTCTTACAACATTTGTTTTTGAAATAAAATACAGTAGTAATTTTTTTTCTTATTTTTGGCAATTCTGTATACACCAAATCCTGTAAAGTGGAACACCTCCTTAGTGGAACACATCCAAGGTGGAACACTATAAGGTACTTTACAGGTTTTACCATATACAACTTGGAGTGGGATTACACATTTTTGATTTTATTCCACATTGTTTCTTGTCCTGTACATTTCTATCTACATGTATTTCAAGTTTCATTAATATGACCACGGTTGAATATTTCTCACACAAGGGAGCAGATCGTAATATGTTATCAAGAATCATTTTTTCTCAATGTTATTGTAACACTGACACAAAGTTAAAAAACATTTTAAGAAATGCTCCCTTCATCCAGTTTCTCAAAAATATAACATGACTCATAATTTTAACTTTCCATTTTCAATATGGTTCAATGGCAATTAAGGAAACTAGAATGGAATATAAAGAATCATATTCTACATTTTTGAGAAACTTCATCCTGGACTTTTGATATGACGATTTATGGCAGCAATAAAGGAACATCTGATTCCAAGTCCTCAATTGATACATCAGAGCTAATAGAAAGTCTCGATATATTCTGATTCCTATACAGTCTTCCGCTCATTTCCATACTTTCTGATTGTATACTATCCCCATCTGAAGTCCCGCCATCTTGAATCTGTCTGTTCGTCCTGGACCGATTCTGCTCCCCAGATGGAGCAGTTTGAGAATTAGCAGAAATATTGATGAGAGATGTTTCATCGTTCAGATCTTTATCATCCTCATCTAATGATAATAAGACTGAATCGTCAGATGATTCGTAACCCCTACTGGGGACACTCTGGATGCTACCCCCATCGATCCCTGGATCATTTGAGGTAGGTACTACTGCACTGTTATTAGAATTTTGAGCATTTTTAGGTCTGGCATGACGATGCCATTCAGCTGTTACACCCGTTGCCCTAGAAACGCTAATAGATGTCTGCACAGACCCATCATCGGAGTCCAACAATGAGGGTGGGTGTATATTGAATAGAGTTTGTATAGGCCCTCTGGGTGGGGCTTCTGCTCCCTGGGGATTATCTGATCCAGAAGGTAGCCCTTCAGAATCAAATCCATCATTTATAACACCGTTACCTCTTTGTGTATTATCCATGGCACGATCTCCTGGACTGACATTGTCCTGAATGGGTTGGGAGTCTCTTGACCTCTGACGACCTTGACCCCGATTTCGTCGCCCACGTCTCCCTGTGGTGCGGGCCCGCTCTACATACTCTCTCTGTACATCATCAAATGATCTGGAATTCTGCATGGCTTCATCGTAAGTAGGTGGCACTGGCCTCTGGTTGAAGGCCATGATCTGGTAGCGTGTCAAAGGCGACTGGTAGCGTGGACCACCGTGTTGTTCTTGCAATCGCATGGCATACAGTTTACATGTACAACCAAATGCGATCACCAGCAACAAACAACAGACAAGGGAGCCAACCACAGCTGCTGTTATAACACGCACGGATGGCATACCTGCAATCAAATCAAATATAAGACGATGCTAACAAAACAATGCCTAGATATATACAGCTGATACTACTCTTATATGAAATTCACTAGTTTAGCTCAAACATATCATGTTTCTCGAAATTTTAATGGGGTGGAATAAAATCTAAACTGAAGACAACTTTTGTGATTTAGTATATAGACTGATATTTTTTTCTCCGCTAGCATATTTTGCTACTGTGTTGAAGTTTTCCAAGTACATTTCCATCAGTTCAGCGTTTTATTGGTACCTGGACATAGTATTTTTGTACCAAACATTGTTCTTTATGTCTAACATTGCTTTTCATACCCAAACATTTTCTCAAACTTCTTGACTCAATTGTGGCTTATGCAAAGCCCGACGTGCATGTTATATTCAGACTTTTTATGGAAACAAATCATTAATAAAAAAGTTTTTTTGAAGATGAATATATTTCTTCACCTGAACAGTTCTCTTCATCACTCCCGTCAGAGCAATCATTCGTTCCATCACAGTGCCATGACTCATAGATACACTTCCTGTTACGACAAAGGAAGGTTCCATTGTGGGGGCCGCACACATCAGAATCTAAAATTTAAAATGTTTCATATTCTCAAAATAAATTTGTTTGGATCATTAAAACTAACATCGTAAGCATCATATTCAGAAATCAAAATATAGTTACCATGGATACAATGACATCATAGACTTAAAGTAAGAAAACTACCAACTTAGGAATTCTTAACTTTGTTAATGAAATGTTGAAGACAGTTTCTGATATTGCCCCCCACCCAACTCCAATTATCAATTTTCAAAATATCAAATACACTGGACGTACTGTTTGTTGAAAATTTGAGAAGTTAATAGTGTCTTATTTTGAAAAAATTCAGCTCACTAAAATATGAACTGAACTATTATATGCACTCCACTATTTTCAATAATCAATATTTTCAATAATAATGCAATAAATTGCATTTCCAAGCTGCAACGACAGAAAAATCAGACCCTTCCCAGTTCCCAGCTCTCTAACAGCCCCAACATCTGAATACAAGCTTGGTGAGTCTAACTATTAATAATAACTTACTACAGTCTTGTTCATCTCTAGAATCATAGCAGTGTCCCAGTCCATTACAGTGTTCTGCCTCAGAATAGCACTGGCTTCCCCCTGGAGAACATGCAAATGCCTTCTCCACACACGCACCTGGAATGTAAGAATAACATGTTATATTTAGAATACATTTGATAGGTTATTTGTAGCCTGGAGAACATGCAAATGCCTTCTCTACACACGCACCTTGAATGAAAGAATAACATGAAATATCTTTTTACATTTGATAGGTTATTCCCCCTGTGGAACATGCAAATCCTTTCTCCAAACATTTGCTTACCAATGGTAATATTTGAGATCAAGGGTTTAAACATGAAATATGTAAAAAATACTATTGAACCAGAAATGTCTACATCAATCTTTATAGCCCAAAGACTCAAACAAAACAAAAAAATGACACTACCGGAGGTTGGCGGTCAGAGTTCAGCATCTGTAACAATTTACTTTCGGTGTTTGCAACAATTTGCAATAGCTTACAAGGTGGTGACATTTTGTCATGTTAGTGCCTTGTTTTTTGTAGTCATGACAAAGGACAAAAATAAGTGGCACTTACCACATCCTCTCTCATCTCCTCCATGTTTCTTACAATTCCACACACCATCACACCTTTCCTTTATGGCATAACAATCATCTTCCCCATATTTACAAGGGGCTTGCTCAATAGGTAAACATTCACCTAAAAACATGAAAATGTATGTAGTCTATATAAGTGTTATTTTCTCTTTCTATTCCATGTGTTGTCTTTCTATTCCATGTGGTCTAAGACAATATTCTGTACACTTAAAAAGGTCAGCAATCTATAATTTAAATCCTAAAATACCTCAAAATATTTTAAGTTTCATAGATATTGTGCAAAGATGCATATTATTGCATTATTGTGAGAAATTGGCAGCAAATATTTAAGTAGTGGTCAGAAAATTTCTTCCTACCAATTTATGAACAAAATTGACTTGCTGGTATCTGAGTTATTACCTAGATAGATGGATACCAAGACAGCCCTTTATTTAAATACACAAGAAACTTACCTTTAACTTGGTATGTAGCATTGAAGCCCTTAGCGGATGAACTTTTATCTGAATGGAACGTCACAAAGAGTTCACTCTTAGAGCCATCTATTACATTGGGTGGAATTTGCTCGCCATAATACTGACCAATCAGAGGAGCTTTAGCATTTTTCCCATCATACACCTTGATGTAATCCGTAAGGACATTGTTTTCAAGGTCAAAGTCCTTGAACCTCAGCTGTACTTTCTTGGTTGGTTCCACTAAGATAAGCCATTCGCAGTCAAAGTTATGAGGGTACTTCTTTGGATAGTTCGGGGTCGTAAAATACCCAGGAGCTTTTTCTAACACTGCCCCACACTGACTAGTGTTATCTGGAAAGTATAGATCAATATATATTAATCAATACATATAATACTCTGAAATTCATAAAAGCTGTGGCCATGTATAAAAGCTTGTTCTCAAGCAAAGAAAAGGGAACATAAAGTTTTTAGACAATCATCTCAGGTCAGATATATGTTTTCTGACAACTTAATTTTTTATCCAAACGAAGGTGTTTTTTCCTTCAATGGTTGTTTTCACAAAATCGCCTGTTGTTTTTAGGGACTTTTCGACTTTTCCATATTAAATTCATGATTTCCATTATTTTGCCAGTTGTTTTCATTTATTTAGCGAATAAACCCCTGCTTCCCCAAACAAAATTACTTTTGTGTAAAATATTGATGACACATTTATACTAGATTGATCAGATTGATAAGGTTCTTTCATACATGTTTCACAATAAATACTTCACATTAGCCCAGGTAGATTGTTTCAGCTAATTGTAAACTCAGTTTGAACCTCCTTTTTTAACATATCAATATAATATAAAAAGGAATTCTTACTTCAAAGATTTTGTTAACAGGGTGGATAGGTTGACTAGCAGTTTACAAATTGGATTAAAATAATCATAAATGAATTATCACTTACTACATCCTTCCTCATCTGACCCATCTTGGCAATGTATGACATTATCACAGCGTTTGAAGTTCCAAAGACATGAGAATTCTTGTGTTTCATTAGAGATACAGCCAAACTTGCCAAATCCGCATATACTAGGCTGGGCTGTGACACGACCTACAAGCACATCATAACACAGATTTATGAATAAAAATGGAATTCAACATACACTAGGTTTTGCTGTCACATGACCTAGAAACAGGGCAACACAGATTAACAAATAAATACAAAAGGAACTCCAGATACACTAGCTAGGCTGTGTTGTGACATGACCTGGAAACAAAGAGCTACACAGATGAATAAATAAATACAAGGAATTCCACATACACTAGGCTGTGCAGTGACATTACCAAAAAGCACATAACACAGATTATTATACACAAATATGAATTCCCTATGTGGTGACAAGACTAAGGAGCATAGCACAGCACAGTTATTCAAACACACAAACTTGTGCTATGACATGACCTAGAAGCTGCTCCATGCAAAAATACTAAAAATCACACAGAAATTCTATGTGTTCCTTATAAGTTAAGTTCACCTTTTAAATCTTATATGGAGTCATAAAAATGTGAACAAATAACATATTAGAACCATAAAAGTATGTATGTTATGACGAGAAAGTGAAAAATAATAGGTTACCTACCCAGTTCACCCACGCCCAGTATAACAGTGGTAAACACGAAAACAAGTAAACGACGCATATATCCATAATCATACATCTCTGACATTCATCCAGTTAACAAAACATGTTTTCACAAAATGCATTATTAATTCATTTCAAGTAAGTCATCGTGACCTGGTAAAATCTTATAAACCAATAAATAAGAGTCCAATCTGTTGCATTTATGAATAAGCTGACATGAAATCTTTTCACTGGTGTTTAATAAAATCTCAAACATCCTGGTTGAATGCTAATCATTATTTTACTATTTTATTGAACTGAATAAGGAAATAAAGGAATTTTGGGAAATTTCAGTAACTGGCAAAATCTTGCCTACTTGCGGTATACTAAATAGACTCAATGTGTTTCTGTGTATCTATAAAGTCTGACTATACAAAATTGTGTTTTTTCTTATTATACCAGTATTTTAAAATAAATAAAAAATGACATTTTATACTTTTCAATGATGAAAGGACAAAGTTCATTTAAGAGTCACCATTATCAAGAATTGTTTAAGTATGCTATCAACAAAACTCAACATACTTTCAATAATATGACAAAATATCAGTTTCTGTTTTGTCAAATTGAATGTTGGGTGGTACCTAAATGCAAGCCAGTTATTTATCAATCCATTTGAACTCAATGCTTTGTGTATCTCTATGTAGGAATGTACTTCATTGTCAGCAAATGCATGTGAATTTTAATCAAGGCATTAACATGCAAAATATCACCACCTGCCATTTGTTACAGATGCTGACCCCTGAACATCAACCACTGAACACCAAGTGCCAACGCCAAACATCTTCCACAAAAAAGATTGAAATTATAACAACATGTCACCACTTTTGGTGGTGACATAAAAATAGAATCATTTATTCTGAGGTATGACCAGTATGAGGTATAGGAAAATCAGAAAGCAGAATAAGAGGGCATGATAAGCTTATATGCTGTAAAACATTGATAAAGGATTATCACGTCCGGTGATCGTACAAAATGGATGGAGGGGGGGATTAGGCGATTTCTGCAAGAAAACTCAACAAATTTGGAAGATTTATTTTTTCAAGAGAAAATTTACAACTGAATTGCCAAATAAATAGGCGCAGTGCATGGCAAAATATGTTAGGTCATCTCCTATTTTTTTTGAACTGATACCCTTCTAAGATATGAGATCTATTAAAAAAGACGCATCATCACCAACGTGCAAAAGTCAATGTTTTTGCTATAAATCGGGCAACAATGGTCTACATGACCTGTAATAAATGGGTATAAGGGACGTTATTATCACAATACTATTGACATTGCTCACTTTTTAAAGTTAGTTTCCATGCGTTATACAAAAAATAATCGAAATAAATTAATATTGGATGGAGGGGGATTGGATGGAGGCGGGGGGATCACGTGTATGTAAGACATGATAAGACATGCTACTTGAATTTATTCTTATGACTCCAAATTTTCCCATTTTTCATTCTCCAGAGATATAATATCCAGTTTCTTACTGGGGTACAGAGTTAAGTTTTTTCAAATACACGAGTTCTTGTGAATTTGTTCCATCGTAAAAACATATAAATCCCCCCCCCCTCCATCCACTCCCCCCTACATCCAATTTTAATTTATTTCGATTATTTTTTGTATAGCGCATGGAAACTAACTTTAAAAAGTGAGCAATGTCATTAGTATGGTGATAATAACGTCCCTTACACCTATTTTTTATTATAGGTCGTGTAGACCATTATGGCCCGATTTATAGCAAAAACATTGACTTTTGCATGTTGGTGATGATGCGCCTTTTTTAATAGATCTCATATCTTTGAAGGGTATCAGTTCAAAAAAAAATACTAGATGACCTAACATATTTTGCCATGCACTGCGCCTATTCATTTATTCATTTGGCAATTCAATTGTAAATTTTCTCTTGAAAAAATAAATCTTCCAAATTTGTTGAGTTTTCTTGCAGAAATCGCCTAATCCCCCCTCCATCCATTTTGTACGATCACCGGGTGTGATTATACATTATGAGAATTTAGGCAATATACTAGAACCCAGACCCAGTTTAAAATCTGGAATTTTCTTTCACCCAGTTGGAAACCCTACTACACCCACTTGAGAAATTGGAAATCATAAAATTTATGTTATTTTTACCAATTTTAGTCGTTACTCTATTGGAGAAGTTATAATTGAAACTTTAACATGCAAAATGTCATCACCTGCCATTTGTTACAGACACTGACTACCAACCAATGTCCACAAAAATTGGAGACCATAAAAAGGATATGTAAACACTTCTGGTGGTGACATAAAAATCCTACGCGAAAACTTAAAAATATTTGATATCCCTAATAAACACACTCTGTACAAGCTGTGTTCAAGAAATTATGATTTATCACGCCTGAACAGTTTTTAAAGGTTTCTACCACACCCTTAATATTTCCTGGTGAGAGTACTGTAAACAAAATTTATTCATGCAAATAAGATCACAGAACATTTTTCATGCATGTTCTCTGTTCATTCTATGAATGTGGATCTTGAGTTATAGCATTTCAATACAATTTTGTATATTTGTACTTCATGCCAGCTTACTAATTCTACTAAATTACTCATTTTAACCAATGAAGTTGATGTTACTGTTTCTACAGATTTAAAACTCACCTTTACAATCAATCTCATCAGAATTGTCGCCACATTCATCAGCCCCATTGCAGTGCCAGTTGTCATAGATGCACTTTGAGTTGTTGCACTTGAATTCATCAATGGCGCATGGTTTTAATGGGGACACTGTTGGAGACACTACATCTAAGAAAATGAATTTTTTTTAATCATTTATTTCATAAATTAAGTTTATGGTAATTTATACATGTTATATGGCCTAGGTTTGAACATTAACATTGTTGGCAGTAGGTTATAAGTAGGTACATAATATCATCTTAGAAAATGAAAGGGTTATGATTCAATGGTGTGTGGCTAGCCTCATGGCAGTGCACTTGAGGCCATTTAAAGTTAAATGTATGTTGTGCATTCCTTCTCCTAAGATTTAGGCCAATGGTAGATGCAGATTATGTTAAATGTAATGACTGAATTTTAAAATTGTGATCTTATATACTAAGTGGTACTATTGAAGAGAGTTCAGCTTCAATGAAACAGATGACATCAAATGGTACACATGTACACAGTATACATGACACATGTCATTATATCAGTTAGTACCCTTGTGTGTTAACAATAGCAATCTAAGACATTGTAGTAATAGCAAAAATCAATATTTTGCTTACGTTGAAACAAATGTTTTTTGAAATAAAGTTTCTCTATTCACAGTAACAATTACTACAGTAATTTCAATCAAAACACTAAATCAACAAACTTACCAATTATATATGTGAGAACAAACCCCCTTCCTGCATTTTGGTTATTGGAATTAAATTTAATCCAAATCAATGGGTTGTGTGTAGAGATATACACTGGTGGGGGATCCTCGCCTAAAGTCCCGCAGATCTTTTTAGATAAAGGCACAGGACCAAACATTATGTAATCGCCATTGCATTGTCCATCTGCATCAGGTTTGATGTCCATCTTGGAAAAACTAAAATTGATGACCAAAGGTGTTTGTACTTTTTATGCATAGTCTACATTTGTGTATTATAGTTATTCTTACAGCAACTTTTAAAAAACCATATTACAACTATTCCTGTACCAAGGGTCAAAGAAAATTCTCTTTTTTTGTCAGATAATCAAAAAATGTGAACTCTCTTGGATTCTTGTTTCAAGAATTGTGTTAAATTCTGTTGCCAAGCAGATTTAACTATAGTCAATATACAAATAAAAGGGGTTTCATTAGCAGCAGGCTACAGGCGATTTTCACCGGTTCTTTTCACAAAATTGCCTGTTGTTTTTAGAGACTTTTCAATTTTTCTACGTTAAATTGATGATTTCCATTAATTTTGCCTGTTGTTTTCATTTATTGTTGTGAGAAATTCTAGTGAAACCCCTGCATAATGATATTTGTTAAACAGACTAAAAAATGAAGGGTCAGCTTACCTTATGGTGACAATGCCACCTTCTTCTATATTGTCTAAAGACCATTGCATGCAGTCATTGTCGGGGTAGAATTGTGGGTATGATGGACTGTAGATGATCCCCCTTTCACGTGTTTCCTTCTTATTGGGACAAGCTATTTAAATCAAATAATAGAAGATAAATTTTTTTCACAGCAAGTTTCACCATTAAGAAAATTAAAAAATGTTAATAGCTGTAGGACAGAGTCAGACTAAACATTCTTGATAGATATACTAACTTCTTGATACATACACAAAATTCAATTGAGAAAGATGCAACAAATAAAAGGAAATATTTATAAATTTTCCTCTCAGATAATTAAATAATATCGATGTACATGTATCTTTTTATTTTTTAATTCTACCTGTGTGGTTGGATACATACTAAAATGCAACATATGTTACATTACATAATTTGAATAATCATAATACAGTTGTATATACTGTTACTTATGTACATTCTCTGGCCAAAAATCAAATTCCAGTACATCTGAATATTTCTCAGGTATAAAACTAAAATGGTATCGGATATAAGGGAAGGTATTAGTAACCTAACCTATTCACACAAGAATGTATGTACATCATTATCCCCTGTGAAAATCAATCAAAAATATTCAGGCTCAAATCTTAGTGTTAGTTTCCCTTAATGCCTGGGTCACATTTGTTCCGATTCATCGGCCGGCGGCGGCACTGGCTGATTGAGAATTTTGTTCAAAATTGAATACAAAATTGAACAAAATATTCAATTGACCAGGCACCAGCTGATGGATGGCCGATGGATCAGAGCAAATGTGACCCGGGCATTAGGTGGATATCAGATACACATTTAGTACTTACATTTCACTTGGTAACTTGCATTAAAGCCTCTGTAGGATTGTGAATTATCATCTGTCCTGAAGCTTATATATAATGCATTGCTTGTCGATTCAAAAATCTGGTCAGGCTTTACAAAGTTAATAAAGGTTGTAATATTCCTAGCCTTTGGTGATATACCATCAAAAAGCTGTATGTAGTTTGCGTATGCTGGCCTAGCTAATCTTATATCAGTGAAATGCAATTGAATCTGTCCTGATTGGTTACTTCGAATTAACCAATCACATTTGGTGTGTGACTTGTATGCACCTGGGTAGCCAGGTGATGTGAACCAGCCAGAGGTTTTTGTTAGGGTTCCACCACAAGATTGGACAGTATGGCACCTCACCATAAAGATCACGACGAGATGAACTACTACAAATAAAAAATAAAACAAGAACATAAACAAAGTGAATTATGCAGTGTTTCTTATTTCCCCTTGCATTAAAAATCTTCATTTCAAGAGATAAGTGTATAAAGTAACAATTCCTAAATCAATTCAAGTAGCCATGACTTCAGGTTTGGGAGAACAATAAAATGGCATAATGGGAATTCTCAACATTACAATTTTAGCTTCTAGAAATGATTATTAGGTCAACATTTTAGAAGGGTTACACTTGACTGAGTTGTTGATCATTCCCCATGCATAGGCCAAGGTTTCATCAACAGAGAAGTATATATATTTCGAAGGTTATGCTATGGGAAGTTTTGGATATGGGGTATATCCCGTGGGCAATAAAGTTATGTTGGCCCAGAGGGTCTGAGGTAAGATATCATATTTCCTGAGTGGTATACCCCATATTCAAAACTGAGCATCACATAACTAATTTACTCCATGACAAGTGAGGCTTTACAAGTGACACTTTTAGGACACCCATATCCAGGTTTGTGTTCTTTAAAGTGTTCCCATTATCATTATTTTTGAGAACTCCATCAATATTGTGGTCAAGAAAAATTCTACTGTCCGCGCCGCTGCATCCATTTTGCCTGTTTCACTAGACCAAGATATTCTAGCAAATGTATTGTTCCTACACTAAACATAGAGGTTCTCCCGGAAATATTGGGGCAGGATATATAGCGGGAGATATTATATGTCCCGTTTCCTCAAGATATAAATTTTGTATCCTACTGTTATATACCTGAAACCACTTGTCTGAATGTCTTAGATAAATATCCAGTTCTAAAACCTTTACTAAACTGTTCCAAGGGAGACAAAGGTATTTACATATAACAAGGACATCTTAAAATAGATAAACTCCTTGCATATAACGATAATCTAGTTCTATGGCTAGGATATGCATTGTAACAACATATATACTCATTCACAGTCAGTATGCAGTAGGCAAGCCCAAATCATGATCTATACTTCCTTCTCTCCAAGTTCAATAATGTAAAAAAAGTGGGTGTGGTTCAAAATGCTGCAATTTGATTGGTCAAAATTGAGAATTTCGAAAAAACTGTCCGGCAAGTCCGTTTTTCAATGTTGACACTTATGACTTATTTAAGCGAAGGCTTTATGCATGTTGCCATTCTATTTTTAGCATAGGCCAAGGGAAAAGTAATAGTAAGCTGTAGATATAGAAGAGACAGGTCTACAAGTAAGATTGAAAATTTTTCAAATTTTTTTAGTCTTGGCACTAGTTCTCCTTACTGGTATCAAATTGTATTCCCAAATCTCTCCAAAATCTTCTTCAAAGTGTTTTTCAAACTTATATCATTGTTTTTTTCAAATCTTTATCTAAAAACTGCATAAAATACTGCATATAAAACAACAACTATGGATATCTGCAATTGCCTGGCAAGCTGAAACTGATTCTCACTGGTGGAGGTCAGGGAGGTCAGCAGTGACAAATCAGATCACTTGTTTACTAATGAACTTGCCAAGCAATTGCAGGTTTTCAGAAATTCTCTCTTAGACAGCATTATTCACTCTATATCATCTGACTGAGTTTCAATCTTAGGTAAGAGCTACAAACTATCAATTTTCTATCAACTCCCCATGGCTTTTTGAAAATAATACACTAAATATTGTTGAAATCTCCATCTTAACAAGTGGTCCAAGTCAGAGTTGTTCACCTGTCTCTTCTATATACGGCTTACTATTACTTTACCCTTGGCCTATGATTTTTAGGGGTTGAATTTCCCCATCTTATTCTATTTCTAGGGGTTGTATATCCTTGTCATAACTTTTGTCAATGTCATCTGTTATTTTGTAAGGTAGAAACAGGCTAAGACCATAGGCAGTTAAAGCCAGTACTGGTGTTGAATCCCCATACCCCAAAATAAGGCTTGCTTTGAACGAAGTGATGCAAACCCAAAAAATCGAACCCCTTGACAATTGCTGACGACGCCCCTGAATTTGTGGTTTTGCTCAAACTTACCAGAATTTTTCAGCCACATTACAGTTCCCATCATTTACTTATAGTATTGACTTTTGGATCAGATCCTACTAGGCCTAAATTTAGTTTTGTTCCAAGAAAAGAAAAGTTCCATTTTTCCCATTTTTTAGACAGGACTTATTCCGCCTCTAAAAACTGCTTTTTCCATTATTGTTCCAGATGAATTTTGAGTTATGCGTACGTTGATATCCATTTATTATAAAAATCTATGTATTATCAAAATAATCCACCCCTCAATCTGAGAAAATCATAAATCTTGAGATGTTTTGTGTATATTTTTCCAAATTTTTATTTTGAAGCCTCGATTTGATTTTCTATTGAATTGGTAATATGCGGATAACAATCCTGAAATCACGACCAAAGGCACAGTGACATCTATTAAAAATGTAAAAGTTAAAAATTATTTCCAAGTGTGCCTCGTCCTGGCTGTTCCGATTAGGCGGGCGATTCGGCAACATTTCCATACTTAGATTTAAACTATGGGTGCAGGGTCGGATCTGGGAACCAACAATTTGAGGCCATTTTCTTCAACATTTGGCCTGCGAATTTAAAAAGGCCCAGCAATTACCACAAAGGGCCACTTTTTGGGCCCAATTTTTTTCCTTGGCCCATTCAAGGGGGTTGCCCCCCCAGATCCGCCAGTGGGCAGCTACGTGTATGTAACTCAGTCAGAAATATGAATGTAAATTATGATAGATGACTGCGATGAAAAACTCCTTACAGACGCCGGTCGCCGAACACAGTCCACAACCGGTAGACTGTAAATCTAGTAAATCTAGTAAATCTCGTAAATCTAGTAAACCTAGTAAATCTAGTAAAATCTTGTAAAATCTTGTAAACTTTTTAGGGACCATTCATTTGATATCAATGTCAGTCCCTATGAAGAGTATTGGTGATTATGATTCCTTTTACAACATTAGAAAAATACCTTCGCTGCATTAAAAATCAGAGTCATTCCTTTCATCAAATAATCAATATACAAATTTTTTAACAAAATTGTGAAATATTATAATAAAAAAGAATGTTTAAGGGGCTAATATGATATGGCTTTAAACTATTAATTACAAGGAATATAAGGAACATATCATCATCAAAACGTAAATGGAAAGCATTGTAGAAATGCCATACTATACTTTATGTATAGGTAAAGCAAATACAGTAGATCAATCAGTAAGTTGTCTCACTCTTCCCCTTACTACAGCATTTGATTGTGTTTATTATTTTTTGGGGTTGGCAAAAATCAATTTTGAAATTGCCATTTATCCATTCCTCTCATATTGGAACTTCTACAAATATTGTCAATTGAACAGCATCGCCAAAAATAAGCAATAACTAAATTATCTGATAGGCTAAGCATTATAACATTTTGTGAGGGAAAAACAAGCCTGTGTCATTTAGATGGTACGCATTGTCCCCTCAGTCCTTAAATGTGCGGCTTAATTTGTTGAATAGAGCATGCTTCTTGGGTGGGTTGTGTATGATGATAAAATGGGTGCACCATTTGATAACCATTTTGTTATCCAGTACTAACATATAGTTGTTTTGTAACTAAATATAATGAAATAAAAGGTAGAATTTTTTCTACATGTTCATTTCATTCATACAAAGGCATTTTCAGTGCTTTTTCGACATTTGCACTTTATATCTTGGACATTGAATAATCAAGTTTTTACAAGATTTTACAAGATTTTACTAGATTTACTAGATTTACTAGATTTACTAGTTTTACTAGATTTACTAGATTTACAGTCTACCGTCCACAACCGTATGGAACGACAACATTCGACCACACTCCAGGGGCGGATCTGGGAACGAACAAGGGGGGGGCCCAAATTTCCGGTCTGAGAATAAACTATACTGCTAAACTGGGCCAAAATTTTGAGGCCCATTTTCTTCAAAATTTGGCCTACAACTAAAAAATAAGGCCTTAGAAGGCCCATTTATGACCAAAAAGGCCCACTTTTTCTGACCTCAAGGCCTTTTTTGGCTCAAATTTTTTTTGGGCCCAATTTTTTTTTTCTGGGCCCACCCAAGGGGGGGGGCGGGCCCCTGCCCCCCCCCCCCAGATCCGCCAGTGCACTCACATCTGGTGGTGATAATATAGTACTTGAGAATGTTGCCACTCTTGCATTGACGTTATGTCATCTTGACTTCATTGCAAATTACTTTGTTTGTCACTCCTATCTACTTGGACTTCAATCAGTGAATCTATTGTTAGATATTAATGCTATCGTACTGTGACATGTTTTTACGCACTATGGCTGTTTACGAAAGGAGACGTTCCCAATGGCGCAGCGACATATAGCCAACGCATAAAACGCCATGGCGTACTCTCAACATATAAAATGTTATTTCATTAAGTCGACCTGGCCTTTGGGTGTTCATTTAAAAGCACTCGAAAAGAACACTCAATGAGCTTATTATAACCTTGGAAGTTTTCCTCATTATCCACTTCAAATTGAACACCAGGGGCCGCGAGAAACACCGGTAATTTGTGCAGCTGTTTCGGGTGTTTCACGATGACCTTGTCCCCATCCACGCTCAAGAGTCCTAAATCAACGTTAACTGCATTGGCTTCTACAGTATATGTCATTATAAATTCAAATCTGGACTTTCGGAACAAAGTGAACTTTTGTGAACTGTTTTGTTGGTCACCCCTCTTTGCTGGTTTTATGGCTTCTATTTGTAATTGATAGAATCGAGCAGATAGAAATCACGAAGACATGGAAGATGTATCATCAACATGCATACATCGAATGCTTAGACATACATTATCTACAGGCTGTAGTACAATTCCAAGACTTCATTGCTCTATTTTTAAATAAAAAAAACTGTGCAGGGTTCGTACACCTTTTTCAAAATGAATTTCCCTGACGATTCCCTGACATTTCCAGGCAAAAAAGGAAATTTCCAGATCTAATTTTCCTCGCGCGCCCTCTAAAAAGTCTCAAACAACTGTATTATAAGACAAAAAGACTTATTATGAAACATTTGGGGTTTCTCCTTCAGTACCATTTTTCATGACTTAACTACTTGCACAGGCAGTCTTATTCACCAATTTATTCCTGGTACATTTTATCTTTAATATTACATATTTTACATTGCATAAGGCCAAAGGTAAACATACATGTACAGGGGCATAGCCAACAAGTATCAAGGAGGTGCATCTTTTGGGGTTTGCATCACTGCGAGCGAAGGAAAACCAGAAGGGGGGTACGTGGGTTCAACCCCGGAAATTTTTCAAAATTGACAATTGTATATGCCATGGTGCATTCTAAGCATTTCAAACTATAATTTGTTAATGTTTTGTAATGAATCCAAATGACAACTGAAACTTTAAAATTTTGATCTAAATCCTACTAGAAAAATAGCAACTCACTTGAGGGGCAATTCCCACCTAATGAAACATATTTCTATTGAATACTATCATTGTGAACATTATATGATAGTAATAACCTGGCATTACTATTGTCTTCTCCCTTTTGGGAAAAATACACCAAAACAATTGACACCATATTAGAAATTCCTTCTCAAGTAGCATCACCAGATTACGAAAAGGATCAGGCTTATGATACCAAATCAAATAATCAATATTTTGTGTTATCAGGAATCAAATTTTTTTAAATTATCAAAAATTTCATAAAAAATGGTGGCAATTTTGAATTCAGAGACCATCTTGAATATTTCTTCTTGAGCAGGTCCTTTGTCCCCAAGTCTACATCATACAAAATTTGAGCCAAAGTAAAATGCTGGGTTCATCTTTACAAGAAGAAAATTTGGACCAAATTCAAAAACTGTTAATAGTACCCCACACACATTTTGATTGCCTACTTCCATGTGCTAAGGTTTTCAAAATTGGCAAAGCCCCTGAAAGTTGAAAAGACTGACGTACGATCAGACTGTCAACAGACAGCTTCTTAATATAAATACAATTTTACATTGTAAAGAGCTCCCAGAATTTTTTCGGTTTTCACCTCCCGCACCCCCCCCCCTCAGATTAACCCCTCATCAAATCATGAAATATATACCAGTAATTAACTTTGAATGGCCTAAGACTAAGCTTACTACATAAAAAAGCATAATTGTATTAAATCATCTATACATTATTTTTATTGTTCGGTTTCAGTGTAATGTTCACACTGTTCTTACAAATAGATAAAACCAGATTTAATGTCATTCAATCAACCCTAATGAAAATATTTACAATTAGTGGAAACAACTTAACATTTGATTTTGGATTTCACTTATATCCTGTCATAGCCCTAAAATGTATTTTGCTGGAACATTATTCTTTCAACATTGATACAAAATTCCCTGACATTTCCCTGACACATCTACTGTTTCAAAATTCCCTGACATTTTTGGCCCTTTTTGACCCAATTTTAAAATTCCCTGACATTTCCAGCACCTGGAAAAATAAATCAATTTCCCTGACATTTCCAGGTGTGTACGAACCCTGCTGTGGCTGTTCAATTGTATGCCATAGCTTATATGGACTGCTTTTGTAGTAATATGCATTAATAATAGGTGGTTAAAAAGCTGCTGTGCTTGATCAAAGTTGTTTCAAGAAGTCCAGAATTGAATAAGCTTTTATATTATTATAGAGGTATTTTGGATTGATCCACGAGCACGTTCAATATGTTCTTGTCACTCAGATGGCGCAAACGTCATCTACTTTTAAATGCTATTTAAACATGATAAACAACAAACATAAATAAGTTTAGTACAAATGTATTTCAATAGTATAAACGATAAATATGACCATTTACACATTGAGAAATTTTGATTTGATATAAGCATTAATTTTACAGGTCATAGACTGTGGCGGTCACCTCGACACAAAAACAAAGTAACGTCGTTAAACAAATATACATGATCGACAATGTTTGCTCTGGAACAGTTTTTTTCCCTCGTAAATAACCACACAACACTACGAACAATGTTTTAATAAATGAACACATGATTTGTTTTTATACAAGTACAATGTTTGTGTTTCTTAGAATACCAAGATATAAAACACAACCAACCGTAGGCTTTATAAACAATTCTTGGGGATGATCTTGAACCTCATATGGGATAATCCTTATTTATGCATTAATGATTTATGTAATGATTTTTCGTGGCAACAGTAACAATACAATTAAGTATTCATGTTATTGTTTACTTATTAACTATTATTGACACTGAGTATTGGCAATTATCGGATTATCTCAGGCAATTATAGGCCAACACTAATCACAAGTCCACAATCTACATTTTACGAAACCCGTTTATTGTTTGCTTGTTTACAATCTGTGTGTTTTGATGAAGATCTTTTGTGACCAGTTCCTAAGGACATGCCCTGCCGTTTTCCCATTTCATATCAGCCTCATAATTTATCGAGTGTAAAACCACATCCTCGCGCGGTTTTGTATTTATGTGTAGGTCAATTTTGTTGTTTATGTTATCATAACAGAACGTTGTACAATCTATCACGCACAAAACAAATGTCCAACATGTTGACTTCTTCGAATCGAATTTGGCAAAAATTGGACGAGTAACTTATCGCAGCGGGCGTTTCAATCGGTTAACTGGTTAACATGGTCTTTCAAACAGGCCAATTCCTCGTTTATTGATCGTCAATCAATTTGAAAGTCACGCCATTCGATCGATACATTCCCGGGACGAATTGTAGATTGTCTGTCAATCAACTTTTATAATTCGTCTCGTCCATTTTTAATCGAACGCTGGATTGTCCATTCACACGTCCATTTCATCATAAACAAAATCATTGCCAGGACTGGCCGGGTTTTTGGGCACGTGTTTTTGATGTTTGTATTTATGCAACCGTTTTACTGCCTCCTGTATAAGAGTCCCTTCCCTGAGTAAATTGTCTAGTTCCATGAGCATTGATTCGGGACTCCCTGATTTAGTGGTAGCCTTAGGCTTGTTACGGTTGTTTCGATATGGTGAGGTAGATCTGTGACTATGAGATTCATTGCGTTTATTTTCAGCACCGCTACAATGTTTGTTGTTATCATCATTCCAATATGGCGACGATCGAAACATCGTTTGTTTATGTCTGGCTTTCAGCTTCAAAGTGTCCGTTAATTTCTCCACTAATCTATCTATTTCTTTGTTACTGCCATCGCTCTTTGTAGGTTCTATTGCACTATCATTGAATAATCCTTCTTTAGCCGGCATATTTACAAGAATTTAGTGTCTAGAAGGAGACACTATTTGTAAACGTGATACGTAGTAGTACACAGCACTCCCGATCAATGAGTTTATTTGTAAACATAAACCGTAAATTACTACGCCATGTAGTTCTCAAAAGTAAATGCAATCAAATAGTCCCTATTGTTATTTGGCTAAATGATTAACTTCATCGACAAATTAGTGTCAACAGATAGTATGTAGTATGAGGAATAACTGTTATTAATCAAAATTGTCTTGCTTTAGATAAATTCACTAAAAATTACATTCAAATCAATGCATAAATATGTGGTTTCCTGGGTGTTTTCTAGTGCAGACGCGGAAGCTTATGCTAATTTGGTACGCTGTTATACGCCAGACGTGTTCGATTTATTGGGCCTTTGAGTTTCTCAGTTCTGATTGGTTGTCCTTGTACTGGGTTATACGGCGCTAAATTTAAAACTGAGATTTATTCTAGTTACCCTTCCGGGTTTCACCTCTCTCTACCTGTTCGCAGTTTTATCCCTTTATTTATTTGATATTCACAGGCCCTCTAAATGAGGTTTATTCCTACCATACCATCATTCCTTCACTTGTTGAAACGTTATAAATTAAAATGCATTTCCAGAAAAAGATGAGGCCTACCCCATGACTGGCTACGCAAGTGGCTTATTGATTCATGGAATTCTGACAACAAAAGCCCATGCCCGTGAATGCCCGACATAGCCTTTCAGTACCGTTGTTAAGCGGAGGGAGTAAGATACAATTTCTAGCTCGTATTCCATTTATCATGTTAACATTGGATAAAAAATTGCTTGGGATATTAAAAAATTGGTCTCCTTTTTAAAATTTGGACCCACCTTGTAGAAATTTTGAACCAACATTTGAAAATTGATCGGTGATTTTCCCCATAAGAGGCGCACTTTAAAAACATGAGGTACAAAAGACCACATGTTCCCAAAATTGATATATAAGAATTGGGCCTTTCAGTTTATTGTTTCAAAAATCACGAGACCAAGGCCCATATCTTAAATGAGCCCCTTATTCTCTAAATACATGTATCATGCATAATTCAATGCCAAGTTAATTAAGAGTTTGAAATATTTTCACAAAAACTCCAAGTTGTACTGTTGATTTGGATTTTACGATCTAACCATTTCGAAATTCTCAAACGGTAACAATAATTGAACTGGTACAGTTGGTTAAAGAGCTCTGAAGTTGAAATTTGATTCACAGATTCGAAGGACATACACTCCCCTCCAAAAGTTTGGCAACCTTAGCTCCCCCATTGATCTTCGTGTTAAAGCCTCTTTACGTTTTAATTTCATCAAATCTTAATATAAAAGATTCAAATTAGGGACATTTCTTTGGAGAAGGCATAGCAGAGAATTTATTCCGGGGTTTATGGGCTGGCAGCGGCAATACTATTTGGGAATTACATTGCATGGATCCAACTTCTCCGCTATTCTGCAATACCATCATGGATATATTAATTAAATGGACACGGACACTTGCTTTTTTGCTTTCTGGTTGTCGATGGATTTGAGGGCATAGTATTCTATTCAGAAAAGTATGCCCATAAATGCCAGAAGGTCTCTTAATTTATTGCCATTACGTTAGGCTGTAGGCATCAGGTTCTAGTTGACCATTTGCAATGTTTGTACATTAGTTAACAATGAGTGTGCTTTATTTAAGATTAGTCAAGAAAACAAAAAGCGATGGAATATGGATTAGTGGCAGCTAACTAGTGGATAAATGGTATTTAAAAAGGATTTATTACAAGTATAAATGAATCTTATACAATTTTTGTACTGAAACCATAAGTGAAGCCACAGATTATCAATGTATTTATACACACATAAAGTATTACAACTTCGGAGAAAAACAAACCAAAACCAGACTACTAGTATTCATGTAATATTGTAGGAGATACTCAAAACATTGCTTTAGTAGTTATTGTGATAGTTTTTGTACAAATCGAAGACGGAGATAAACTTTGAGAAGATGGGAATGATGAATAGGAGCAACCTAATTGGAGTTATATCAACAATACTTTTTCTCGGAAATGGTATGCAGTAAGATTTTATTCATTTGATAATTTTATAGAACAAGCCATAGTCTAGTATTTTTCGCACAAGCTGTATACGTGGTGCGCCATCGAACGATGTTTTTAACATTGGAGGTGCCGTCTTGGAAAATGACCAAAGCTACCAAATTGTATTATTCAAAAACTTGTAAGCATGCGATAAACCGTGTAAAAGGCGATCATTTTGAAAATCTATGCAGAATTAAGATGCTGTCCGATTTGAAATGCTGTAAAATGTCATTGCCAATGGCCCATCATGAGAAATCATTGCCTTCTATTTGCTTCTCCCCTAGAAGCATTAGTTGAAGGCAGAAAGATGTGATGAGTATCAAAATGGCCCCTTGCATATTTCTTCTCCACCGATTGAAATCCTTGAATTGAATATCAAAACTTGGCTAAAAATCTTAAGTGGTAAATATAATTTGGGCAAAAGTACGATACCTCAAAATAGGGTGAAAAAACGTCTGGAGTGTTCTCGGGGTAACGTTTTGCATTTCCTTGCAAAGTTAAAAGAAAACCACATCGCAATAGTAAAACTTCTCGCTCAATACTTTGACTTTTTATGAAAGTATTTGCTTCGCTAATAGGGAGGTTAAGATTAGCGTAAAAATATACGTGTACCTATCCCTATCCGTATGTTTGTTACGGATACGTATAGGTAATGCGTATTGCAAAATGAGTTTAAGATTAACGTAAAAGGCTACGAAACCGTACAGTGTATGCTACAATTTATGATAAAATTAACATCCTAATTATAGAATGAAAACCATGCGATGGCTTATATGGCATATACCAGTACATGTCATCTCCAAGAACTGTTATATACTTCAGAGAGAGTGTGGTGTAGCTTCTGTTGTTGGGAGGGAGTATTGCTTGTGGGTCCTCTAATGGGGCAGTGACTTAAGGCGAAATGTTAAATTTCTAGCATGATCCAGCAATGAGAGTGACCAAATAGTAAAGTTAAACAATTAAAACCACGAGGAAATTGCTGATTTCATACATTTACAATAAGCAAAACTGATGAAGAATGTGTAAATTCAACAATTTCATGCATCATCACATGGCATCGTTTATCGCATCAATGAATGTGTTCGACCACTTAATTTCTATGCAGATCGAATGAGAAATGTTTGTTATTACTATTTTAAAGTTTAATGGATGATATTTCATCTAAAAATGACATAACTTGTTGGATAAAAACATACGTTTTCGAATTACCTATCTTCGACCATTTATACATGTAGGTAATTACGCATGGTAAACCCTGTAACTTAGGTAAAATACCGCTTAGTGTAATAACAAACTACGTATGGGTATAGGTAAATGGGTTATTTACGCTAATCTTAAACTCCCTATTGTCGCGACCGTTCGTAAAACTATTATATATGGCATGAGTTTTCCATGGTATTTTGCAAAAATATACAAAATGTCTATTTTATAAACACCTTGCATGTAATAAGGTAAATATATATCCACAAAGGAAAATAACAAACTTACAATATTGAGAAGTATTTTTTTATTCCAGTGATTCCATTTGAGGGGGATTTACACCAGCTGAGTGAAAAATTCACAAGAAATCACACAGCGTCTCCAGATAAGCATAGAGATACAGAAAACGACGTCCAAGGATCACCCTGCATAGTCCCAAAAGTACCAGCAAACAGCACATTACACATATATATGAAAAACAAAAAAATGTATGCAACATATAAATGTTCGATCGGACAAGTAGTTCACATAAACGATATACCATGGGGAGGGATTGAGTACACCGATTTGTGTATCAATGCTACTTGGGCAACAGGAAATGTAACTTGCAAAAGTGAGTATGAATTCTACTTGGGCAACAGGAAATGTAACTTGCAAAAGTGAGTATGAATTCTACTAGGGCAACAGGAAATGTAACGTGCAAAAGTGAGTATAGATTCTACTTGGGCAACAAGAAATGTAACGTGCAAATGTGAGTATGAATTCTACTTGGACAACAGGAAATGTAACGTGCAAATATGAGTATGAATTCTATTTGGAAAACAGGAAATATAACATGCAAATGTGAGTATGAAGTTTACATTGGCAACCGGAAATGTAACGTGCAAATGTGAGTATGAATCCTACTTGGACAACAGGATATGTAACGTGCAAATGTAAGTATGAAGTTTACATTGGCAACCGGAAATGTAACGTGCAAATGTGAGTATGAATTCTACTTGAGCAACAGGATATGTAACGTGCAAATGTAAGTATAAAGTTTACATTGGCAACCGGAAATGTAACGTGCAAATGTGAGTATGAATTCAATTTGAGCAACAGAAAATGTAACGTGCAAATGTAAGTATGAATTTTACATTGGCAACCGGATATGTAACGTGCAAATGTGAGTATGAATTCAATTTGAGCAACAGAAAATGTAACGTGCAAATGTAAGTATGAATTTTACATTGGCAACCGGATATGTAACGTGCAAATGTGAGTGTGAATTCTACTTGGAAAACAGGAAATGTAACGTGCAAATGTAAGTATGAATTCTACTAGTGCAACAGGAAATGTAACGTGCAAATGTAAGTATGAATTTTAGATTGGCAACAGGGAATGCAAAATGCAAAAGTGAGTATGGATTCTACTTGGAAAACGGGAAATGTAACGTGCAAATGTGAGTATGAATTCTACTTGGGCAACAGGAAATGTAACGTGCAGATGTGAGTATGAATTCTACTTGGGCAACAGGAAATGTAACGTGCAAATGTAAGTATGAATTTTACATTGGCATCAGGGAATGCAACGTGCATATGTGAGTATGAATTCTACTTGGGCAACTGAAAATGTTACATGCAAATGTGAGTATGAATTCTACTTGGACAACAGGAAATGCAACGTGCAAATGTGAGTGTGAATTCTACTTGGAAAACAGGAAATGTAACGTGCAAATGTAAGTATGAATTCTACTAGTGCAACAGGAAATGTAACGTGCAAATGTAAGTATGAATTTTTGATTGGCAACAGGGAATGCAAAATGCAAAAGTGAGTATGGATTCTACTTGGAAAACGGGAAATGTAACGTGCAAATGTGAGTATGAATTCTACTTGGGCAACAGGAAATGTAACGTGCAGATGTGAGTATGAATTCTACTTGGGCAACAGGAAATGTAACGTGCAAATGTAAGTATGAATTTTACATTGGCATCAGGGAATGCAACGTGCATATGTGAGTATGAATTCTACTTGGGCAACTGAAAATGTTACATGCAAATGTGAGTATGAATTCTACTTGGACAACAGGAAATGCAACGTGCAAATGTGAGTGTGAATTCTACTTGGAAAACAGGAAATGTAACGTGCAAATGTAAGTATGAATTTTACATTGGCATCAGGGAATGCAACGTGCAAATGTGAGTATGAATTCTACTTGGGCAACTGAAAATGTTACATGCAAATGTGAGTATGAATTCTACTTGGACAACAGGAAATGCAACGTGCAAATGTGAGTATGAATTCCACTTGGAAAACAGGAAATGTAACGTGCAAATGTGAGTATGAATTCTACTTGGGCAACAGGAAATGCAACGTGCAAATGTGAGTGTGAATTCTACTTGGAAAACAGGAAATGCAACGTGCAAATGTGAGTGTGAATTCTACTTGGAAAACAGGAAATGTAACGTACAAATGTGAGTATGAATTCTACTTGGGCAACAGGAAATGCAACGTGCAAATGTGAGTATGAATTCTACTTGGGCAACAGGAAACGTAACGTACAAATGTGAGTATGAATTCTACTTGGGCAACAGGAAATGCAACGTACAAATGTAATTATGAATTTTACATTGGCATCAGGGAATGCAACGTGCAAATGTGAGTATGAATTCTACTTGGGCAACTGAAAATGTTACATGCAAATGTGAGTATGAATTCTACTTGGACAACAGGAAATGCAACGTGCAAATGTGAGTATGAATTCTACTTGGAAAACAGGAAATGTAACGTGCAAATGTGAGTATGAATTCTACTTGGGCAACAGGAAATGCAACGTGCAAATGTGAGTGTGAATTCTACTTGGAAAACAGGAAATGCAACGTGCAAATGTGGGTATGAATTCAACTTGGGCAACAGGAAATGTCACCTTCAAATTTGACTATGAATTCTACTTGGGCAACAGGAAATGTAACGTGCAAATGTGAGTATGGATTCTACTTGGAAAACAGGAAATGTAACATGCAAATATGAGTGTGGATTCTACTTGGAAAACAGGAAATGTAACGTGCAGATGTGAGTATGGATTTTACTTGGGCAACAGGAAATGTAACGTACAAATGTGAGTATGAATTCTACTTGAAAATGAATAGTTTCTCAGGTGTAACAGTTCAGAGAGGCATCCAGAAAAATACAGCATACAACCACCCTCCCACCCTTAAATGAACTATGTAGAGAAGTATGTCACATCATTGGTCCTAGAGGGAGAGTGACACAAATATGTATTTATACTATTGAAGTGCATTCTCTTCTTTTAAACGAAAAATAAAAATGTTAAAAGATGTTGACATTGTTTTCACATACTTTTGAAAGATAAACATTTAACGTTAACATAACCATTTAGGTCAAAATCCTAATCATATACTAAAATTGTTATGATGGATTTTTTAGCAACGCCGTTTCGATGTCCAGCTTTGCAAGCTCCTCTCAATGGAGTCATCGTTAAAGATGATGGACACGCCGCAAACGTGAGTAGTAAAGTAGGTATCACCGTCGTGTTGTTCTGCAGGGACGGGTATGTTATGGCAGGGCATGAAATGTCATTGTGCACACTCCATGGATGGGACAGAAAAATAGGACAATGCTTACGTAAGCAAGAAATTTATATTTCAAAACTTAATTCAACATCGTTTCTATTAATTATTTTTGACAATGCTATTAAGTTTAGAACGAAGAAACCCATTACATTTTACATGCAATTTAATTATTTTCAGCCTTCAATGTTACCTTTGAAAATGGTTGTCAATTAAACAGTCTAAAGTTGAAGAAGACTCAACATAGCAAGCCCGTGGATACGAAACTGAACGTCATCCAGACTGTTGGTCACGTGACTGTAGTTGAAATATCGTGCATCGTTGGATATAATTTGTACCAGGATGGGTCAAGGCTGAACTTAAAGGAGACCGTTTTGTATTGTGATATGGATGATAGAGTATGGAGGCCTACCCAAGCATTTAAATGTGTTGGTGGGTATACGGTATAAGGAAATTATTCATCATATAACGCTAGCTAGAGATGACCCTCCCTACTCCTAGATTAGTATATTTTACTTATTTATCAATTATTCTGATTAACATGTATTTATTGATTCTTATCCAATTAAAAATAAATTTTGTGAAGTGATGTACATCATTCATGTATTGTCTGAACATATAATACTGACTAAACCCAGGTCATGAATGAGAAAAAAACGTTTAGTTTTTGAATTATGAGTTCAGAACTTATAGAACAACCCATTAAATGCCAAGATTTGTTTCAGTTGTTAATAATATATAGAATTTAGAGGCCATAAAAAGTAGATGCTTTGTTTTGCGTCCTTGCAAAATCCAAATCATGCAAGGGTACAAGGAAAACAAAAACAAACTCAAGAAAAAACACTTGTTTGCTGAGAAATGTATACATTTTATGGGCATAAAAGGGATGACATGGGCATATACCAATTTGCAGTGATTACAAACACATATCGAGCCTATACATTTTATCAATATATTTAAACGTAGCTATTCGGCTATTCAAGGGAAAAAATAAGAAAATACACAATGTACAATTTGTGAAAATTTGAAGACACTCTGTGCAGAATTGACAAAATGCCAGCACCAGTCCTGTTACTTTTGGAACACCCTGTATGCCAAAACTAATCAATAACACTGTCAATTTTGACGCACGTCAAATTATCTGCCATTTCGTCTGATTCGGATTGAACGAAATGCGATGGTACTTTCAGACCCTAGTGATTGGTATTTGGATGTGTTTGTTTTTTCTGATTTACTCAAAATCGTGCAAGCAGGGGGGACGCAAAGCAAAGAATCTACTTCTTATGACATTATATATGAATCTTTCTCTATTAAACATTGGAGTTTTAATGTTACAGACAGAGGAACATTATGCCCTAAGTTAGCCGACCCTCCAAATGGGACATTCATTACAACAGGTCATTTCGTTAACACACATGGAACTGTAGAATGTAACGATGGATTTGTACTGTTTGGGCAACGCACAAAATTCTGCGAGCCAAATGGAAGATGGTCATCTGGGTCTTACACATGCTTAGGTAGATAAAACTAAATATAGAAATAAAGGGACAACATTCGAAAAACAGAAAATAAACAATGCCATTTGGGCAGTGATCAATAAATAATTTCAAATACATCATGCTTATCATCTAAACAATTACAAACATAAACTTCACCAAATTTCTTATTTAGAACCTGGTCGGATAGCAAAATTTGAAAACAAACACTCTCATAGGTTACTTCACAAGATAATAGACGCAGAAGATAACGCCACTTCAACAGATGCCAATGACTACAATACAACGAAATCCTTTCAGTGGTTTGATGCTGTCCCAGTCGAGGATTTACCCCAACCTGCACTTAACGTAAGCTGGTTCGGACACCACGGCTATATACTGAAATCACAGGATCATCGAATGCCCATCAAGCACGCGCCATATCCATCTATTGGCTTTCCATGGCCACTTCCTCAAAAATTTACTTCACAGGCAGATAGGATATTCAAAATGAACAAAAAAAGTTTTCGGATCACAAACAAGTCTGATTCAAAATGTGATATTATCACGGATTCAATACTTAGAAGCATGGGATTAGTGTTTAAGACCATATCTTACGTTAACTATCCAGACAGAATATCAGAATATATCACAGGAGACATACAATCATTAGACGTGATTGTACGTTCTTCAGATTGCCCCAAACTACCAAATATAGACATGGACGAATCATGTGAGTATAAAATATGAGTGTTTATAACAGTACGAGTGGTACTTTTATGTACACCGGTCGAACTCAATTTAAATTCTTCTGCTTATTTATAAAATCACTACTTTTTTATCATATAAAAACTTATTATGTTCGAGGAAGTACGAAAACTGGTTCTAGTTTCCAGATAAACTAGTGATAAATTCAGAGGAAGCAATACTCGAGGCAAACGAAGTATGGGGAATTGTTAGAGGACTAGAGACCTTCACTCAGATGGTATACATTTCTGAGAATCAAGGGGTAAGGCATGGTCGAACCACTTACTTAAGTTTTGCTAAAGAACATGTAAAATTAAAACGCTCAAATTCGAATCACGAGACTTAAGCTGGTTAAATAAATGTATAATTGTGCAAAAACGCACAAGGCCGATGGGCCATCTTGAGCATGAAACTGCCAGTGGAAACAAGTTTACATCGACCCCAATAAACTGCTGAAATACATAAAGCAAAGAGCAATTAACTCATATACGTCCATTAATAAACATTTGAATTTTTTGATTGTGAAAAAGTTAACGTGTGAAAAGATGGTATATCAGTGGTTGATAACACTAAAAGTTTTAACATATAAGGCCTGGATGGTAGGCTCCCTGTAAACATTGCATAGGTAATTTTTTTCTGTTTCAGTTTCTCATAAATGAGACTCATGTTGAAGATTATCCACGGTTCAAACATCGCGGAGTATTGTTGGATTCAGCGAGACATTTTCTCCCTATGGATATTATACTGCAAAATCTAGTAAGTTAATGTACAGTATTATTTCTTCACGTTGCTCCTTTATCAAATGTTTTTAAAGCATATTTACCTATCTACAGTTTGTTTTTGTTGCCGTTGCCTTGCATCACGTATATGAAAATTTGTTGTCGGTTTACAACATAATGGGACAGCACAAAGACAAAAACAGCATTTGAGAAACAAAACCCAATAAATCAAATTCTTCCGTCTATCCAAATAATACACATTTTCATGTAAATGTATTTATTTATTGAATACCCGTTTGTTTTTATTTGTATTTTATTAGGATGCGATGTGCCAAAATAAATTTAATGTTCTTCACTGGCATTTGATAGATGACCAGAGTTTTCCGCTTGAGTGCAAGACGTATCCCAATCTAACTCTTAAGGTAACGCTTTTACATTCTCTGGTCTGCATCGCATACATTTTTGAAGTGTACTCACTTCCATTTAAGGGCCTTTGGTTCGTTCTCTTTAGAATTCTCTGTTGTATGATGTCAAATAGAAGTTGTTCCAACTGCCTAGTTACCAATTAGAGTCTGACTATCATGAATATTGACTCAAATGAATATTGACTCTAATGAATATCTACTCTCATCCTATCGAACAGAAAGCAATTTGATTTAAACTCGAATGAACCTTCAGCCTTTCCAGAAAAGCCTTTTAGCCCCATATTAAATATTACGTAAAATTGTTTTTGTATTTGACTATTTACATGTGTGTTGTAAAATATATGTATACATTGTAATTTATTATTTGTGAAAAATTAATGCAAATTGAGCTACCAACCGCACTGTTACATGCTGTTCTTTCTGAAAGGGTGACGTTATAGTTTCACATTATAGCAACATGATATAAAAACTTTAAAATGTTTTACAGGGAGCTTACAATTCAGGTACATATGTACTCAACCATAACGATGTTACAGAAGTTATTTCGTATGCACGGTTGAGAGGGATCAGAGTTATTCCAGAATTCGATACCCCAGGTTCGCACTTTACGGTTTATGATTATTTATCAAATGCAGAGGCGAATCTTAGGCAATATTCATTAAAATTAAATTCCAATTAAATATTTGTATTAGGTATTGTTACTACTAATTATGCATTGAAACAGTGTCACTAACATTGGAAATATTGCTCACTACATGAAATGGAATTGAATCAGTGCCACTATCATTGGAAATATTGCTCACTACATGAAATGGAATTGAAACAGTGCCACTAACATTGGAAATATTGCTCACTACATGAAATGGAATTGAAACAGTGCCACTATCATTGAAAATATTGCTCACTACATGAAATGGAATTGAAACAGTGCCACTAACATTGGAAATATTGCTCACTACATGAAATAGAATTTATTTAAATATCCACAAAACTTATTTTAATGGATATGTACAAAAATTGTCACTTGTCAAATCAGATGATTCAGTAAACTGCCACCAAGCATAGAATGTCAATGTCATTACAATCACTGTGTACAATGATGATTTAGATTTTTGCTTTAACAGGACATGTCTTCTCGTGGGGTAAATCGTACAAAGAGTTACTGACGCCCTGCTACAGTGTAAATGGTACTTTGGATGGCGGTTATGGACCACTGCACCCGACTCGTCCAGAAACATACACTTTCATTGAAAATTTCTTTAAGGAATATTTAGAGTTGTTTCCTGATAGTTATATACATTTAGGAGGGGACGAAGTGCCGTTTTCATGCTGGTAACATTATCAAGTTTGACTACACTATAACCAATAAATGTTATGTTCATATATCAGTTATATTCATCCTTGATGATGATAAGTCAGTAACGTCAGCAATCGTTACTATGTTCAACACTAATTAGTATATTATTGACGTTTTGTTAAAGATAATTGTATGTTGTAATATATTGACAGGGAGCATGAACCTGATATTAAGATCTTCATGGGTCAGATGGGATACATGAACTCAGTTGAAGTTTGGAACTATTACGAAAATAGGTGACTCTGCATTTCTACCTATGAAATCATTTAAAAACAAAACAAATTATAATTTTTGAGAAAAACACGGATACCAAAAGTTTATGACATTTTCTATGATTCACAATCGCGAACAATTTTCATACTTTGATGAAATGATTGATAAATGGCAAATGAATGTGCACGCCTTTGATTTTTGCAGACTTCTAAAGATCATATCCAGTCTAACTACAAGGAGAGCTGTTAAGTCAACACCCATATTTTGGCAAGAAGTCCTTGATTTTAGGTTATATGTATGTCATTTTCTATTACATTTTGGTGAATTTAAAAACGTATAAATCAACTGATTATATAACAATATGAATGATTTTCTTTTTGTATTTTAATGTAAACCCCCCAAAAAATGTTGATATACTTTCGATGTCTTGCATAATGAAAAAAATATACGTACTATAAAATAACATAATAAGATATGAAAATGAACAATGATGTTTATGATTACAGATTCCACATACTGCAGTTGTTGAGGTTTGGAAATCAGATGTCACAATAGAAAAGATACTTGAATATACAAAGACAAACCATTCACTTCTTATAGCGTCTTGCTGGTATCTTGATAATGTAAAATATGGCATTGACTGGCATCGGTTTTACAACTGCAGATTATTAGATCAAATCGAAATGTGTGAGTTTTGATTCACGATTTCAGGAATGACTCCCTGCAAATGTTACTGTTTACAACATTATTCAGGTTTTCAGAAATTTCAACAAGGAGGACCATTATGAACGCATCCTTTTGAACAATATTTTAAATGATCAGTTCCCTTTCTTTTGACAGTAAATGACACAGACAAGAACATGATATTGGGAGGAGAGGTGTGCATGTGGACGGAATTTGTAGACGAACAAGAAATTATGCCAAGATTGTGGTATGCCTTTACGATAAATGAAATTTGATTCAGAAATGCTCAGATGTTAACTTATTATAAAATTAACATTCACTCGGAATCCTACACTGATATACGAATATATTTGATGGCGGATGTAATATTGAATACTTATTATTTATTACAGGCCACGAGCATCAGCCGCAGCTGAGAGGTTATGGAGCAACGAGTCCGTATTTGTTGGAGACAAAGCTGCCCCGCGTATAGAGGAACACAGATGTAGAATGATAGGGTAAAAATAGGAATATACAAGTTTCTTGTGTAACACGAAAACACATATCTTCTAGCGTTTGATAAGTCAAGTCTGGTGACATGCCCCATCTTCCGTGGTGTAAATGGTCTGTTGTGTCATTAACAATTGGTCTACTCAAATTTTCTAAAAGTAAAGTATGGATTCTTCAAGCCACGGTGGACATCATGAGTTGCATCATGTTGGGCTAACTCTACATACGATTCTGACTTAACAAAATGGAAGGAATGTGGTGCATTTCCACATAATTTGCAATTTTAATCATTAATCTTTGCAGGTCTATACGTGCTTACCATAGAAAAATGTATTTTAAAATCAAATAATAAATGCACTCGTATTGCTTGTAGTCGTGGGTTCAAAGTTGGTGTTTTAAATGGTCCAGGCTTCTGCAGGCGTCCATTAAAAGACGAGGAAGACTTAACTGTAAAACCGAATGTCAAAACCAGCGAGAGTGACGTACTGATATCTCGATTGACAACATCGAATGGTCGTGTGACAAGAAAATCAGATGCCGTTTCTGATGTGGTATACATTTATTCATGTTTAATGCAATATTCTTATACTAAGATTTTATCTGGTAAGGCCTTCACTATTGATAGTGAATGATTCGTTTTCATAGAGTGATAGGTATAAAAACATGGTCTTACATTTATGAGAAAATGCCTTATACTCGTACATAATTATAATACGTAGTAACATATGACAATATTTATGACTGAATGTGAACATTTGTTGATTCAGTTTCATTTTTTCAGGAAAAAGAAAATGACGCGAAATTGTATGAGTTTGGATATGACACGTACTTCATGGGAACACTGTGTGTTATCTCTCTTGTAATGATGGTAACAAGCTGCGATAGGGCAGCCATTTTGAAAATTGGACAATCGTTTTTGAGGACTCGTTGTTTAATCCTGTCGTTTGCTGTTGTAATTGTCTTATACTGCTCGTTAAGTTTACCTTTTTGGGTTAAAATATTCAATGGTAGCCATCATGTAAAGATAACACATGAATAAATTTTAAACAAAAGGTTGGTTTTCAGTTGTCTTAAGGTCATCGAATTGCAACAGAGTACTCCACAAAATAACACGATATACATTCATTATTCCCCCCAGTGCAAATCAATTTTGTTTAAAATGATAACAGGACAACTCATCCCCAAGACAACTCATCCTAAGACAACTCATCCCCAAGACAACTCGTCCCCAATACATCTCATCCCAAGACAACTTATGGGCCCCTTTGCTCTGACCTTCTCTTAAGAAAGATATCTTCTGTGCTGGTTCCTTTGCTTGTGGACTAGATTTGAAAGCGATAATGATATTACCTGTCTTCTCTTGAAATCGGTCGTTTCTCCAAGTATAACAAGGCCATCATTTAATTGAACTTAAACACCAAAATAGTTAACGTTTCTCAATTTTCAGCTATCATATTTATTTAGGGTACAGAATACTATCTTCAAGTGTTATTTAATGTTACTCTGACATTGTATATACGTGTACTGATTTTTAGTCTTTGCAAAATATTTTTTGGCTTTTGAAACACTTGAATGTTTGATCGTCGTCTCATTACAGTCGAAGCTACTGTACTTGGCCATCTTTAAAACTGCGTTGGAAATCACTTATAATTACAGTACAGCTCTTTTAATTTGTTGTTAATTTCTTGGAACATCCTAGGATAGTCCTTGAGCTCATGTAGGGCATCATTGAGGGCCAGTTTGCATTCCTCAGATTTACTAGGACCAACAATACGATGGCCATATTCATCGACAGGCTCGCCTGGTGGACTCCATCGAACAACCTTCTATTGTACTGAGTTAATGTTGAACGCTTCACATTATTAATACGCCTGTATTTTAGTTGAACATTTCGCACATTATACCGACCACTACCAGAACCTTTGACACCCGTTATGTTTGAGAAATAAAACTCAATGAAAGAAATTTTAGATTGGGCAAATATTGGTCATTAATGGAGAACTGGAAACATTGTAGCAGATTTTGACCTTGTGTGCCAATGTAAAAGATGTTAGTAATTTGAAAAAAAAAACAAATTGAGTGTCAAAAATATAACCAGAGAGAAAATACACCAATTTTCATTATGATTTAGCCGTGGGGAAGTGGCACAATATGAGGGAAAGTGAGGGAACAATCTTTTGTGTGGGGTACTAGGGTGAACAACAAACTTTCAAATACATAAATATTCCACTTACCACAATTTCAAAAAAGGTTAATCGATAAAATTATCCTGGAATTTGTGTCATTTGTTTAAAGAAAGCTGTAGAATCATCCAGCCGAGGTTACAAAATCATCGAGATTTATTTAATATGATCCATCATTTACTGGAGGATCGCCAGCTAATGGCTCTGGAACCGGATCGACTTCAATATTGGGTTGATGTAAATTGCTTCATGGAATGAGAAATGTTTATCCAAGCAATGTACAGGGTGGTCCAAAAAATGGGACACTTATATTTCAGAAATAAATATTGATTTTCTTGATGAAAACATACCATATCATATACCAGTGGATAGGGAATTTACTTATCTTTAATTTGGTATATCATAAGTTCAAATTTATTATAATGTCTGTTAACCAGCATCCGTTATATAAATGACGCCATTTTAGTTTCAAAACGGGTTTTCCAAAACTTGCAAAAATCAACTTTATTTACACAAACAGACGTTCGATATGTCCATCATTTTGATCAATTATAGCCCTCAATTTTGGCCTAAACTGGTCAAAAATATCATTGATATTCTGTTGAGACAATGAATTCCACTTCTCAACAAGTCTATCCTTAATAAGGGACTGAGTAAGGGGTTCATCGTAAACCAATTCTGTAGGTTTTCCCAATACGTGGTAGTCGCAGACGTTGACATCGCATTATCCAATTATGTTGTTTTTAGACCATCCCGATATGAGGTCATTCTCGAATCATTACATTTTCCAACATGATGGGACTCCAAGCAATAGATCTCACAAGGGTGTCAAATGTTTTAAGGAAAATGTGCCTAGTCATCCCCCTAATCACTGCCTCCCCCAGACCAGATCACACGATCACCCAACGTCTGCGACTACCACGTATTGGGAGAACTAACAGAACTTGTGTACCATGAATCCTTTACATCTATTCTGTCTCTTGAGGACAGAATTGAATTAATGTGAAGTGAAATTCATTGTCTTAACACCATATCAATGATGCTATTGGCCAGTTAGGCCAAAATTGAGGGGTACAATTGATCAAAATGGTGGACATATTGAACATCTGTTTATGTAAATAAAGTTGACAATAAAATTTGTTTTTGCAAGTTTTGGAAAACCCGTTTTGAAATGAAAATGACGTCATTTATATAACGGACGCTGGTTGACAGACATTATAATAAATTTGAACTTATGATATACCAAATTAAAGATAAGTAAATTCCCTATCCACTGGTATATAATATGACATGTTTTCATCATGAAAATCAATATTTATTTTTGAAATACGAGTGTCCCATTTTTTGGACCACCCTGTATATATAGGAAATTTGTCCAAATGTTCTTCTGTAAAAATATTATGATAAAAGCATGATTTAGGATAGCATCCATTTGATACCGTACTCAGTCCAAATGTTACATATTGGAATCGTATTGATACATATACGATTTAGTTTACGAAATGTTGTTCAAATATCTTCTCTGTATGTGTATGTATGTATATATTTATTGCCCTTTATATAAAGGAGATACAACATGAATGTAGTAGCTTAAACTTTCCTATTATTTTCATGTTTATATATTCAAAGATATTTGTAGAAATTCTGAAATCACTTATCTCGATTTGCTGCTATATTTTTGCAATGACCCCATTACCTATAATATACACGAATTCACATATTTCGACAAGCCACAGTGAGTCAAGTAGATGGGGTCACTATGTAAATCAGTTTGATTTGACAACTTTCTGATAACCTCTGTGACACTGAAACAGTAAATATGATGCAAAGTACTCTGTTCATCATCCACGAATATAATCATTCGCTATTTGAATATTTCATCATGAATTTAATGCAACGTGGTTATTCTGACACATGACGATTGAATTAAAGTTATTGATTTTGGACCCCAATTTATATACACATTGCTCATATTGGAGACCATATCAAAACGTTTCACAGTATTAACAAAAAGGTTGACGATCAAACAGTGTCAATTACAAATGATAAGACACAGACAAAGTTCAGTCCTAAAATACATTTAGTGTCAAATAAAGGACTCCCGTCCGCAAAACTGCCGTCACAGTTAACAAGTAAGATAAGAACGTAACACTTATGTATATAAGGGGGAGGGATGGGTGTCACTTTTAGTAATTCTCTCAGTTTTTATAATGGCTTCATCAAACAAAATAAAACTCCTGGCCCCCTTGTCCATTAAAGTTTTAAATAAGAAGATACCTGTATAGTATAATTTCAACTTGGCCAAAACACAATTCAAAAATACATAAAAATCTAGTTTATAATTAACTTTAATGACGTAATTGTAATCTAGCCAATGATGTCAAGAGACATACCAGTAATCGTATATTCAGACGTCTGGCACTTGACGAAACAACACCAAATGCTGCGAATCAATACAATATTATAAATGTTAAAGGAAACATTGACATCAGAATGTCTGTTTTTGGAGCTTTATTTTATGTGATTAGCAATAATATTACGCCGATTTTCGTATGTGTAGCTATATTCCTTCTAGCACGATGGTTGACTCAGCCAAAGGATCCCTGGATTCTTCCACCTGGGCCATTTGCCTGGCCGATCATTGGAAATCTTAACAAGATCATGCCCAAAGAAGGAGATAACAGTGGAGCTAGGCGTGTTTTGGAAATTGCCAGGCAATATAAAACGGACATCTTAAGCTTCAAAATCGGTTCCACACAAGCTATCGTTCTCCGCAAGTTTGCAGATGTGAAAGAGGCGTTTAGTAAAGATGAGTTCACTTTCGTGAATCCAACAGGACCTGTGAAGTTCATTGCCCCTGGTATAATTGGCACTGATGGAGCACAATGGAAGGAGCAAAGACGATTTGCTCTCTCTACATTACGGGATTTCGGCCTTGGTAAGAACAAAGCTCAGGACATTATACAAGAAGAATTGCAGAAAGTGGTAGAGACATTTAACGAGAGGGGAGGACAACCATTCAACTCCAAAACGTTGATATGCAACATGGTTTCAAATATAATTTGTTCTTTGATTTTTGGACACCGTTTTGATTACGATGACAAGACTTTCCAACGCATTCTTTTCTGTAGCGATCAAATCATGAATTCTTCTATGAGATATATAATTCTTGGTTATCTTCTCCCGATATGGATAAAGAATATCATCCCCGGTGACCTATTCCGAATTGAGTATGCGAAATCACTGATGAGCGAGATTAAAAGAGATATTATTCTGAAAAAATACAAAGAGCACGTTGCTCATTACAGCGATGACGAGAGCCGGGACTACATGGATGCGTTTATAAAGGAAATGAAGACGCACAAATCAAAGGGAAAAGAACATTGGTTTACCGGTAAGATGAGAAATATTCAATAAACAAAAATATAAACAAATTGGTAATATGCAGGGAAATTGACCAATGACTAAAAAGAAGAGTTTCTACAAAGCTTTAAAATTTTGCTCATTCTCGTCTTCGTGAGATTTTAAGAGCTTTGCATATTAAAATATGAACAATTCTTGATAAATCATGAAATTAAGTGACAATTTGTTATGGTCACCTTAGAAGTCGAACATGCTTTTCCGATTAATAATTTAAGTAATCTTAACATATCTTTAACTTAACATGCTAAGTTATATTCAATTCATTGTCAATTGAATTGCTATAATTTTCTTGCTTTGAGATGAAATGTTATGTCTCATATATTATATATAAATTTCTAATGGAAGAAACTACAATAAAAATTTAGAGGATTCCATGTAGGAAATGAATAAAAAATGGAATATGTATCGTACTTCTGTTTTTGTTTCAGAGGAACAACTGCTTGACAATGTAGTCGATCTTTTCTTTGCGGGCACAGACACATCAACTACAATAATCAGGTAATGATTAATAAGTATTCGACCAAACGGAGTTCGTAGTGATATAGAAAAGCAGTCCGGTCGTTCGTCCGTCAGTTCGTTTATCCGGATGAGAATTCATTTACCAGTTGCCGGATTTGAATCAAATTTTATGGACATACTTTATGGGCATATGATCTATGCTCAGGAAGGGATTTTTTAATATGGCCGCTTAATTTAGAATGGCCGCCATTTCCAGTGGACGGATTTAGTTCAATTTTTGGCAGCTGAATTTCAAAATGGCCGCCAATGTATGTAAAACGTAATTTTTAATAATTCAAATACCAGTTGACGGATTTGGTTCAAATGTTAGGCTTACATGCTGATGTCTAAGGACAAAAGAGCTCTGCTGAAAACAGGACTGAATTTCAAAATGGTCGCCATTTTTCGTAAAAGATGTAATCTTTGATAACTCAAATAGTAGTGCGTTGCGTAATAGGTAATGAGATTTCCCCCAGGTATCAAGAAAAAGGACAAAAAGCCCCGTAGTGCAAATTATTATGCACCTCATTAAAAAACTCAAATCTGATTGGTTAAGAGCTGCAGGGTCTATTGCCATACGTGGCAGCAAGATCTCGTTCTATCAAGTATTGAAGCAACGAGATCTCCAACCATCCCGTATGCCAGAATGCCTATCCTCGAAAAAAATACTTTTGACGAGTCCATTTGTCGATGACGTCATTTTCTTAGAATCTCTTCCATGTTGAATTTGAGACGATGCGAGGGAGAAATTATTTGCAATGCGTGATATGAGATAAGGGTATAAGGGTTCCTGTGGTGCATCAGCGACAAACCGGCGTAAAAGGGTAGGAGGTTCTGTCAAATTGTGTTTCAACTCTCCATTGATTTATATGGTGACCTCTTTCCCTCATTATCTTCACAATCAGGGCCAGTTAGGGCCGTTAAGAAGGGGGGGGGGCATAATCCCTGGGGCCCATCATTTCTTTCACACCGGCGGGGTTGACACACACGATTAACCGAAGATTGACACATCGTAATTAGCGGTGCAACTGCGCTTGGATGAACTGCCTTTGTTAAAAACTGGTGACCATGTAATTTGCACATCAGGGGCTTATTGCTCTTTTTCGTGATACCTAGGGGAGATTCACTAGCACCGCGGGTAGTTAAAAAACGAGGCCTATTAATGAGAAATGTCGTTTTCTATTTTTGAGTTATTCATTTATTTGATTAGATGGCTCTTCTTGTACATGGCTAATTACCAGGAGATACAAGAGCAAGTCAGAGCAGAAATACAGGACGTTTTGGGAGATGGAAGACTGCCAACTATGACAGACAAACAGAATATGCCATTTACAGAAGCAACCATTTTAGAAGTAATGCGAAAACAACCAGTTGCGGAACTGTTATATACAAGGCATACATCAGATGATGCAACTGAGTTCAAGGTGAGAATAGTAAACACTAGTTTTGATTGTTGTACTCTTTGCAAACTACAAGCCACAAACCTGTTGAACGATCCCATTGCAAGTAGTACTGTTGGTTGAATAATGTTTCCATGTACTTTTAATGCATATGGGACTAACAGCGGCATTGAGAAATATAACATAATCGTATGAAGTTTCACTATAAATATGGATATTCTGTCAGGGTTTCTTGCTGCCCCCTAGAACTTTGGTCATACCCAACATCTATGCCATCATGAATGATCCTGATCACTGGACGGAACCCGAGAAGTTCAACCCTCTGAGATTTATTGGGGAAGATGGGCAAATGATCAAAGATGACCACGTGTTGTCATTTTCAATTGGTGAGCGAATTTACACATTGTTCCCGTTGTTGTTGTTGTTGTTGTTATAATGATATGGTTGATATCCATATCAAATGTATTATGACGATTCTTATGTTTTAGGCAAGCGTCAGTGTCTCGGTGAGCCTCTAGCAAGAATGGAACTATTTTTGTTCTTTGTGGGCATCATGCAGAAGTTCAGAATTGAGATACCACCAGGAAGGGAAGCTCCACTGAAAGTTGAACTGGGCAGTGGGGTAGATACACCAGTAATATCGGAGCTTTGTTTCATAGGCATTGAATAACTTTACATGCATGTGAACATGTAGTTTCAAGCGCTGTCGGATAGGGGAGATATATACAGTGGAGAACATAAAGAATTAGTATAGCTGTGAAAAATACATGGTGTCGCACAGTCATGTAATAAATTCTTGCCTCAGTGAATTCAGTGCTCTATTTTATCCGTCTTAGTAAGTCCAAATATTGTGGAATTTGTGTCCAAAATGACAAATAGGAACTTAAAGATTTGAAGTGGATATTCCCACTCTTCAAATGTTGAGGTGATTTTGGAGCCCGATTACGCCGCAAGGAGGATTGGATCCCAGAATGCAACATGACACGTGCCAGCTTTCAAAATGCCGTTCCGCCATTTTGAAAGCTTGCACAAGTAATAAAGGTTAACTGATGTTGCATTCTAGGACTCAATCCTCCTTGGATCACAAACATGGCGGCGATTCATGAAAACATTCGTTCGATTTCGTGGGGAATTTATCCACCATTTGCAGGTATGAAGCTTTGGATTCATTTATTGTGCAACTTGAAGTGAACGGGAATTATTTTTCTACCGCTTTGGAGAGTTTGAGACACGAAACTTAGAATTTAGCTCATTGTGACAACTTTTGATGGTTGAAGTTTATTGATGTCTCCGACTTTACACCCCTCCATATTTGTACATACGGAGTTGTTACTGAAGTTTATCAGTTTATGTATATGAACCATCATGATAAACCATGACATCTCATTTCTTCTCAGCCCTGAAGATACTATGAGTATCAGAATGTATATGAACTGCTATTCGACTTTTCTGTTAAATATGCTGATTTGGATGGCACAATGTTTTCTGTTATATTCATTTGGATTGGAATATTTAAGTGATTCACAAATGATTTTCTGAACTGGAATTCGATAATTATCCATTCAAAAAATGAAAGCATATTCATTTAAATTGCTTGATAATAAATATGAGTAAGAAAATATCTGTTTTGAATCATAAAGCTGGGATGATGTAATCTAAATGAATATTGCACAGATTATATATTACATGATTCAAATGAATGTAGTTTCGGCTTACGTCCTTGTTTTTGAAAAATTTAAACTTTTATTCTGAATAAGTTACATCTGTAAATATAGCAATGTATGTTTGTATTAAACATGTACTAATTTAGATTAACTGCTATATTATACACGTTGTTATTTGGAGTATAAATTCATCTCAGACGTTATGTAGACCAGAAACAGGAACTGATACGTCAGATGCGTTTAACCACACTGCTTCATCAACTGAAAAAGCAATGAAACAACCAGCCACTTATATTTATTGATATGCGTGTACATTTTATTTTTAATCTTAATTTTTTTAGATTAATTTTTGAACCATGATAAACTCCACCTATTTTTTGTGATGAACATTATCTTATGAATAAGCTAGTGATACTAGCCCCACCATTTGATGATTTGGGTCACTCTCGATCAGACTATACTGTATCTATTTTTAAATCTTTTATTCCTATGTTTTTATTCTATATTTATCCAATTGCTTTGAGCCATAATACATACAGGATATATTTAAGCCACGTGCACCAATCAGATTGCAGGGAATTTCACCATCATGGAATAATATTATAAATTTAAACATTTCTATGAATTATATGTCACAAGGTCTGACAATGGTTCTGATATTTTCGTATCATATGTGATCAATCAACCATGTTGGACAAAATTGATCAAATTAAACTGATTAATAACATACATGACAAGGGATGGATCGAAACACATCGGAGCGCAATATACCTCATTTTAGCTTTGGTCATAGGGAGACAGTTGTATATTTATTCTAAGAACATACACGTTTTTAGCAATGCGCAGCTAACTGTCAACATAAAAGTCGTATTACATTTACATTTCAAATTAAACTAAAATCATTTATATCTCAACACCATATATCGTCTACATGTACATCTCAATACTTTAACATCAAAGAATAAATTTGATAAATCAGAGATGTAGTTTGATATTAATATTAAAAATATCTGTGAAATACAGAAAATATTCTTCCCGAGAAGGTTGTATTTCACGATGCACTAGCAGAGTGAAATATAGACGTTCAAGGGAAGAATATTTTCTGTATTTCACGAGAAATCATTGAATAACGTTTTTATTCGCCTAAATCAAGTCCCTTTGCTTGGGACCGGAGAAACAGCAACCTTCTCACCTCAGAGATATTTTACTTACATCGATATTCCTTCAAAATCTTTATGGCCTTGTTTGCTTTTTATTGTATTATACGAGACGTTTGATTTGTGCATGCTTCATATTGATCTTTTTATATTCACAGATGTGTGTTTTTTATCCTAATATTATAAATTGTTATGATCACCGTATCATTTCCTGATATTCAAATCAGATATTTCTAGCAAAATGCAAATATTAGCATGCGTTGGTGTAAACTGATCACCATTGATTTTTCAGTAATAGTCATATCCTGGATGGAAATCTGGGGCGTTGGGATACTAGACCATATCCCAACGCTGACGTCTTTTTCACTCTGTATCCAACGCTTAGTGGAATGTGCGTGTAAATACAGGATATATTTAAGCCACGTGCACCAATCAGAAATACAGGATATATTTAAGCCAAGTGCACCAATCAGATTGCAGGGAATTTCACCATCATGGAATAATATTATAAATTTAAACATTTCTATGAATTATATGTCACAAGGTCTGACAATGGTTCTGTCATACAATTATTTAAAGTTTTGAAACATATTGTACCTCACAAAATGTAATGAATTTAGTGAAGAACCAACCATTCAGGATAATGGTGTACGTATTATAGGAGAACCTATAATAATTGATAATGTCATTGCAGTTAGAAACAATAAGCTACACAAGCATTTGCATTTATGTTGTTGTTACGTTTATATTTCAAGGTGTTCGAAATGAGAGTTGGGTAATCTAAGTCCAAGCATGGTCTAAGAAAATAATAAAAATGGGAACTGGGTATATAGTTGGTACTGATACACTTATAAATGAGAGCATCCTTTAAAAAGCCGGATAACAGACGCTTTGATGTGAAACAAATATCAATCATGAATCGTCTGGGAGATTCAAAGATACTGTCGAAAATATGTTCATACATGTACCTTTATTTTCTATTAATAAATGCTTGTGTATTTGGCGATAGTTTAGTCTATATGTAATTTCGTTTAGCAAAAACATGCCCTGTAGAATTCTGGTACTACTACTCACAGGTAAACCTAAGGGAGGGAATCATACTGATAAAGTGGTCATCATTCTTAAATTAAATGGCACGAACGATATGCATAGACCTGAACTTCCAGATAATGTTAAACTTACTAGAAAGGTACTATCGTGTGATAAATATGGTCCATTTTGGATAAGTTGGTCTAAGAAAATGATAAAAATGGGAACTGGGTATATGGTTGGTACTGATTCACTAATGAGAGCAGCCTTTAAAAGGCCAGATAACAGACGCTTTGATGTGTAACAAAAATCAATCGTGAATCGTCTAGGAGATACTAGCATACCTGGTATGTATAAATAACGAAATATACTATTAAAAATATATTCGTAACTTTATTTTCTATTAATAAATGTTTGCATATTTGACAAACATTTTTTATTTTAGCACAAATATGCCCAGTAGAATTCTGGTATCATCCAACATTTAAGTCTTGCTATAACTTCGTATATGCTAAAGAAATTCCGTATACGAGAGCAAGGTCTTATTGCAAAAAGGTAGGGGGCTACCTTGCAGTTGTGGAGTCTCAAGAAGAAAGTGACTTCATGCGGAACATGCTTGAGATGATGCCGAATATGAAGGTGAGTTTATTAAGCTTAGGCTGATGTTATTTAGTGTAGTTAATGCAGTTAACAATCAAACACCTTAGATTCCGAATGTTTCTATGAATCTTTCATATTTTGGAATGTGAGGCTGAAATCCCTGCCCAAAATCATATTATTTTGTTATAGCCTGAGGGTTCTGATGAGATATCATCAGTCAATAGAAGCTGAGCAGTCAATCTCATTAGAAGCCAATTAAGGGCCATTAACTATTGTTTAAAAGGAATTTGAATAGAATAAATGAGATTGGAAATAAATACCCTTAAAATTGTATCTATAGATAATTGTAGCAAATAAATAGTACGAATAATAATCCTGTTCTAAAATTTAGTTGCAATATTAATGCAATAACGAATAAGGATCTTATAACTTCAGATTTTTTGCTTTGTGGTCAACGTTCTGAACCCAATAGACTACAAGATCACACTGTATGTCCATTTCAATTAGAAACTTGTATATATTTTTTATTTATATTTTTTGTCCAAGACCAAGGCTTGCAAACACACTATAATTCTCCCTTTCGCGGTTCGCTGTTTGAATCAGAACGTTCGCAAATATGTTCTGAAAAAGCACTCAAAAAGGATAAAATTTGATTGGTCAATATTTTCCCACTATGCATTTCGCGTAGCTATTTGCGTGACCCGAAAGTTCTAAATCAAACTAATTACGCAATTTTGTTTTTACACCCGCACGCTAAATAAAACAATGACACCATCGGAAGTATTCTTCTTTGTCATTGCTTTAATAGTCAGTATACCGAGTTTAATCAATAAAAGATTGTACAATGAACAACAAAATTCGGAAATGAGTACTATAGATTTGCTTTCGGACCACTGAACAGATTGACCTAGATAATAGCGACGCGTCTTCTTTGGTCTACTGCTCAGTTGTTTGTGGGTTTTCAACGTAACTCTATAATGTAATTTGAAGATGAACACTTTTATTCAGTTGTCGCATTGATGTTGCAGTTTGTAGTGCGGTAAGATTGGCATGAAAGTATTGAAAGTCGAATGGAATTGTTTTTTCCAATATGGCGACTAGTCAACTGATCACGTGACCTTCTCTTCCGGAACATTTTCTCACTTTTCCATCGTCGTTTTCACCACGCTATGAATCAATACAATGAAAAAACTAGCTGTTATATTAAGATTAATAAGAGATCAATCGTTTCTAATAATTTTTTCTGTACTCTCGTACGGGAATATGAACGAATATATCGTTTGAAAAATTGGTGTGAAAATCCCCATGTTAAACCTATGAGGGAAACAAGGAACTATAAATTTGTTCCTCCGCGAACTGCATCATGGGAAATATTTGACCTTATAAGGAAAGATTTTCGCGTCTCCTCTTTTGAAGAGGGAACAACGATTTCGAGAATTAGTTAACGCTTAGTACTATTAAGGGTATCAACTGTGTAAATTAAGACCTGTGTATACATTTATTGGTCATACATTTACATGTACCTGTATTCTTGATTTTGATTTCATCACCACAAGCTTACACTTAAGTTGTGACACATTATTGTGGTCTCCAGCTTTTTTAGTTACGGCGGCGTTTAGAATTCGGCGTCTGTTACAAACGGCAGATGGTGACAGTTTGCATGTTAATGCCCAGTAGTTTCTTCACTGTGGAGCTAAAACATCTAGGACTTTAAAGTGTCTCATTCATGATTTAGTTTCTCTCATCCTCAATTTAAAAATCAGTTCTAAAATTATGTCCGCAAAAATGATTCCAAATTCAACGTAAAGGGTAAAAAAACGATAAACCGAAATAGGAAATCAGAATTGTAATTCGACTTTCTATTTGGGGTATATTGTCATCATATTGTCATTGCTGTTCACAATGGTATTAAACATAGCAAAGAGGGCGTTGATACAGTCCCATTAAAATGCTAATATGAAAACATGGCATTTTGATCAATTTTTTATCAAAATGGCCAGTCAGCGGCAGAAAACCTCAAGAATAGCTTTGACCAGCAAGGAGACCACAAAATTTGTTGTTATGGACATTTAGATTGAAAATAGAAACCGATTGTCAAAACATATTTTGATTGAAAAAAATCATGATTGATTTCTTAATTTTACCCCTTGGTGATGAAAGGGTTAATATCTAATTTTGCATTCATTTGCATTCGAAAATTCGAATCTAGATTGTATTCTTAAAGCTGACACTCTCAGCTTTCCAACGGTGTATTGGAGCCTTAGTACAGAAGAGGTAATCTAAAAATCACTAAGGAGCGCACCTGGAGGCTCTATTTTGCTCACGACATGTATGGTGTTTTATCTGTTTTAGGTTATCAAAGCTAATCAAGACTTGACAAGCTCTCATATGGTCTCATGTGGAAACTTTTATCTGATTGATCAAATCTGGTGACTCCTGTCAACCACACAAACCTACCAGGGATCTGTAATTATTCGCGTTTTCAAATTATATCAATGTACTAGTACAAAAATCATCTGGACTTAAATCAATAGTAATTTTTTTTTTTTTTTTTTTTTTTTTTTGATAAAATTTATTTCAGTTTAACATAATTATTTACAGGTATGGTACAAAGATGAGGTTTCAAATTCATAAAGAGTATTTAAGTTACTCACACATTTTTCAATATACCATTTGTGAATAGATAACTTTGCTATCAGTATATTTTTGTAATTCTTTACTTTACCTATTCCATATATTTGATTGGCTGTTATATTTGGGAAATGTTTAGTCCAAAATTCAGCAACTGCTTTGCATTTAACAAAATGATGCTCTAAATTATCTATTTCATCACAGCTTGTACATTTGCTTGAATTTAAAATACCATATCTATGCAGTAAAAGATTACATGGATATATTGAATGTAAAATCTTCCAGTGTAGTATAATTAGGTCTGTTGCTGTTGTACAATTTTTTGCATTAAGCCAGGTTTTTCTTGTTAAAACTTCATTTTTGAATACAATTTCACAAACCCGGTTTTCTATTAAAATTTTCCTAAAATCTTGAACATTTAAGTACTGCACATCTGTATCATTGAAGTATAAAGTATCTTCTGGAGCTACAATTTGATATTCTAATATCATCTCCCTTTTGAGTGCTTGTTTCAAAGTTTGATATTGCATCCATGTTTCAGCATTTCTGCCTACTGAGGAAACAATTTCATCATAAGAAATGATCTGGCCATTTTTGCAAACATCACATAATAGTAATTATGATATTGTCACTTAAACGAATAAAGACAATTCCAAATTCCTCATATTCGCTAAATGGGAGAACTGGTGTAATGCTTCTCTTGATCTTCATAATACATGTTTAAAATGACCAAACTCAATTGTCATAGCAATGCAATCGATTGACGGAGTCCCCATAACGATACTTAATACAGAATAATTGTTTTCATTGGCTTTCGCGATGCGAGTTTTGGTTGAAGATCTGCTTGAAGTGGACAATTGAAATTATTCACAATTTGGTATGTTTCCATTTTAGTTTGACATTTATGTCATGGGTTGATCTTAAAAACTTAAAGGCACATATGGCTTTATAGTTTATATTTATATTTTATTCTGTAAATAGTTAATAGTAGTGGGAATGTCAAACAGATAAAATCACGCTTGTGCCTCGCAACAGCATACACCTTCTTCATCGTTGAAGACCCACTGGTCGCCATCAACTTCTGGACAACATTGTCCATGGTTTGGAGTGTTTGAGTTCACAATGTAGTAGATGTTAGGATTGCCGATGTCAACCTCATACCATAAACCACCTCGACAGCATGTACCTGATTGGGAGCAAACACATATCGAAGGGGATATACTACATCATAAATAAACATTCGGTCATGTATTCTTTTCCTCATCAAATGTATTTTCCTTTCAAGCTGAGGCTTACACACGAATGTATGCTAGCTTGCTTCTCTATATTTTGAAAAAGAATTATCGAGAAATGAACCATGCTATTTAAATTACTTTATACTAACCTAAATCCCCTTCACATGGTGGATCCGTCATTTCTGCCCCACATTCGACGTTCATGCATTCCATAACCTTCTGACGTATGTCACATGTTTTGTTGACGTCATTCCATACTGTGGGTGGCATACACTGTTCTACTGTATATCCAGTTCTGTTTGTGAAACATTGGATAAAGGAGCAGCAGGGGTCGTCCACATTTTCAAAGTAGAATTCCGATGTATCAGCACATTCTGCCACAATTTCATCTGGACAAAGATCTGCCTAGATGTACATTTGCTAATGTACATGCAGTCGAACATATTTCATACTTCATTTTAACTCATTTTGCAATGGGTTCCGTGACATATCTAGGTTACGTCCATACCCACAACACAAAAACCTCAAATCATAGGTTAACGAGGCATTAACAGGCAAAATGTCACCACCTGCCATTTGTTACAGAACGCCGTCACAAAAAGTTGTTGATCGCTTGTGGTGTTAACATAAAAAGTATTAGAAACTCAATCAAACGGTTATACCATAAATCAATTATCAAATATTTTCAATCAAAATGACGGGAAGATTCTGGATAATGTTTAGTTGTTCCTTCAGGGTTCCAGATTTAATTGCTTACATTGGCTTTCACAGAAGCACGTATCAGAGTTGAAAATCTGGTTGAAGGGACATGTTTGGAAGGATCTGTCTTGCGCAGTGCGA